ATGTTGTCGCATCGCAGCCCACAATGGCTTCATGTGATCAATGATTGGGTTGGATGATTGCTTACATACTAATGTGTCTTAGGGCGTCGTTTATATACCTCCATCCTTTCAGAATTGTACCGATCCTTCTGTGTTATATTTACTTTTTCTTTTTGTTGTTTTGACGTCGTTTGATATCCCGCGGGATGGACATATACCTCTTTTGATATCCCTGCACATATCACTCCTTTTATCTTGTACAAACTCTGTCATTTGCTTACTTCTGTCTCTCCTCGTGGATCTTACGGGCATTTTTTTTTTTTTTTTTCTGATTATGATCTCGTCATGATATGTGCTACTTTGCTAGCGTTTCTTTTATTGTCTGCCTATCGGGTTCTATCATGATTGATCATATCCTGGCCTTTTTGATACTCTAGTTAGTGTGGTTGGATTAGGTTGTGAATATCACTGTATTCTATGGCAGTTACTCCATTCTCTGTAGAATAGTGTAGGCGTAGTATGAAGAAGTATATCATCATGATATTGGAATCCAGATTCGTGAGCGAAAAGAATTTCATGTCATTCAGTAATAATTCTCATATCTCATTCCAGTTAGACTCAAGTCCATATAATCAAGTCTCTGCCTTCGTCGGCTTCTCCCCAATCCCTTGAAAGAGCTTCATCTTCACCTCCGAGGCTAACAACCCCTTCACCTCCTCGGATACTATCCGCTGACCATCCCTAACAACCTTATCCAACTGTTGATCCTGACTCGAACTAACCCCGCCTCTCGAACCACTGTTCTCGATGCCCTTCGCGGCTCGCTTGACCTTCTGACTCAGATCCATCATCTGCTTACTTCCGTAGTCATGGGTGGTGAAGAGGGGACTCTGACTGACGGTAGCGACCCAGTATTTGTTCCACAGTAGCGAAAGAAGCTCCGTATCCAGCGTGCTTTTAAAGTGTGAGACTTCAAGCCCATAGTACTGTGCGGCGTGCGCGCCAAAATCCTCTACCTTATTCAACGGAATAGCCTGATACTCATCGTCCTCATCCCCTATCTTCGGTGGCGTATAGTCCTTAGGAAACGTCCGGAACGCACCAATATCAACCTTGCCCGCCGAAATAGTCCGTTCAGGATCGATGACCACGGCAACGAATGGCCCACTCAACTGCTGCATATCCTGCGTCATCACGTCAATCCCTGACAACCAGCACCCATACCCCGGATGACTATGATACCACCCCACCGCATTCTCCATCCTCCCTGCATCCCGACACGACTGCAAATACCCCACCATATACTCATTCGCCTCGTCCTGCGCATTAACACGAGTCTCTGTCCCCTCAACCGGTAATCGGAAGGCATCCGTAACCACGAATGTGTTGGGCAGGATATAACCTTGCATCAGGCCCATGACTTCGAGGGAGCCGCCGGAGCGCGCGTGCATGGTCATTTTTAGGAGGGCGACGGCGGAGATGCGGATGTGTTTGAAGTAGTGCGGGTCTTTGGCCCAGGGCCGCAAAGCATTGAGGGACTTGTGGGTTTCTTCATCGTATTGGTAGAGGGCGTCACGAGTGGGGTCGAAAAGGGAGATGGTATTTTCGAGTTCTGTTGTACTTGGTTAGCCGGCGTCATTTGAAGTGGACTGTTTTGTTTGCTAGAGGGGTGTCGGGTTGGATGATCGTACCCCACGATTTTTGTGCTGTATCCATAGTGAAAAATTGGAAGAGAGAGAGTCTCTCTCTTTTCTTTTATTAAAATAGTCTTGGGTATCTTGATGGAATGAATGATGATGGATGAAGCTATCCAAAGTCGTTATCGAGATAGGTCAAGGCGGTAACCATAATCCAGCAGAACTAAGCGGTCACATTGCTTACTCAGCCGTTACCCCAGCGACATCGGCCCCCCCCCAAACAGCGACCCGGAAGCGGCAAGTGCGCAGGTTATTATTCCCTTGTTCCCCCTCTAGAGCCTCACCTCCTCTCTGTCTATCACTTTGATTCCACTTTCTATCGCTTTTTCTTCCTTGCATGATTTGCGCCGGCTATCCCCGGGCTCACTTACATACACCGCTGCGGGTGAGAACATTACTCCGCTGCACTGTGATTTGAACTTTTGATTTCTTGCGCGCGCGCTCCGTGACATCGATACCCCGGCCTGTTTTGGTCCCATCCTTCGTTTCCCCGTCGCGGCTAGACTGCTGGACGACTGTCGCCAATTAAAAGACGGATTATTTGAGTCTTCGACTGGGATTAATTTAGTTTCAGCAAGGATACCCCGGGGTATCGCCAAAAAATTAAAAAGTACACACCCAACGCTCGTTCTACACCCCTCTCCCTTGTCTTGGGGACGTCATAACGCAAAATGACCGTTGATACGAGTTACTTGACCACTCAGGTCAATAATATTGTCTCGCAGTTGCATGGTGTTTTTGACGACATTGGAGTTCCGGGCCATGAGCGGGACTCGCGCGAGGCAGAGGTTGGTTGTCGCGGTTTGTCGCGTGCGAAATATGGACACTGACATAATTATGTGCAGCTCTTCAATGCTCTGTCAGAAACGTTAAATAACCATCTCAAGCTTGTGGATGAGTAAGTTACTTATGACGCGCGAGACGTCTGAACGTGCTGCTAAGACTGCAACAGTGAGAAAGCGGAAATGGAAGAAGAGGCATACAGCCTGATAACTGCAATGCAGCAAATGGAACGATCACTAGCGGATGAAAGAGCCAATGGTCAGTTCCATTTGGATCGTGATGAGCTGCAAGTCACATATCCGCTAAACCGCTGTTTGGTGTCTTTGCGCGAGAAGCACAATGCTATCAGCAAGCTGCACGCAGAACGCTTCGAGCAGGTCAAGAGTGAGTGACCTTGATTATGTCGAGGTATGAATGCTAATAGCAACAGAGCTGGTCGAGGCCCTCGAATCATACGCGTCACATCTCGAATCGTCGTTTGTCTCCATCGAACTCCCTCCAACGGCACCCGGATCCTCTGTTCCTCCTAGTTTCGACCTTTCCCCGACTTATGTTACTGCATTGGATAATGAATTTACGAGAGTTTACGAAGAATACTACCGGCGGCTTGAATTTGTCCAAACTACCTGCGAGGAAATCATTAAGCTCTGGGCCGAGCTCGGAACTCCCCAGGTGCAAACTGATTCTAATATTCTCAAGTTCTACCGTGACTCCCCTGAACAGCTGGGTCTGCACGAATCCGATTTGTCTAGCCTGACTGAAAAACGTGAAAAGCTCTTGGATGAAAAGCGAAATCGTGAGCGCCGGTTGAACGAACTGTGCACTGCGGTGGATAGCCTCTGGGACCGTTTCGGCGTCGAGGAGGTTGACCGAAAAGCTTTCCTAAATGCAAACCGCGGCTGCGGTCTTAGAACAATTAACGAGTTTGAAGAAGAACTGGATCGTCTCAATGAACTCAAAGGTCAAAATCTTCACCTTTTCGTCGAAGATGCTCGTTGTCGACTGCAAGAACTTTGGGACAGTCTCTACTTCTCAGAAGAAGAGATGCTCGACTTTACGCCCGCTTTCTCCGATGTTTCCAGTGACGCCCTCTTGGAGGCCCACGAGGCTGAAATCTCGCGATTGGAGGCTTTGAAGGAACAGCGTGCTCCTATTTTGCAACTTATCGATAAGCATCGCAGTTTGCTACAAGAACGCGATGCATTGCAAGCTTCGAGTCAGGATGCCTCCCGCTTGATGGCTCGCGGAAACAAAGGGGAGAGACGTGATCCGGGCAAGTTGTTGCGTGAAGAGAAGATGCGCAAGAGGATCGCAAAGGAGCTGCCCAAGGTTGAAGCAGATTTGAGAAAAGAACTGGAGATGTTTGAGGATGAATACGGACGACCCTTCCTTGTTCATGGGGAGAGCTATCTCGACGAACTTACACCAGCCCCTGCGAAGCAACCACCACCGCGTTCCAAGACGCCTTCCGGCCCACCTCCCAGTGCTTCCAGGGCAAGCGCACGACCGCAACCGTCGTCTCGCCCGGCCAGCTCCATGGCGAGTCAGCCAATTTCTCGTCCTGGAAGCTCTATGAGAGGTCCTCCTCCACGGTCGGCTACGAAGACACCGACAGGCGGTCAAGCGAAATACAACACCATCGGAGCGGTGCGAGGTGCTGGCGCCAAGTCGCCCTCCAAGATCCCTGCTCGTGTGCCTCTAAGCAACATGCCCCAGGGCAACAACACACCTGACCGCCGTGTAGGCCCAGGTAACTATTCCTCGAGCACGTTGAATGGCAAATTCCCGTCGACTCGCATGCCTCCGCCAAGGATGAGGGCGCTTACTGCTGGAACTCGTGGTGAAGGAGGTAGTCTGTTTGAGCCTCCACGGTGCAACAGTGCTCTGTCCAACAGCTTTGTCCGGCCAGTCAGTCCTGACGACTACGACCCCAACCAGAATTCATTCATTAGCTCCTCGAGTCTCTCTCAGTCTCAAAGATCGACTGGCTTCTCTCAATCAACCCATTCAACTCACTCATCATTGTCCCTCAACTCTTCCATGCAAGGATATCCTCGACCTAATCCTTATCTGTCACACGCACCTCCTCCGCCGGCACCTAGACAAGTCTCGAACTCATCGACGGTAATAACTGGAAACTCCGGTGGCTCAGAAAACTGGGAGACCTTCGGTGATGATGACGAGTCGGAGTCTGAGCCGGATGCCAGCGAGGTTTACTATGCCAAGCTTCGTGCTGCCCATGGGAAGCGATTCGCTCCTGAAGAGCTGGCCAGTAAGAAGTCAAAGGGAATTCGAAGTGTTAGTCCAGATGAACCCGTTGCCGCTTATGATAGCCATATGCTTCGAGTGGATGATGAGTGGACGGATGATATGGAGCCTTATTGATCGCTCGTCTTTCTTCCAAGCTATAGAGCTTATGACCACGGAATTACCCGGCAATAATAACGACCCTCATGATTGACCTTGGCTGCTATTAATCGGTTTTGACATTCTCGCGCTATGCGAATGATTCAGGGTCAACTGCTCCAACCCGGACGATTGCAAGCAAGCGCTTCTTTTCTTTATATCTTCTTGGGCAAAAAAAAAAATTCTCATTGGCGATCATATGCTGTCCCTCAGCTAATTGTACAGAATCGCGCGCTCCATACAATACTGCGTGTGCGAACTACCTGTTTCTCAGCCGTTATATTGCAACAGCATGGGACTGACAGATAATAGAGGGACTTTCCTGGTTTCTTGTATTATTCTTATGTATGTTTGGGTTGGCCTTTTGACAGTTCAGTTTACTTTTTCCATCTTCTTTACGGTGCTCTTCTGGTTAATTGGTTTGAGTATTTGCCCTTGTATGAATGGGACGGCATGTTATGTTTCGTATTTGTTTAGATATCAGCGCAGCGTACTTTACTTTATCGAATTCTTCTTTGTTTGCTCTCATACACTGCATCAAATAGTCTCAATTAAGCCTTGGATTGTAGACATGTCAATGATCTATTTATTCTATTGTACAAACATACACCTATGGAGTAGTACACGAGCCTACCTCGGCGCAAGCGACCCCATCCACGCCTTATTCTGATCCTTCTCAGGACCATCATCTTTCTTAACCTTCTCTCCCTCGTCTGGCTCCGTAGTCAACATTTTCCCCTCATTCAATCTCCTGACGGATTCCTGACGACCCAAGATCGCCATCGTCTCCGGAATCCCCGGTCCAGGGGCACCGCCAGACAGCGCCCACCGGAGGTAATGATATAATTCCTTCTTGAAGCGCTTATCAGCTGCGAGTCTCGCCTTCTTGGAGTCTTCTGCTTCCTCCTTGCTTGATTCTGATTCTGCGAGGGATGGGGGAGCAGCATTACAACCATCATACGACGAGATATTAGCGCGGTGTGTATCAACTGTCCAATGAGCGTCTGGGACAAGTGATAACGCTGCAGCAGCGGTGTGCAGAGCGTTCATTGGGATTGGTTCTTTTCCGTTGGCGGATGTTGGGATGTAGGGTTGTCTGGTGAGAGTTGTTGTGAAGAAAGTTGCGTTGCGTTGTAGGAACTCAGAGGCCGTGGTGTAAGATTTTACGTCGGCATGTAGGATTGGCGTTATGTAGTCGGAGACGGTGCGGGATTGGAGAATTGGCTTCCTAATTGTTGTTAGTATGTATTTAGGTTGATTGGGGGTATTGGAGGCGTACAGTTGTTTGGTGGGTATATTTTCTTGAACGAGGTTGGAGAGGCGGGTTATCATGTCCTGGAAAGTAGGGCTGTTGGTTGCGGCGGCTCGTTGGGCGTGCGCTTTTTGGAGGAACCAGAGCTTTTCGAAAGCGACGGTGGTGTTGCCGCGGGTGATTTTTAAATTGAACTGATTAATTAGTATTGCCAGTTGGAACTGCAGGGATGAAGAGGACGTACGATTTGTTCCAATTCCTCAAGGTTGAAGACATCCGACTTCTGGGTATGAGACCAACCCAGGAGCGCAGCGAAGTTCACCAATGTCTCTGGGAAGAGACCCTGCTTGTCCTTGAACGATGACAGGTCGATATCAGCATTCCGCTTACTGAGTTTCTGTCCCTCCTTGTCGACGAGGAGGGGGACATGTCCGAAGCTCGGAGGCGTCCAGTTGAAGGCATTATACAAGGCGACGTGCATAGGCGTAGAGGGCATCCATTCCGTGCCACGGATCACATGGGTAATGTCCATAAGATGGTCATCCACCACATTCGCAAGATGGTACGTCGGGTGTCCGTCGGACTTGACCAAGATCGGATCATCCCACACACGCTCAATCATATCTAGTTTGCTTTTCGGGCGGTTCTGTCCTGTCTTGCCGTAGACTAAGTCGTTGAACATGGGGTAGTTGTTTGCCCGCAATCGAACCACATGTGTCTCGTCTTTGGATGCTCGCTCCTCAGATTCAGCTGCGGAGATGTTGGCGCATTGTCTATCGTACCCTACAGATAGACCGGCCGCGTTGCGGTGTCTGGCAAGAGAATCGAGGCGTTCTGAAGAGCAGAAGCAGCGGTAGGCATGGCCGTTGGAGACTAGGTCGTGGGCGTGGGTGCGATAGGTGGAGGTTCGTTCAGACTGAGCATGGCATAAATATATCAGCATTATTTCACAATAGCTATGGACCGAGAATCACCTGTTTGTATGGACCGTAAGGACCTCCAATCGTCGGACCTATCCTCCGCATTAGTATGCTTCATTTCTCTGCACCAGTACCAAGCCCACCTTCGTCCCAATTCAGCCCAGCCCACTGTAAATCATCATATAAACGCTGTTCCGCATCAGGGATCGTCCGTTTCTACAAACCATCCACACGTCAGTATCCCAACTCCTTCCGCAGCTCCGTGCTGCATACCTGATCTGTATCCTCAATCCGCAACAAAAACTGTCCTCCGGTCCGTTTCGCAAGGAGATAGTTGAACAATGCAGTCCTCAAAGAACCCAGATGAAGATATCCAGTAGGGGACGGCGCAAAACGAGTCCTGGCGGGCGTCTGGGGGAGGTTCTTGGATTTGCCGAGATTCGTGGCGGAGGAGTAGCTGGCTCTAGCTCTGACTCTACACCCAGTGCAGATCCATGAGTGGCGCGCGAGTAACCCGGGGGAAGGACGTCTCATGGGGATTTCAGAGAGATAGTATACAATAATATACAAGTTCAATTGAGGAGAGGAGGGAAGGTTGGCGTCCGATAGTAATGTGGAGGATCAGCAGAAAAAGGCGGAAAAACTAAAAATTAAAGAGAATAAAAATCTCGGGGCCCGACGAGAAACAATCACTCCCTGCACCAGTTTGCTTTTTAACTCTTTTTCTTTGCATTTTTCGCTTTTGTCTGTGATTTTCTGTTCTGGGAGGATTCAGTTTATTCCGTGGTTTTTGAGAGATATTCATACTTTGGTGGTTTGCTGAGCCTGGGCTTTCCCCGCGTTAACCAGTATGTGATTGCCCATTCGTGCGGGCCTACCTTTTCTGGCTTTACTGACCTCATACCTTCTAGTGGCCGAAGAATTTGACCTTTACGGTAAATCTCACATACTGAACGACAATTACAGTGACGTTAATCCGCTGCGCAGAGGTCCTAAGCATCACCCGCGACGCAAACAAGGAAGACATCCGGAAGGCTTATCGCAAGGTAAGAAGATTGATGACAAGGTCACACAAGACCATATCTGATTGAATTCAACAGTCCGCTCTCGCCAGTCACCCTGACAAAGTCCCCGAAGCCGAGCGTGAAGAAGCAGAAATCAAGTTCAAAGCTGTTCAAGAAGCCTACGACATCCTTTACGATGACGACAAGCGACACCTCTACGATACCCACGGCATGTCCGCGTTCAATGGATCCGGTGAACCTGGGATGGGAGCCGGTCCTGACTTGGACGATATCCTTGAGCAGATGTTCGGTATGGGGGGTATGGGCGGAATGGGTGGTATGCCCGGGATGGGAGGCATGGGAGGAATGCCAGGAGGACAGCGCCAAAAGCCGAGACGGACACCGAATGAGGAGCAGACGTATGAAGTGAACCTAGAGGACTTGTATAAGGGCAAGACGGTGCGATTTGCGAGCACGAAGAATGTCCTTTGCAGTTTATGTCATGGCAAGGGTGGGAAAGAGAGGGCGACAGCGAAGAAGTGCGGCACATGCGATGGACAGGGTATGCCCCATTATTTGGTGAACAAAAGAAGGTTGCTAATGCTGGATAGGTTTCAGAGAGGTTTTGCAGCAGATGGGGGGGTTCCTTACGCAGTCATCCGTGCCTTGTACCACTTGCAGTGGAGTGGGCAGCTACTTCAGCCCCAAGGACAAGTGCAAGAAGTGTAAGGGGAAGAAGACAACAGAGGAGAAGAAGATGCTGGAGATCTGGATCCCTCGTGGTGCTAGGTGAGTTAGCACTTGTAGAAGCAAAGGTTAGTCAGTACTGATCTCAAACAGAGCGGGAGACAAAATCATCTTGGAAGGCGAAGCCGACCAGAAGCCAGATCAAGAACCTGGTGACATCATCTTCCATATCGTCGAATCCGAACACCCGACCTTCCAACGTGCTGGCGCTGATCTGACCACCACTATCGACGTGACCTTGGCTGAGGCACTCACGGGCTTCTCTCGCGTGGTGGTCAAGCACCTCGATGGTCGCGGCATTGAGATCAGTCACCCCAAAACCCCGGGTAATGTTCTTTCGCCCGGTCAGGTCCTCAAGGTCCCTGGAGAGGGTATGCCGATCAAGCGCAGCGACTCCCGCGGAGATCTGTACCTGGTGGTGAATGTTCAGTTCCCAGACGACAAGTGGAGCCCCAGTCCGGCTGTGCTGGAGAAGCTCCGAGAAATGCTTCCCAAGCCGGGGCCGCGCATCGAGGCCAACCCGGTGGATGATGTCGACTATGACGCCAAGGGGAACATGGAACAATTCGGTAGCAACGATCCCCAAGGGGGTTCTGCTTGGGAAGATGACGAAGATGACGAGCCTACGACAGCGCAATGCGCAACGCAGTGATTGCATTGACATGGCATTTCGAAAAACTTTTCGCTCCTCTTTGGCATTACCGGCGTTTTTGTCCTTTCTTCTGTTTTCTGTTTCAGGGTTTTAATGACACTTATGCCAGTATATGCGTTATTGGATGAGAGAAAAAAAAAAGGGGGATTGTTTTATGTCTTCAGGATTAGAATTATATGGGAAGTCAGATAGAGAACAGTGGACACCAGTATATGTCTAGGTATCCTCCTAAATAAATACCCTGAATTGTCTTGTATAGAAGGGAAGTCATGTGATATCGCCTCCATGGTGACTTTAATACTACTACCTACTCTCCAACTAAATCTACTTGAACCATTCTCGATGGCACAACCAAGCATTCCGCAACATCCGACTGGATTCGATCCCCTCGAACTAGATATTCTCAACCGACGGGAGGCGTTTAGTTTTCCACCAAAAGATGTCTGCGATATATTAGTTAAGATCTTCTTCGAGTGGATAGCACCAATCCTACCTGTGGTTAACAAGCAAGACTTTATGCACAAATATCACAGTCCAGATGAACCAAGTCCACCTATTCTGTTACTTCAGGCAATGTTCATGGTCGCTGCCAGGTTCACGGCGAACCAGCAGAGCTCAGGTGCCCGGAGTGCCTCGCCCCACGTGTTCTACAAGAAAACGAAGGCGCTCTATAACGCGGGGTATGAGAAGGACTCGGTGACTATTCTACAGGCTGTCATATTGTTGGGGATGTACTGGGATGGTCCCGATGGTATGTTTTTCTTGTGAAATCTAGGGGATTGGTACTGACGAAACCAGACCTTACAGAGTGTGGTATTTTCTACTGGAGTCGGCTCGGGACTGCTCTGGCACAGGCATATGGAATCCATGACAGGCAAGTAGTCCCTCTCCCTATTTCATTCACAATTTCCAACCATAGTATAGGGAAAGTTATACGGACCTCAATCACTCAGAAAAAGGCCTGCGAAAACGGATATGGTGGACGCTATATACGCGTGACCGATCCGTGGCAGCCGCTTTTGGTCGGCCATTGCATATCGATATAAATGATTTCACGGTAGATCCACTGACTGAAAGTGACTTCATCGAGCGCAATGAGTTACTGCAGATCGAGTACCCATTCGACATAATCCACGCTCGATTTTTCATTCAATATGTCAAGCTCTGTCAGCTTATGGACCTGGGGCTATGTCTCAAGCTATCTTCGCGATCGATGCAAGACAATAGATGCGCTGAAGCTGCTCAGTGCGAACTAGGATTGAGTGAATGGCTTGCGTCTTGTCCTTTAGAGCTGCAGTGGAGGCAATCCAGGCATACTTTCTTGTCGGGTATATTATTCTCTACGTTCAAGTGAGTTTGAATCTATTCTCATCGGCCATTCAATGGCGACATGCTGAACATCGTCCAGCACGATTGTATGCCAGCTGCAGCTGCTGCAGGAACCGAACTCCTCCAATGAAGCTCAGAAATCATCATTCCATGCTGCATCAACTGTTATATCAATTCTGGAGACGCTATACTCTCATGAGCAACTTCAATATGCTCCTTCTTTCATGTCTGTTCTATATCTCCTTGTGCCATTGGTATTCATGTTGAACTAACAGTGGCTAGCATCTGCCACGCGGTCGTCTCCTTCGTAACATTGCAACATCAAATGGAAGCATCAGTGCCTTCCCTCTTACACGCAATCAGACTTAAACTCGATGCTAACCTTGAAATGCTAAAGGTGTTATCGCAGACATGGCCCATCGCTGGGATGATGCTAGAACTATTCCAGGCCACCGCCACTCCGGCACATTTTGACCGGCAGTTGAAAGCAGCAATAGACAACTGTCGCCATCACTTTTCGGGAAAGACAAATGGCACGAACAGCGGACCTCGATCGTTTCAAAGATCGAGACTTCGACAGGTCATTCTCCCGCAGAGCAGGGTTGTACTTCAGCTTCTAGCGAGGACCAGCCAGAATCAGATGACTGCGATCTCACGTCAGACTTTGGACGATGCATTTTCGGAGGCAGATGTTGAAAATGAGTCAGTTGGACTCCAGTCAGGGGACATTCACTGGAATGGGTCTCCATATGCATTTTCGTCATCGCTTGAAACAGACCCGTCTGCGGTTTTACAGAATCTCCAACAAATTATCCGTATAGGCAGATCAAATTTGCCTAGCAACCGTCACTGTCTTTGATCGTGTGCCCCTTCTTGTTTCTAATTGTATTCGTGAATGAAGAATAATACCTCAGGAATCGCCGACCCGAGCTCGGTGATTTGAGTATGTAAACCTCGGCATTCCGCGATACTCGGTCGGTTCATTTAAATGGTAAACGGCACTTTGTTGAAGCGTATACATAGCGTATACATGCATAGAGCATTCAGTATTAGATCTATAACTCCCAGGAGTAATATTATAGTTATTCTACCATGGAATGTAGGTCTTATCTTATCAATCTCTGACAATGCCTCGGCATATCAGTCCGTCCGCCGTATCCACACCTCAAGTAATAAACCCCCCACTCATCCTCAATTTCTCAAGCAAATCTCTTCGCCTTATTAGACAAAATGGATAAGAAAATTACGTGTTATCTTGATTGCACTTCGCCTTATAGCTATCATGCATTTAGCTACCTACAGAAGAATGCCGCTGCTTTAGCGGACTTAGGGGTGGAAGTTGAGTACGCTTCCCCCCAAGTTTTATAACGGGATGGTCATAGCTAATTATATAGGTTTACCCCCGTCTTCCTGGGAGGGATCAATGTTGGGAGTGGCAATAAACCCCCGTGGACTCTTCCTGCCAAAGCCGAATACGCCAAGTACGACGGCAAGCGAGCGCAGGAGTATTTCGGGAATCAGTTCGAGGTTCCCCCGTGGTTTCCAATTCTCTCTCTTCTGGTATGCAGCGATCCTTCAGCTGCCAGACCAAGTGACTGACACCAATCGACAGCCCCAACGAGCATTAACCTACGTCAAAAAATCAACACCCAAATCTGACTACGAAGCCGCCTACCTCGCCTGTCTCGAGACCATGTGGAAGCGCCAGCTCGACATCTCCAAGCCCGAGCATCTCGCCACAGCACTCCGCCGCGTCTTTCTTGAGGGAAAAGTCCAGGAAATTCTCACTGAAGCCTCTAACCCCAAAATTAAAGCAGAGTTAACAGCTGTGACGGAGAAAGTGGTAAAAGAGCAGGGTGCTTTCGGATGTCCGTGGTTCTGGGTAAAAAATGCACAGGGACAGGAGGAACCGTTCTTTGGGAGTGATCGATTCCATTATATGTGGAGGTATCTGGGGTTGCCTTTTGAGGACATCAAATTGAAAAGTCGGATCTAAACATGCCGGAGTACCTCTATAGGCTCGGCATGCTACTTTCCGGCCTAGGTCCGATTTTGCCGGGTGCGGGTAAACTCCGGCGTGGGGAATGTGGGGGAAATCGGGGCATTTCAGGCTGTTGTGGTTCCCGGGTTCCTATTTCCTGCTTGGTTTTTGTCGGGTTGTGATTGACTACATTCTCGTGTCTGCAGAGTAAATCCCTCAATTTGGTCATCTGTTTCGGTTCAACCATTGTACGTGGGATTGCGTCCGGAGACTGTCCGATTGCGAGGACGCCATATTTAATCTCAATTGCGCCCTCTTTTTATGATTGATTGAATGTTCAATTAAATGCCTCCTCTTTCCCTTTTCCTATACAAGTGCTGTCAAAATGACATGCGCAACTAAAACCTCCTGCGAAGGCTGCTCCTGCAGCAACATCAACACCCCCATCAACATCGAAGACTGCGAATCCGAACTCCTCGCTCTGCGCCAACGCACCCGCGACCTCGAAAAGACCCTATCCTCCGTCACAAAACAAGCCACCCAAACTCCAACAAAACGCTTACGCTCCGCGCAATGGTTCGACAACAATGACAACCCCGGCATGACGGCCCTCTATATCGAGCGCTACCTCAACTATGGCATGACCCGCGACGAACTCATGTCCTCCAACAAACCCGTGATTGGAATCGCGCAGTCCGGCTCCGACCTCAGCCCCTGTAACCGGTACCATTTGGAGCTGGCAAAACGGGTGAGGGAGGGAATTCGAAGTGCCGGCGGTATTGCGATGGAGTTCCCGACGCATCCGATTCAAGAGAGTTCGAGGAGGCCAACGGCGTGCTTAGATCGGAATTTGATGTATTTGGGGCTTGTGGAATTATTGTATGGGTATCCGTTGGATGGGGTTGTGTTGTTGACAGGGTGTGATAAGACGACGCCAGCGGCTTTGATGGCGGCGGGGACTGTGGTGAGTTTTTTCTTTCCTTGCGAATTTATGCAGGGGATACAAGAACGGTGTGCTAATTGGATAGAATATTCCGGCGATTTGTCTGAATGTTGGGCCTATGATGAATGGCTACGTGAAGAGTGAACTGGCCGGGTCCGGCATGGTACTGTGGAAGGGAAGGGAGATGTATGCTGCTGGAGAGATAAATAAGGAGGAGTTTATCGATTACGTTTCAAGAGGGTATGCTGCGTGTTCGGCTTGTTGAAGTGTATGCTAACTCAGACAGTGCACCGTCGGTGGGACACTGCAACACCATGGGTACAGCATCGACGATGAATGCGCTGGCCGAAGCACTGGGTATGGCTCTTCCCGAGTCAGCTGCAATCCCAGCGCCATATCGTGAAAGAGCGCAATGCGCGTATGAAACCGGTCTGCAAATCGTTGAGATGGTCCATGCAGACCGCAAACCCAGCGATATCATGACCCGCGAGGCCTTCGAAAACACCATCGTGGTCAACACAGCCATTGGCGGCAGTACCAATGCACCAATTCATATCAACGCGATCGCAAAACATATCGGGGTCGACATATCGCTAGATGACTGGGATCGACTTGGTTTCCACATCCCACTTCTACTCAACATGCAGCCTGCGGGCGAGCTGCTGGGTGAGGAATACTATCGCGCAGGAGGCCTCCCCGCTATCATGGCTGAATTATTAGACGCAGGCAAGCTGCACGCCGACGCGCTGACCTGCAATGGTCGTACAGTCATTGATAACGTCGGCGGTCGGCACAGCTGGGACCGGCGCATGATCCGCGCTTACCAGGATCCTCTGGTCGTTGATGCAGGCTTCGTGCATCTGCAGGGTAACCTATTCGACTCAGCAATCATGAAAACTTGCGTTATCTCGCAAGAATTTCGCGAAAAGTTCCTCGAGAACCCGAACGATCCGAATGCCTTTGAGGGTACTGTAGTCGTCTTCGACGGCCCTGAGGATTACCACCACCGCCTCGAAGACCCCTCCACCCCGATCAACGAATACAGCGTCCTGATCATGCGTGGTGCAGGGCCACTGGGTTATCCCGGCGCCGCTGAAGTGGTCAACATGCACCCACCGGGCCGTCTATTGCGACAGGGTGTACACTCACTGCCATGTATCGGCGATGGACGACAATCGGGAACCTCGGGGTCACCGTCGATTCTCAACGCCAGTCCCGAGGCTGCTGCGGGAGGGAATCTGGCACTACTGCGTGACGGCGACCGGCTGCGTGTCGATCTAAATAAGCGCCGCGTGGACATCTTGTCGGTGTCGGAAGATGAATTGCGACAGCGGCGGGAAGAACTGTCGATACGAGGAGGATACAATAACCCGAAGAGTCAGACACCGTGGCAAGAGATGTTCCGGAAAGAGACGGCGCAACTGAATGAGGGAATGGTGTTGCGTGAGGCTGTCAAGTATCAGCGATTGGCGCAGGGAGGAGAGCCTCGCCATAATCACTAGGGCAATAGAGATAGCCGTAGAGATGACCACGGGATTGCGCGATTGACCCTGATTGATAACAAATATTCCTTGCATATCCGGAAGTACTTATATTTAATAATAATAGCACAATTGTGACGCTGTAACTGCACCAACCGGATAGGGCAGAATCCTGAAACAGCCTAGACTCGCCCGTGACTTCATCTGGTCTGTTCTCGTCAGACCGCCTCAAAATTTTTTTTTTCTCACTTTCACGCACTTCGTTCATTCCCCTCTCCTTTTTCTTCTTTCTTCTTTCTTCCCGCATATTTCTTTTTCGCTGTCATGTCTGTCTATCTCCGTCCATTCAGCTCCCTCGTGGCTCCCATGCGCGTTCTCTGAGGCCTCTTACTCAACCACCGCCGGACTCTTGCATTGCGCTTTGCTACCTTGCAGGCCATCTTGTCGGATTCCCGTGTGACTGGGTGCAATCTAGGCTCATTCTCGGCTTTGATAGCGCAAATTTCTCGCGATCTATCGATTTCCTCCTTATTCTCCGGCCCTTGGCGCACACCGCATTGTCTTGGTTGTGTGGTTGTTGTCTGGATTGCGGCAGGCAGACACGGTTACTCTTTGGCATTCCTTTTACCACCTACGGATTTATATTTGAATTCTTCTTTCTCACCATGGATGCCTTTTTATAACACACGCATCTCGGTTTTTTTTTTTTTTTTTCTCGCCTGCGCGTTTGTGTTTTGTTTTTTGCGCCAAAAGTTATCTGCGGTTAAGCGTCAAGTTCTTCAGCATTGCTCTTCTTTTATTTCACCTAATACTCCTCATTCATCCTCAATCCTCTACTCGACTTGACATATTTAAATTATTGCGACCATGTCTCCAAACCTCTTTCTCTGTCTTCGAACCGTCCTCTGCCCCGTCTATTGGTTCCAGCGCGGCGAGCGCATCAACGGTTCCATCCATCGCGAGGAGCACTGGGAGTCTCCAGTACCTGGTATTTACAATTACGTCCCCGGCCGCGGCTGGCATCTCATCTACCGCGACGGAAACAAGTACGACGAAAAAGTGCCCGTACCACTGATCTACTGCCGCATCCTGCACCGCTACATCTTCGAAGATGAGATGGAAGAGCGCTGTCGCTGGTACTATGTCTCTCTTGAAGAGGGCGCTACGCCGGTCAGGCGTCTGTTCTTCCGTCTCGATGACGGATACACTTGGGTCGCTGGATGGGATGCCAAGGGGCGTTTTCTGCCTGGACCGTACGTGAAATGGTCCCTTGATACTGAAGCCAATACCATGCGTCGTATTTACGAGCCAGAGAGCTCGAATGTTTCGCGGTGCAGCAGCATCGTGCCGTCAAAATTGAATTGATCGACGAAACCTTATTTTACTCTGCAAACTGGCGTTTCCTCTATTCAACATTTTGATATCAACTTTTGCCAGCGATTAAGTCAGCGATCTCGATTTATCCGCACTATACCCGTCGCAAGTTGTTCAGCGGGAGTTTCCTTTTGTCTTTTCCTTTTTGTCCTTTCATATTGACTGGTTGCCACTGTTTTGACGCATTGCCATTGTATAAAAAGTCCCTAGCGATGGCGTTTTGGAATTTACGTTATAGAAATGTTTAAAAGTTGTTTCCTCCAGCGTTGGTGTTATTTGTGTTTGCTGTTTCGCACAGAGTTTGGACGGTCTGGTACTGGTCATTAATATAATCTTCTCTGCTATTCTGTGCAAGTGATTTACAACTTGGCCTGGGGTTCCTTGACCAATCCCTTGAGCCCCTTTCGTACACTTCCTTCCATCCCTTGCCTCCCAGGCCTCATCGTCTCCCTCTCCACAAACACATGCGTATATCCCCCGACAACTTTCACATCCTCCTCTCCCTTCCGGAACACACCCACTTCATACGTTACGCTCGACTTTCCCAGTCTCTCCACTCGCAATCCCAACTCAAGCACATCCGGGAACGCAACAGATGCGAAATAGTCACAGTACGAAGTTGCGATAATGGCAATCTGCTTCATCGCCGGCCCCGATGAGTCGTCTTTGTTGACAGTAAACGGATCCATACCACAGTGGCTGATCAGGTATGTGTTGACTATGGAGTCGAAGAGCATCGTGTAGACGGTGTTGTTGAGGTGTGCGTACATGTCGTTGTCGAACCTGCAACGATTAACATACAAGCCACTGGAGTATATCCGAGTATAGAAGGGTAAGGGGAAGGTACCATCGGGTCTGGTATTCCTGTTGGAAGGCATAGTCTGCGCGGCTGCGCGCCTTTTTGGTTGCGAGCTCTTTGGGTGCCATTGTAGAGTACGTGATAGAGCAATCGCGATATCAAACGCCTAATGCCGTGGTTTATGTACCTCGAATGAATGCGACACGCGGGGAACCCGAGCCGAGGCCTATATCCGCTTACATAAGTATAATGCCTCAGGCAGAACAAATTTTCGATGTCCAAAAAATACTTTCGCAAACCCCACGAGACACAGCCTTAACATTCGTCGCACAAGCCCCCCATTTCGTCTTCTCGACGAACACATCACCACAACGCCATCCGCCCGGATCATTGCCTACCTCGCCCGGCGAGGAAAACTCCCCCCGACAATCATGTCGCTCACACCCGTCGACGCAACTCTCAAAGCCCCTCCCGCCGATCCTGTTCAGGAACCGCCCAAGGTGGCCATCACGCCGTGTGATCCGTGGCCGGCGCCGTATTACTACGAGGGCGGGTTGCGGAGAGTTCGGCCGTATCATTATACGTATAATACGTACTGCAAGGAGAGATGGCGGGGGAGGACGTTGGTGGAGATTTTTACGTCGGAGTTTAGGGATCGGAGGCCGGAGTATTATGTATGCTCCTGTTCGCAACGTCTGTTTCGGGTATAATACTAATCGATGATAGAGAGAAGCACTGGAGAAGGGATCTGTGACGGTCAATGGCCAAGTCGCCGGGCCCGACACGGTCATTAAGAACGGCCAGGTTATTTCGCACACCCTGCACCGACACGAACCCCCCGTTACCGCCAACGAGATTGGAATCATTCATGAAAACGATGATATGATTGTTATCGATAAGCCTGCAGGTGTTCCAGTGCACTCTGCCGGGCGGTACCACTACAACACTGTCGTCGAGATTATGCGCGCCCAGCGCAGTCCGCATTTCCTTCCCAGGCCGTGCAATCGTTTGGACAGACTTACGTCTGGAGTCATGTTCATTGGGAAACACCCCAAGGGTGCGGAGGTGATGGCGGACAAGTTGAAGCAGCGGACTGTACAGAAGGAGTATGTGGCTCGTGTGAAGGGGAAGTTTCCGGACGGGGTTGTTATTTGCGATCAGCCGGTTATGCAGGTTAGCCCGAAGCTGGGTCTGAATCGTGTTCGTGCAACAGGTAAAGAGGCGAAGACCAAGTTCCGTCGACTCGCATTCTATCCCCCTCAACCTGTCCAGACGGTTATCGACGAGGCAAATGGTGAACGCGCCGCAACACCACCACCAGCCCTCTCCAACGAGGACGAAGGCTACAGTATCGTCCACTGCCTCCCGCTCACCGGCCGCACGCACCAAATCCGCGTCCACTTGCAGTTCCTCGGCTACCCCATCACCAACGACCCCATCTACTCGAACCGCCGCGTCTTCGGCCCCAACCTCGGCAAGAACGAGTCCTCCGCTGACCGCGACGGCGAGATCATCGACCGCCTGTCCACAATGGGCAAAACAGAACTTCCAGACACAGTCCACTCATACCGCACGCATCTCACCGCCGCACCAGACCTCCCACCAGGCACAGACCCTAAGATAGTCAACGAAATCATGACTCGCGAACACGAAGAAGCATCTATAAAATACCTGCGCCGCAAAGGCGAAATGCTCTCGGGAAGGACATGTGAAATCTGCGGAACAGAACTATACAGTGACCCCGGCGTCCACGAACTCGGTATCTTCCTGCATGCAGTCGCATACGCTGATCTCGAGGGTGACTGGAAGTATCGTTCTAAGATGCCATCCTGGGCTCTACCGCCTGGTGGATCTGAAGGGCCGCAGGAGGCTCCGGATTGGGTGTTTGGGCCGGAGAGTGAGGAGGTAGTTTTCGGGTATGGGGTTGTGCCTGAGAGTTTGGATGATGAGCCTAAGGGGCAGGGTGGGAAGGATGGGGTAGTTAAGGGGAAACAAGGTGTGCCTAGTCTTATAAGGGGGGTTGGGATGGTTGATGTTGAGAAGGAGGGATTGCCAGAGACTTGATTTTGGGTTTGCTTGAACATAAAAGTTTTGCATTGCAAGTATATAGATATCCATAGATACTTTGATGTGATGATGACTTAAACGATATACATATTCCATTCCTGATACATATCCAATCCAGAACTAAGAGAAATCACTCTGGGCAGAAAGCACACAAAACTTGAATCAAAACTTCATGCATCGAGCTTGATAGGTACTTCTCTAAGATCAGAAATATGACGGAACAATATGAACGTTGCTAACACACGGCAAGGATAGGAACTATCTGTCACGGAGTACGGGCATTCACCAACAACGCAAGATGTTTGTATACTTTGGCCTGTTTTGATTTTGGGGCGGGACCCCCTTCGCACACTAGATAGCGCAGCGCTGGCAGGCCCAGCTTCTTTCTTTCCTTCTCCATGTTAGTATTTCGATAGAGTCTACTAATAAATTTATATTGTTCGAGACTGTCACACTATCCATGCAATGGTCTCTATCAAATCATTCCAGCGTCCAGTTGTCATTTTCAGACGCCAACGTCCCAAGATACCAAAGAGTGGCGTTGGCATTCCTTTGGAGTTAATTCTGGTTGAAAGAAAGAGGTCTTTGTATTCATTTATAATTGTGGTTAGATTGTAACTGTCCCAGGAACTAGTCTGAGGAGCATTGTTGATTGGATTAGTGATGTCTCTATTGGAGGATCATGTTCTCCAAATGTCAATCGAGGTGGAGTTCATTGGGAGTATTGCAGTAAGTCAATGGTGTCGTCCATGGCAGGATAGAATATTAATACATCAGTAGATATAGAGGAGAGTTGGTTGACCCAGAAAGATGGTGGGAATGAACCACATCTTTATACTCAACTGTCACCAACCTATTCAATATGGCAGGCGCTTAGATACAAGCAATCAATTAGTGTCATTCAGCTAGTGCCCAGTGAATATACTTGAAATCATCAACTCCAAAACATGGCGGTTGGATAATGGTACTAATCTATACTTCCATGGCGGTAAATGTATATATATTGGTGTATAACCACCTGATTCAATCTTTCCTTTCATCGCTATATACATATCTCTAGGCGCCTGAATGGAGCTAACTATGAACGGCATTACTTCTGTTAAGCTTCTGAGTGAACCAGATGCACCCAGCGTTTTCCAAGTCTTAGTAAATGAAACCCCAGCTATCTTATAAGTGGCATATTAGTACACTCTCGATTCCCTCCTTTATTAATCCCTAGTTGACAATTACTCAGTACCATACCCCAGCAGAACATGACCAACGACCTTCAAACCCCGAGACAGACCCCTTACAAATGCGAAAGCACAGCATACACCCACCTCAAGGAAAGAGGCCCATATGACCAAGAAATCATCCGCCACATAGACCTCAGCAACTACACCAAAAACTGGGTGTGGCCCACCTAGAAACACTACGCAAGATACATAGTATGCATGTGCGCCACGGTGATCCGTAACCTCGGAATGATGATGGTTCAGGAAGAAACGGGCCGGGTGTTTTGGAGTGATTTTGACCGCGCAGACCTTTCCTTATGGGCCTGTCATGTTGCGTTGAGACATTACGGCTGGCTTGTCTTGGATGTTGGGATGACGGAATAGTTGATGGAGAAGTTGGAGGATGTGAAAGAGGGGAAGCTTGTGAAGGCTTGGGATTTTCTATTATCACTGTTCGTGATTTGGAATCATGGTCAGTGGAAGGGAAAGACTGGCTTTGCGCGGATCATGTAGATAGATAGCTACGCATGTAGATGACAAGTAGTGCAGCGGACAGACGTATCTCTTGATATCAAAATCCAATTGACTCTCCCATTCCTTTGTCGCGCCAGTACCTGTCATGTTTTATAGGTGTCATGCACATATCCGAGGATGGATGCGTATCTCACACGAGAAAAAGAAAGAGGAATGGATATTTGGCTTCCACACGACCGTACAAAAATGGAAAAAATAGATTTGAGATAAAAAAACACCCGACCAGTACCCTTTATCACTAGCGAACCGTGTGATCCGTCCCGGAAACCGCTTTCCTTTTTCTTTTTCTCGCGCTTTACTAATTTTTCATTTTGTCGTTCGTCACAGGGGAATAATTTAAGCCTCAGTGGTGACACGGCCCTTGGGGTTGGTGACCTTGACACCGAGAGCCTTGGCCTTGGCGAGAATGTCGACACGCTTGCGGGAGGAGACGGCGTGAGCGATCCTATAGTAGTATTAGTATTAGCAATTGTCGAACTTGCAGAAACAAGACAGTTTGGGCGGGCGACATACTCAGCGGCGTAGGTGCGGTTGTGCATGAGCAGAAGCTCAACGTCCCGGGGGTTGTGGACGAGGAAGGCCTTGTGGCCAGAGGGCATCATGTGCTTGGTCTTCTTGTTGGAACCGTATCCGATCTATCCATAACATCACATATCAGTATTCGTGTTCGATTGTCCGTAAATATCTTTTCGGTGGGTGAATCGTACCGAGGGCATCGGAAGGTTGCTCTTGAAGCGTCTACGGACGCGGTTGTCGATACCCTTGGGCTTGCGCCATGACGAAGGGACACACTTGAAGCGGTCGGACTGGTGGCGCCAGAAGGTCTTGGTGCCTATGGATTGTCAGTTGTCGGTCGTGTTTCGTGTGATCGTCCAGCTATCGATTGTCCATGTCGCTCGTCTTTCCACTGTCTGACATTGAATGCAAATTTTGCATTCCATCGTAACCCAATAACCCCGTACTCAAATCGGTTCAAACCAATTTCCCCCCTAAACTGATGGACTCCGATGGACAAAAACCCGACAGACTGAAATCGAAATGTGCTCGGGCAGGAATTTAGGATCACATACGCTTCTTGACGATAGGGACGTGCTTCTTTGCGAGGACCATCTTCTCAAAATATTAGAATTTCCCTATATCTCAATTCACATAAAGAACATACCTTGCCGGTGTTGTAGGGTCTCGCTGGCTGGGCGTTCGAGAGTTGTCGTGACGATTCGAAATCTTCCTCAAAATTTCGCGCGGGAGGTTTGGCCGAGCCCAGTTGGAGCGAGTCTGAGTGGCCCGCCGCGCTAGTGGCTCGCTAAGCGATGCCGTTTCCCGATCGGGATCCTAGGGCTGGGGCAGGAAGCCCTGCCAAGGCACGTGATTGGTTGATTTCCGTTTTTGGAATGCATACATCATCTATCTATGAAGTGAGTTTGTTATGCCACACTTGATACTCTAATGTCATCTTCTCGCCGCCGCGTTCGCTGCTTTGGATCATCTTCTCCATGACCTCCAGGTCTGCTAATGCTTCCTCGGGCGACATTGGCTGGTACACCACTCCGCTCCTCTCCAGAATCGAACAGGCAAAGATACGGATCTCACTTGTGACACCCCGGCCGCTGAAAGCAATTTCCCCTAGATCTGTGAGAGTATCGCCATCAAGCGTGATTGAACTCGAACCATAATTGAATTCGTAGATCTGGTCGTTCGACTCCGATCCATACGACAATGATAAAGTCCCTTGTGTTCCGTTCTTGGTCCGCAAGGTCGCTTCAATTGTATCAATAGGCGCAAGATGTGGTTGTCGTAAACTGCAATGCGCCGAGACCTCGGTCAGGGGATGAGCATAGGCAATTTCATCTAGGATTAGGCGTATAGCGGCGATAACATGGACACCCCCATCTAGGAGGAATCCGCCTTGGTAATCAGAATGCCTGCGCCATTCCGTTTCTGTGATGGTGTTATTTTCGACTTTGTGCCAAACTAGGAGCGGCTTGAAGCTTACTGTGGTATTTAGAGTCGGGTTTTATCATGCTGTGTACCTTCACCCGGAAGCTATCCAGGCCTCCACGGAGCCCGACCTCAGCCGCCGTTCTCTTGTATTTATCCATCCATCGCCAGTTCTCTCCCACAGCCCATAGAATCTTCCGATCAGGACCTGTCTGGGAGCGATACCATCTTATCATATCAATCGCCGTAGCAACGTCTTTGGCGATAGGTTTCTCGGAGAAAACATGTTTTCCCGCCTGGATAGCCAGTCTTATATACTCCGGCTGGATCGTAATCGGGAGACTTCAGCAGATTAGCGACTTCGAAGACACTGAAAACATGGCAGACATACGCAATAGTCACAGCCATAATATCGTCACGGGCAAGTAAGTCCCTATACCCCTTTCCCAGGCCCGAGTCATCAGAGTAAATGTCGACATCTGGAACCTTTCCATATTCCCGTTTTATCTTCTCCACTGTAGCCGGAATATCTTCTGCCAGTTTCTCGGCTGATTGCAGAGAGCGGGAGTAGACGGCTTTGAGGACGCAGCCCCAGCCACTGGAATTCATGATTGATGGCTGATAATGACATCATTAGATATAAAAAACGGAGCGAGTATATTCTGGAAAGGGTGGCTTGTTGCGCACTAGGTGTTCTTCGCGGGCAAAGTTCCCTGATATATGTATTCGCATTGGATTATTTCTCTTTCTCTGATTTCCTTATTCTGGTTGAGATACGTACCGCTGCCTATGATGGCCATGCCAATCTTAAAGTCGTGTTGCATGATGGCTACAAGTTGAACTGTTCTGTAGGATGTAAACGACGACGGATGGTAAAGGGCACGGTAGAAACTAGCATCTCTTATCAGAATCCGGGGTCAGGTGGGGTCCCGTGATCTGTCAAAAAATCGTGCATGTGCATATCAGGGCATTAAATTTAAATTGATGAATAGATTGTCTGTCTGTATTGTATATTTTTAAATGAAAAAATCAATCAATCAATCAATGGGAATCAATCTGGGTGTATTATACATGTAAACAGATACCAAATATCAGGATATGCCGAAACCATAATCTGCGCCAGTAACAAAGTGCAAAACAAGTCAGAAAACCAACGCAAATCAGATAAAACAAATAAACACGATGCGCCTGCTTCCTGAATATGCTGATCGTATCGTTCATCGCGCCGTGACCCATCAAAACAATCTGGTTTCATGTCCCATGTCGAGAAAAACAAACGCAAGGGGGTATATATGTATATATGTAATCGATGCAACCAATGCAAACTGGGACATGTCAAAGAGAAAGGAAAGTATGGAGGGAGGCAAAAGGAGAGAGCTATCCGACCATAGCCCTCAACCTCTCCACCCTCTGCATCGCCTTCTCCAACCGGTCAAGCCGTGTCCGCTTCTCGACATCCCTTCGCTCCAACACCGCAACCCGTTCCTCCAACCGCGCGCGTGCTTTCCGCTCTTGCGCTACCATTTCATTCGCCTGACTGAATAGTTGTGCCGTCAAATCCTCCAGTTCCGTAGCCGCCTGCGACAATTGGTTCTCCGCCGCCTTGCGCAAGTTTTGTTCCCGACTGAGCGCATTCTGCAATTGAATTGTTTCTTCGGGATCGGGGCCAGGATGCGGGGGGATAACGTGCGATTGGGTTTGTGGCGGCTCCGAAGCTGGTGGAGGCGGAGGAGTAGGTGTAGCGCTAGGACGACGACCGTACGGGAAAAAGGACGTTAGCGCGGTAAAACGGCTCTGTTGTTGTTGTTGTTGTTGTTGTTGCGGTTGTGGCTGTACGGGGCCATTGGGCGCTGGAAATTGGGTTGGTGATAGCGATTTATCCATGTCGTCGGATGATCGAGAGGATCGCGATGTTCGCGGTGTGTAGGCGCTGGCTTGAGAGCGCAGACGACGGACTTCTTCGTCGTACTCGGCGAGTTTTTCGACTGTCCAACCTGCATCAATATAATTGTAGACGGGAAAGAAGAGAGGTTTGGACTCACCCGACCCCGTATTTTGCAATTTGAGAACCTGAACCTGTGCTTCTAACTCCTTGATTCTCCGTTGGGCCTCTTCGGCCGCCATTTCGCCTTGCGGCAAGACTCCCTCATGACCACGATGCTTCTCAGAAGCTGTGATATCAGTAGGCATGCCGATAAGCGTCGTATTAAGGGCAGTGGCGGTCGTGGTTGTCGTTGTTGACATGGTTGTTATGCTGCGGAGGGGGAGGGAATTAAAAGGATTCTTGGGTCGGGCAGACCCACGGAACGACCCTGGTTACTGCCGGGGGATAGAGGTTGGATTAGTATTTAAAGGCTGGAAACTATTTCAGAATGACAGCGAAGAGAGAACCAGAAAGGATAAGAAGGGAGAAAAGGGAAGATGTAAGGATGTCTGACAGCCCGGGGAGGCTGACAAGAGTACCGTCGGGGATGGAGATGGCGGGTCTGGTGGGCATAATAGTGCTGCTATTCTTGTACGTAGACATATATTGTTATTTGGATTCTGGCATTTATTATGAGACAGTCTCCTGAATTGTTCCTTAATCTTCCATTCTTTATAGCTATTCTTTATAGCTATTCTTTATAGCCTTTACTAGTAAAAAGAAATGTCCGACACGTGTGGATCGCGCCGTTGCTGCTACTGCATCTATACAATGCTGATGTGACGAGTCATCTGACAGTAGTATTGTACTCATTCTGCAGCATTGTCATCATGTTGTAGCCTCATAATACGTATTTCGTAGGGGTATAAATGACGCTTTTCCTGCGAAGGTCTCCCGACAATTACATCGATATCGGCCCTGTATATATCCCTATTCCCACACAACCCCAGCCACGCCAACAACCAACAAAGGACAAGAACCTTTGTCCCCCAATACCCCTTGCAGCATATATACTCCCTCGATTAAGTTTATCTGATTCCGATCGTGCCTCACATATGTCGCAGAACAAGCGCTGCCGCAATCTGAAACCCAGCCTCCGCATACGCGCGGTTGGTGGATGCTATCTTCCAATAGCCTGCAATTGGGTGTGCGCGAGATGGGATATCGCCTAGTGAAAGCTTTTTGAAGATCACTAACCTGGAATTGGCACAATTCACGACCTCCCGAATCCCTTCCACCCATACACCCCCAGGAAAACCATAGCAGTTACCCCACTCATAACCCCAAACACACTAACCATTGTCTGCCATCCGTTATTTTCGACCAGGGATCCAGCAAGCAATGATCCTTGTACTTGATCGCGCGACCAGGCTATATACAAGCCATATGCTTGAGCTGTACCGCCCTGGTGCCCGAATAGATCGGGGTGTTCACTTTCGATGTTCTCGACGATGTAGTGCACTTCAATCATGAGAGACCATTTGCAGGACACTGACAAGACCGGTGAAAATAGAGAAAGATGACTAGAAAGAACTTGTCATGGGTGGAGTCAGTTGTGATGATTCGGAGGAGAATGAATATGGGAAAGCTTATAAGGAAGCCCAGGAAAGCGATTGTTTGCGCGCCGTAGCAGTCGACAGCATCGCCTATTACTGCGGAAAGGAAAAATGGTGTGGATAGAGGAACGAAGCAGAGTCCGACGCCTAGAGGACTCGGTCGAATGTTCTCATGGTATGAAGGGGAAGGACCTGAGATGCCAGCAGCGATTCACGAACCCTCAAAAATCGACACCACTTACCAAGTCGAGAGATGTATACAAAATAGCATTCACGACTGTCGCTGCAAAAATGAGAAGCAGATTGCCCGAACACACCAACCGCAGCATTCCCGGTAATGGTGATGATTTCGCATCCACAGACTCACCATCTTTTCCAAAAAAGATTCATACTGAGAACCAGCACAAATCAATGCGTCAATCTCTGCCACCGTCCCTATTCCCCATTAGCCAACCCATTCCATTCCGCAATCAACCCCAGGATGAAGAAAACTCACAATATCCCTCCTATAAACGGCCCAAGCACCGGCCCCACTGTTATCTCCATACTAACCCATCCCATAGCACCCCCAACCTGCGCCATACTGCTAGATAGAAGCGAGAACGCAATCTCACCATGCCATAAATGAAAACATCCTAAACATCCATTAGCCCCATTCAGACACAGTTCCCAAACTACAGAATAATGTAAAAACCCCAACCGAAACAACCCAAATCACAACTCTCTTCGACGAGCGAAACTCCAGCTTCCACGGCTTTGTAGGGTCATTACCGCAACTCTCCATATTGCATCTATACAAAGTGTGTGCGTGTATTCTAGGTTCCTGTGTCTGCCTGCACACAAGAGTCACAGGTTCACAGTAAAAAGAATATATAAATTTATAAATGTGGTGCCCACGGACTCTATTTATTTTTACAGTACTGGTTCAGCCCAGTCAGCTCACCCCAGCTGCAGTGAATCAATTGGTCTGGTGGCCATTGGTCTCAGCTCCAGACAAAGATGCCATTGGGCATCTGTACTCTTACTCCTCTTTCTAACGCTTATATACCATGTGAAGGAGAGCTGAAGATTTGCTGATAGATGACTAATGTCTCAGGTCTCCAGCCTAATTCGGTATATCCGTCGATTTGTCTGTGTACTCTCTGTACATGGTGCATAGTAACCTCGCAGCGATCACGATGCAGGACTCGTGTACATGTTAGATGCTTATGAAAAACAGAATGCTACGGGTATCTGTACAGAGTAGAAACGGTAACATTTATTGCATGCTGTCTCGTCAACAGGAAGGACATGGAACAAGAACAATTAGGACTCCACACGCCATCTCCCATCCCGAACATGACAAGACAGACAACCGAAAAGGAAAAAAAAGAAAGAGATAAGTTGACAGCTGTAAAACGGACGAAATCTCATAAGACAACATAGAATACGAGTTCCTCCATCACATCGGCCATAATGGTCGTCAAGTGCATACATAACATCGAGAGAGCTAGGGTCAGAACACTCAAACACAAAAGAGAATAAACGAGAAACTTTTCGACGTGCCCGGAACTGTAGCAAAGGATTAAAATCATCCCCAGCCCAGCAAGAGAATCGTGAACCAAGACAAGGTCGGAGAATCAGAGAAGAGCGCAGATGATCGGAAATTTGAACAAATAGCCACCAACATTAACCAAAACCTCTCCACCATCGCAGATAGCAAGAGCTTTTCGGAAAAAGCACCCCGGACGATAAAAGAAAAACAGTCAAAGTGTTTTCTCCGCGTTCTGGAATTAAATGGCGACACTGTTCAGGGTATCGAAAAAGTCAAGGAAATGAATAGATCTATGCATGTGCGCGACCTCCACGACGGTTACTGCGCTGCCGCGTGCTAACGGTGCTCCAGCCCTCGTCATCACCAGCAGCTTCGGCCTCGGCCGGTCCGCTTCTCCAGTTGCCATTGGATTGAGCGGCAGAAGCCTCCTGCGATGGAGCAGCGGCCTTGGAAACTTCCTCTGCGGGTTCCTGGTCAGCGGTCATGCCACTCTCTTCCTCACCAGCACGCCGGAGGATGTCAAAGCTCTTGCCACCCTGAGGCACGTCACTAGTGTCCTTTTCGTTCGATTCGGGCTTCTCAGCCTTGGCTTGCTCCTTCGCAGCACGCTGCTTCTCCGCCTTCTCCGCCTTCTCCGCCTTTGACTTGTCGTCGGCTTCCTTCTTCTGGCGAAGTGTAACCTGGCGGCGCTCCTCCACCTGCTTCTCGCGAGTGGCAGTGTCGATTGGCTTCGCACCACCAAATGGGCTTGCCTTCGACTCGGTGCCGGAAGCGGGGCTAAGGACTTCCTGCGTGACGGTACGCTTCTGAAGGTTCAACCTGGGACGACTGGCAGGGGCTGCCGGGGCCGCAGGAGCAGCAGCGGGAGATGCAGGAGCAGCAGCAGGCGAGGGGGGGTTGCTGATTTGCGCATCGGGCCGCATCTTCGATCTCCACGAGTTGTCAAGTTCGGCCGCAGTGGGGGTACGTTCCTGAAGTTCACGACGCGGGGGTCTAGAGCCCTCCTGGGAGCGTCCTTCGCCCCAGGCGGGGGCAGGCGAGCTCCGACGGCCGCCCTCCCTAGGTGCAGGAGCACCACTAACGGGAGAAAGAGGGCCCTTGCGCTCCCAGTTGCCGAAGTCGCGAGGCTTGCCGTCAGATTCAAAGTTGCGGCGGGATGGACGGTCGCTGCCAGCGTCGGAAACGTTGTCCAAGGCGCGTCCAAATGTGGAGCGGTCAGGAACACGGCGTTGAGCGGGCTCTGGGGCGGGGAGAGGGCCCCTGCGGGTCCAATCAAACTCCTTGACATCACGTTCCTTGGCTATCCGTGCTGTCAGTATGCAAAGATCCTTCAGAAAAAAGCAAACCGAAGATACATACGAGGCTCCGCAATGCTGACTCGGATCGATCTGCCCTGGAGATTAGCACCAGAAAGGTCCAAGGCCTTCTTCAAACCATCGACGGTGTCGAATTCGACGTAGCCAAATCCCTTAGGGCTTTTTGTCAATTTATCCTCCACGATACGGACGTTGGTCACATCGCAACCCGCGAAGAGATCCTCAACATCGGCGGAGGCCGCATCGAAGGAAAGGTTGCCGATGTGCGCGGTGTAGGGAGGCTGGGTAGGAAGAGGAAGAGGCTCTCTAGTCGCGAAAGGGCGGTCTATTCAAAAATTTATTACCGTCAGCCAATGCCGTCTCATGGTGGTAGGGAAGTCTCATACCGGAATAGCCGTTGAAACCCGTAGCAGACGCCGACGGAGCCGGGCGAGTGCCCATGGACGGAACGGCTGTATAAACCATTTAGTCGTAACTTTCAACAAAGGATAAGAGGTGGGGGTAGGAGCGGATCAAACATACAGGCTGCAGTTTATCACTTGTCAGCGACTATCATCATATTTCAATACATCGTTGTGGATGTGACTTACCAGGCAAAGGGAGATCGTCCATTTCATCGGCCCAAGAGCCAAGGGCTAAAATAGTCAGCACCGACATTCTGTCTCAATCAGTCTTGCGGGAAACTTTTTTTTCTCACTTACTCTCATCGGCCAAGAAAGTCCCTATGGACATCTTCTGGGCCTTCTGCTTGGGAGGCGCTATAAACAAGCCAGTCAGTACTGTCCATTCTTCGCATACCGGTTTGGGCAGAGTGGTGGGATAGGCGTACCCATATTTGTAGCTGTTGGATGGGAATCTGGACTGCGCCGGAGATTCTTTGTGCGCGTCTCGTTCAGACGCAAGAGGGCCGAAAACTGGTATAAAAAGCGACTCCCGAGTAGGAAGACGACTTAAATTATTTCAGAAAGTGAAATTCTGGTGAGATTTGGAAAGACGACGATGCGCAAAGCAAAGGAAAAGTAGAGAAAGTTGGACGAAGACAGACAGAGGGGTGCAGATTGGTTGGCCGCTTATGTAATCCGGGTATAATTTTTTAGATGCATGATGTTACGGTTGGTGCGATAGGGCTTTAGTTATATAACAGTTCTTTAGTTCAAAGGAAATAAAATTAAATATTGATACTCCGTATATAGTTCTATGTATCTCTGTTCCGAGGCACAGATTGCCAATTGTTGGCGTGGTCGATGTGGTGCTCGCCAATGACGGGCCATTTAACCGACATAAGAACACCAGAGAAAATGTACGGCAGTTGATATGTACATCAAGGGACATATGCATGCTTATAAACAAGGATTGACAGATCAGAGAGCCTTATTAGCCATACATGACATGCTGCTTGAATCCTGCTCAACCCAATGTTTCATTCTGCGAGGTAGCATAATAGGACTGCTGAACTGTTAACCATAACCTCCTAGCTTAGACTTTATAGCATTTTTTATGTGTAATTCTGATTGACAGCACCATAATCGTCTTCATCTTTGTTTCCATTCTCTTTTCTCCCAGCAATATGTTAAAAAGTACCCAAGATGCCAAATCCGATATCTTACTAATACACGTGATCTCACGTGCACTTTTTATATCGCGAAAATCGACTCCAACGTCTAGCAAAGAACCGATGACTTCAACAGGGGATGTGATCCAACAATCACAAGATGAGTGGAAAGCAGAATCAGAATGTTAATCTTGAAGATGCTTTGCTGTCATCGTTGAAAGTGGGAGCCTTGAGTGGTTAGTTTCTCATCCTCCATCTGGTGCTCTGGGAGGCCTATCTATATATGGAGGCCATGCTTACTAGTGTAGGCTGCACTGGTCTTGCCTATGGAGGTGCCGCTGGTGTTATTCGCTCTCCACATCCAGTGATCCATTCTATTTCATGTGGTATTCATTGGTTTGCCTGCGGGACTACGTTTTGGTGTGAGTATCTTTTCCATATTTGTTACCTGGGCATTGACTAAACTCTAACAGGGCTGAGGAGTAATATCCTAAACATGCACTATGAAGACAAGGCCACCCCGAAACAAAGGTCATATGTCAGCGCTCTTTCTGGTGGGATTGCTGGAGGAGGAGTGACCAGACTGATGGGTATGCCTCTAGAACGATAACTCTTATTGGGACGAGAGAGACTGATAGAGAATCAACAGGAGGCCGTCTACTCCCAGGAACCATCATATTTTCACTACTAGGTTTTGTCAGCCAAGGTGCTTTCAACGCAATCGACACATGGCAGATGGAGCAGGCAAACGTTCCATCAAAACCGTTTCTCCAGCAGTTGGCGGACTCGAAGTGGATTCCTTTGAGATCACTATCAGATGATGATTACCGGGGAATGTTGAACGAGAAAGTGCTTAGCATTGAGGCGGAAGTCGCACTCCTTGACGAGAAAATTCAAGAACTAGAAAAGGCCAGGGCTGTTGGGACAGAGAGTGTGTCGAAACCGCGGGGTACTTAGACGACGTTGATAATCAAGAATTTGGATATGGTGGTTAGTGACCCTATATACAAGTCGGGGCAATATCTTGTCTGAAGGAATGGGTCTAACAGAAGCTCGCTGGAGTCTATTATATTAATGACGGTAGTAGACTAACGATGATTAGATGTACAATAATATATAGAAAACTTGAAGATTGTTTTCAGTCAAGTAGTCGAATCGACCACTACCCCTCCAAAAGGCCGATTGCATCTTCTATCTTGGATTGGATAATGCTTAACCATTTCTAATCCTTGTTAGCACTGAACTTTTTTGATTAGCAGACTCACTCACCTCAGCCTCATCCAAATCCCCCGACTCGACGCTGTTTGCCAGCCCTGGGAACCCAGGCTTATCGACCTTGTACGAGCTATCCTGGAAGACGATATTCTTTTTACTCTGCCCCGTCCCGTTGCCCTCTTCATTGTAGAATTGACGCTCAAACATGCGGTACTTGGCATTCACGGTTTTCACTTCGTGGTCGAATGCCGTCCTGCCCGATTCTCGAAGCTCTGCGGCGAGCATATCAAACTTCACAGCAACAGAATGGAGACGTGACAGATCATCGTTTAATGTTTCAAAACTGAGCATAGACCCCAAAGTTTCGTCTGCTTCCTCCTCAATAAGGCTGACGTAATGGCGCAGAGTAGCTGCATACTCGGTCACATTAAATGGGTGCACGGGACTTTCTACCAGCCTGGCCGCGAGCAAAGCCCAAACCCGCGCAGCCGCCATGTGATACTGAAACCCGGGGTCTCCAAATCTGTCCATCCAGGCCACCGTGTCGAAGCTGCTATGCCAATGGAACACAGGATCGTGGTCTCCCTGCTCGAAGCCAAAGTCCCCCGTGGTGATACACTGGCGCACAAAAATCGTAGCATCACCACCACCCTGTGGCCCCAACGAGCCACCCCAGAGGTCTAGTACCGATTGGCCTGGAATAGTCTGATTGGGAGATGGGATCTGGGACGTGACTTCACGGAACAGTGAACCCAGGAGAGGACTGGCTTTGGTGAAATATTGGCTGCCCGAGACGGCATTTGGTGCTTCCACGTAGGCTACTGTTTTGTTGGATAGCCACGGGATATTCTCCTGAACCCACGGCATGGAGCCCCAGAATCCCATCTCGTGGCCGTCCCAACTAATGAAGATAATGGTCCGGAGGGGCCGCCAGCCAAGCTGGACAGCTAGGCCGAAGCTGCGGACAAGCTCGTTCAGGATTGCGGAACCGCTATTTGGGTCTGCAGCGCCAGCACCCCATGCATCGCGGTGGTTGCCGATGATTACTACTTCATCTTCAATCTCACCCTCGATTGTGCCGACCACGTTGTAGGCGACGGCCTGGATCTCTTCCATTTCGATATGCATGTTCAGGACAATATTGGACGGTGTGGGACCTACGTTATATTCGACACCACTATAGCCCAGTCGGCCGCCCTTCCACGAGTCTCCTAGTTCGTCAGCTCGCGGCCCGTGGTCGTTGAGAGCTTGCAAGATTGGGATTGCATCTTCGTATGAGATGGGCAGTACTGGCATTGGACCGGCGTGTGATTTGTTCGGATCTAATTCTGTCAGAGGGGAGACTCAAAACAACAGGGACAGGAAATAATTACAGGAATGAGGTCCACCCTGCCGAAAGACACTTGATGACGCTCGAGCCGGGCCATCCGGATACGGCAGATAACCGTTGTCACCAGTAAATTCGCCATCCAGCTGGGGATCTGGGTAGGTGATATACCCCGCAAGGCCCGTTTCGAGAAAAGTATCGCCAAGAAGGGGACCTTGTGCCTTGCCGGCCTTGATAAGAACCAATTTTCCAGTAACGTTGACGTTTGCGCGGTCCAGATCTCCAAAGTCTTCCTCGGTTCCAAAGTTCGCGTATACTACAGACGCATTGAGGTTGCAGCTCGGCGAAAAGCTGAAAAATGGAGGCACGACCACGGCTTCTCCGCTCACAGGATTCACATCCGTGGTGTTCTCGACGAGACCTGCCTCGTAAACCACTCGCCCTCCAGCATCCTGATTGAGCAGAGCAAGACGACTGTACTTGGGCACAGTGAAGGGGTTACCCGGGTTGTCGACAGGGTAGTCTTTGATAGACGCGTTGGCGCCGAATTCCTGCCATTTGACCTGGGTCCAGAGACCTTGGGGAAGACCAAGACTCAGGTAATGCGGCCGGGAGGTGTAGTAGATACTCCATTCTCGGGCTTTGGCGGGGTCTGGGACGGTGATTAGGAATTCCTCGAGAGCGAAGGGCTCATCCCAGGGAGGCTGTGCTCGGGATGAGCGGCGCGCCAATTGAGGGTTCTCAAAAGACCGTGTGGGATGACAGTATAGGGATAGCCAGAATAAGCATGCAATGCAGGAAGATGCAAGGATGACATTTAGCCTGTTGCCCCGGGAGGCAGCATGAAGGGCGCGTTTCATCGTGGTTCAGGAGGTTGAATGTCGACTAGCCAAGATAAGAATTCGAGGCTACATATACGTATACCTACCCAGGGGTATACATCTTCTTTTGCTTTTTTGAAGAATTTGTCAGATATCACATTTGTGATTCCCAATGCTGTTCGGCTGAAGAGATCTACACTTGAGGATTTGCTGAATTACTAATGGAGGTCAAATATGACATCTAGGTCACACAGAATACGATAAAGCGACACCGACTATACATGTATATTCAGCTGCGACTAGATATGGAATAGACATGGCGACATTATGGCCAAGGAAACAGGGATCTGGCTTGTATATTGAGTGATGGGCAGTCAAACATCACACGAGACCGTACACAGGAACTATATTTAAATAACCATCAGATAGAGCATTCCTGTTGGAAACAAGTAATACAACCAAACTATCTCCTGCCCAAGTGTTTCATCCATGGTAAGATGCAACGGCTTGCTCGTTCCCTCTCTACGTCCAGTGCCCGGGCTGTAAAGAGCGTTAATGTTCCTATCAGTAAGTCCATCGAAACTGGAGACTTGGCAGATTCATATGCGTGACATATTAATTAATTGATAAACAGGAAATCAAAGGATCTCCGAGCTAGTTCCTCTTATCAACGTCTCAAATCTAGAGTATGCCACTCAAGCCAAGTACCTGAGAACTGTCCACCAAGCCCTCCAAGACAAAGGGATACTCCAATTGCATCTCGGCTTCGCCGACGATGACAGCCATTTTCTCCAGACCATGATCTCCAACCTCCATAAACACCATAACCACGGCCTCCCCATTGCCCACAGCGCGGAGAGAGGCTGGTTCTGGGACGTCCGCCCCAGCCCGGAGAGCTTTCAGAGTCATGGTCATCAGGCCCGATCAGAGACGATGCAGGGGTTTGAGTGGCACACAGACTGCAGCTACGAAGACAGTCCACCACGGTACTTTGCCCTGCAGGTCCTGCAGCCTGATCGATGCGGTGGTGGAACGTTGTCGGTGTTGAAAGTAGATCATCTCCTGCGTTTTCTTTCCCCATTTGCGCAGGAAGGGCTTTCAAGCCATAATTACCGGATCACAGTGCCCCCAGAATTTGTTAAGGAAGATGGGCAGAAACATATCAGGGGTAATATGCTCGCGGTGTATCCGGGTTACAGTCAATTGCGTTTCCGAGACGATATCACGGATCCCCTGACAGAAAATGCAGCCAAGGCATTAGAGGAGCTGAAAATAGTTCTTTCTGGTGAGAATGCAGAGGAGCAGGCTCTCCACCTGACGCCACAGGGACTTCCACGGGGGTCGATCATCATTATGGACAACAGACGATGGCTGCATGCCAGGAATGAAGTGAGAGATCTTCGTCGGCACTTGCGACGTGTGCGATGGGATGCGACGCCATTCGGCCCGGCTGGTTTGTCAAGTGCATGATTTGCAGGTATCCTTTCGTTATGGGCGTCTATTAGAAAATGCATTGCTTGATATTGTGAAATAGGAAGTAAGCAAGAGCGAAATTTACAATACCTGAATAAAAACTGTAATCCTCGGCAAAGAAACTAGATTCTTCGTTGTATTACCCCTTTAAGGTCTAGCATAGGGAAATATAAACAGCTATCCTGGACATGGTCCGCTCAACTTCTTTTTTACAACCAAGGATTTACCAGCCACAGTCAACATGAGAAAGCTTGAAGCTAACCACCAACTCCAACAAATCTGTCTGGCCCCGCAGACAAATGATTATTTCCCTGTTTCAGCAGAGACCGTCGATGTCAACATCCACAAAGACAATCGAGACAGATATGTGTCCAAGCTCAAAAGCTGGTCTTCCTCATGGCCAAACGGATCACTCGACTCTGCCTGTCCCCATCCGGTCCTGGTGACGAAGCAGCACTTGGATCAACTGATCCACCTGCATGAAGCCTTGTCTCTTGCCATTGAGGATATAATTGAGCGTTGGTGGACGGACGAAGGGGCACGGTTTCCGGAACGAATGCCCTTGGAGCCAGAGGAAGAAGATCTTTTGCGTGTAAGTAGTTTCTTTTAGAATGCTTTTATGGAAACCAGTATCTGATTCTTCTATCATAGTGGTTGTACCAGAACAAACTTCTACGACCGTACAAAGAGTGTCAAGGATCTTGGAGACCGGATTTCCTCCTGGAGCATGATGCGGATCAGGGCAGTGAAAACTTCCATATTTGCGAGATCAATGCTCGTTTCTGCTGGAATGGCTATATGCACACCGTGTTTAGTCAAGAAGCATACTCAGTGTTTGATGTCGAGCAGAGAGGACTAGTCAATGCAGCAGACCCAGGAACGGTAGGTAGAATTGACTTTCCCTTGCCTATACAGAGAGCTAATCCTTTCCAAGATTCTGAAAGGACTGCTGGGGCAATTCGACCGCAGCATGCCATTACATATCGTGAAAGGCGAAGAGCATGGCATTGACGTTCACATGTTTGTTGAATTCTGTCACCATCTTGGTATCAAGACACGTTTGATCACTCCCAACAGTCTCCGAGTAATCCCCCAACGGGAGGGACACAATAGCTATAAGCTATGCTGCCTTACTCCAGACCAGCACTCCCGTCATGGAGAGAAAATCGAAGAAATCCACCAGCTCGGCCTGGAGCTTCGTCAACATGAGCTCCACGCACTATCACCCGAGCTGAAGCGGCAGATAAGTCTCCGGTGCTTCAATGACATGCGGGCAATCTTCCTCACACACGACAAAAGAATGCTCGGAATTGTCCTACAAGAGCTAGAGTCATTGGTGACGAGAAGCATCCTCTCGGCTGAGCAGGCCGCGCATCTCGAGAAAGGCATTGCATACACTATCCTCCCGGGATCACCGGAACTCGAGGACCTGATTGACCGGTCCAGTGCATCAGAACAGCTGAAAGACGAATACATTCTAAAACCTATTCGGAGTGGGAAAGGCGACGGCATCCAGTTTGGCGATCAACTCAGCCATGCAGACTGGCAAGTGAGACTGGAGGAATTGCGAGACGCCCAGCCAAAACCAGGGTTAACCCTGTACGTCGTACAGCGCAAGGTCAACCAACCCTTGTATGACGTGACGCTCGGATCGGGACAGTCGGTATCATGCCATAAGGTCGGGACGTACCATGCTGTCAATGGACAATTTTTGGGATTGGGAACTTGGCGATGCAGCCCTGGTAGGCTGTGTGCAGTTAGTGATGGGGCTTCATGGATTACATCGGTTGTCTGTAAGGATTGATCATCATTGGGTGTTGTTTGTTTGCTAGGTAACTAGTTGCTTGGCATCGCTTATTTTGGGCTGGTGCGTGTAGTAGCGATCATTTGCACCTGCACTTGTATAAATCAATGCATGCCTACTACGCGCAATGACGTCTTACCTATGCATCTAGCAAGCCCAGACTTTCCATAAGGATCTCCCGTGTCACTGCAATGAAGATCAACCCGCAGGTTCGCGATGATGTACGTAATGATGTCTAAATAAAATTGAGACTTCGGCTAAGGTAGATCCTGAAGTAACATTGATTATTATATCAGATTTGATTTAAACGCAATACACTGTTCTTACAGGTCCGCAGATCAATTGGCGTTAGGGCCGTCTTGTTCTCGGGGACGCCGCTGAGCATAGCTGCGCATTCGGAGCCACTGTTGTATTTTTAAGAATACAAACATGGTACAAAAAGAACGCCTGATATGGAAGCAGGGATGTCAATCACAATTACAAACATGGACATGGTTATACTGTGTAATTTTATTCTAACAAAACTTTTTGTCACGGGCTCAGCTAGGATAATGGAACATCCAACTCATGTGTTCTATCTAGGTAGCTATCAATGAGAATAATTGACATGAAGAGGAAGATAGGAGGTAACGCTGTAGTTATCAAAAGCAAACAACTGCATCTCACCTGATAGCCAGCCAGCGTGACTAGGCCGTCACGCTTTTGGCACTCGTTCCACTACTCATAACTCAGATTTTATATATAGTAAATTAAGCTTCAGACTCAGGAACTGAAGGCTCAGGTTTACCATCAAGCCATGTAAAAGAAAGGCTGGCCATTGCAACACATGTAATAGCTATTGACGTTAGCAATAGCAGGAGACAATAAATTTGAATCGGGGCTATACTTACCAAAGACGACGTTCATTAAATGAAAGCCCACCTTCTCAAAGAGTAAACCGGATATCATAGGCCCAATTGTCATTCCAAGACTATAAACAACTTCGGCCGTGGAGAAGACGCGCGAGCTGCCACTCTGGTGTCCAAATATAAGGGGATCTTTGGCTTGTAGTTCTCTTACCACGCCTGTGATACAATGATGGGTTAGGGATTCGTTTTTAGATACCTCATAAAGAGGAGGGATCTTACATGTCAATTGAATAGCACCTGCACCACGCACAAGGATCAAGGACGTGCCCAACCCAACCATACAGCAGATAAATAAAGACTTTCCATGAGCAACATCACCAACCCACGGGAAATTAGGATTTCCTGCAATACCTAATAGCCAGAGTAGAGGAGCTGATAGGAACCAGCCGATGGCATTTGGAATGCGCAAACCATAGCGATCCCGGATCATGCCAAACGGACCCCCCAAAACCATGGACGGGGCCTGCAAGCAGAGAAACATCATTCCAATTGGCAAACTTCCCCAACCAAAGGCATCCCGGAGGTGTGCGGGAAGCGTATTATTGAAGCTAGACATGAGGCTAGAAGTCATCAATAAACTTGCCAATCCGGTCCACACGCGCGGTTCACGGAGCATAACACGATAGAACCCTCGAGGAGCACTATGTGGTTTCAGAACCGTTTCATCACTGACATTCTCATTAATATTTTGCGCATTATTCGGAGAGTTCCGCGAAAGCAAGCCTGTTGTTTCTACAGGAGCACTGTCGGGATTTCCAGAATATGACGGAGTAGGTTGCAGAGCTCGCGGTTCAACCATGATTAAACGGGCGATGATGTCGAGCACCAGCACTGTGAGTGGAACTGACCAGGCTGGCCAGTAGCCAAACAGCTGGAATATGGTACCGCCAACCATGGGACCTCCTACAATACCGGCAGTCACGAATGACATGGCAATCCCCATGGTTTTACCCAGATCATGAACGGGAACTATATCAGACATCACAGCAAAGCCGACCACCCATGCTGCAGATCCCGAAATTGCCTGGAAAATGCGTCCAACGAAAAGGACCACGACTGTTCAGAATTGTCAGCGCGAGAAACCACTGTTGGTGTTAAAGAGAAGACGGCGACATACGCGAGTGAGTCAATGCAATCATGAGAGTGCCCAAGAAACATCCCGCCAGGGCAATCAAGAGAGGTATTTTTCGATTCGGTGACTTATCGGCAAAATGTGCTATAATGGGAGCAGAGACGAGCCCAGAAAAACCGTGGACGGTGAACAAACTCGAGGTGAGAGCTTGTGTTCGGGAGGGATCGAGATGCAAACGACCCTCCAGCATGTAGCTTAATATGGGAACTAGGAATCCAAATAGGAACGTCTCTGTATTCCACGATTAGTGAAACAACCCGGGACTATCAGCTATCAGATGAGTATCTTACCTGCAAACAACGCAACGGTCATTGTCGAGAATATCAGCCATCGGGAGGAGCGCCAACTATAGCCCCAAGGCATCTTTCCACCATGATTGAGCGCCATAATTACTGTGAGGTTCAAGTCGAGATGTTGAAGAAAAAAGAAGACAAAGCTGAAAGGAGCACAAAAGTTCAGCCGCAGTAGAAATCACATGATCCCCACATATTCAAATGTGATTTGTTGATGGTATATTAAATTGTAAGCCGTATTACGCCGTCTCGGGTCCACTTCCGGGACTGCGGGTGCCCCACATGCTTGCCAACTTTATCGAAGATCGGAGATCTGATCCCTTGAGCTGATTGGTGCAATGGTGCAAGAATACAAATTCATGCATTTATTGTACTCAAAACCGGTAATGTAGTTTTCTAAGAAAAGACCTGGAGATATCAATACCAACCCCAAGACGCTTCGCAACTGGTCCTGGCATACTGCATCCCATGGTTCTTCACGGTACATGAATCCATCTCACTACTGAGCAAGTTGCAATTGGTGTGCGAAAGCAGGATGCTGTAGATGTAATGGGTAGGTACATGGTTGCGTCGATCATTAGATCTTTCCAGATAGACTTTGAAGATCATATGATATTTTATTCCAGCAAATCATGAAGGGAGAGAAAGCCTTCTAAATTAGTAACTATTCGTGGCCACATTTGAAGTCGCTACCCTTCACCTTGATGCAGTAGTCTCTTAGAACCACAAAGTGCTGAGTACCCTGCCAGATGGTGGTTTTGATACGGTCCTTGCATACGGGTGCAGCAATTTTTTGCTCGAGAAGTCTGCTGTTAGAGCCACTCATCCTTACCCCAGAGTAGCAGAAGGATGTTGCAAACAGCCGATCCAGATTTCCGCCGAATGCCTTATCAGCAGTGTTTGTCTCCGTCCGACCGGATCGTCGCCAGAAAGGGATAGCAGAGGCACTTCCCCGGATGAAGCAAGTCGCAATTGATGGGGGACTTCGGATGCTGGTCGTGCTGCTGCGGCCTACGATAAAGCCCAAGCATCCTCATGTCGGACTATATCCAGTGGATGGCTGATGACGGCAGCAGCGGCGATAACAAAATAACGGCCACCATCACAAAGACAATCCCGGCCTAGAGCCTACAACGAGCAAGCAATTTGATCCATGGATGCGCAAACACTTCCAACTGGGTGGCAAATTTATCAAAGTTGCCTGACAGAGCATGCTTGTGCGGGACACGAGTAAACAATGGCAGCAATGGACAGGAATCGACTTTGAGTCCAGTGCTTCGCTTGTATTTCAAGAATCAGGCCAAAAGAAACTCAACCACATCAATGTCGCGATTCTCGGTGGGTTGGTTTTGTACGATATTCTTTTAAGGAGAAGATCGATATTCATGTAGAACCGAATGTGTAGACAATCCATGGATTGAAAGAAATACCGAGATCTATCATAATCGTCGCGAGTGTGCGCTACAGTACAGTAAGGCGATATCACGGCTATAGTATAATTATAATAGAATGGTGATTGTGCACACATACTATTCTTTCTTTGTTTTGAAGCAGCGGTGAGATGTAGCCGACGTAGGTGTAGCTGACGTAGGCTGCTTGTACAACTGCGTACCCCTTGTAGTTTCAGCAGCAGTCAGGGCCGCAATTGGCAATGCGCATACCCGAGATTAGGATGCAGCAGTCTAGCCTTGTCTTAGGGTATCAGCGGTATCACACGGCAGACTACTATATAGGGCTATATATCTAGTCATTCGAACTGAATCTACTATCTCTAAATATATCTTTAAGTGAAACTCACAATGAAGCTCGATGTCGCACCTTCGCTTTTTGCCTCTCTCAAGACTATCCATCTTCACGATCTCTGCAGAGGTTCTCCCGAAGAAAAAAAGAAGCTCTATGCTGCTGCCACAGAGGACGGCATATTCTATCTCGATTTCAGCGAGGACCAGAATGAATTCGATCTTGCCAATTTGACTGACGACATCTATAGTCTGAGCCGGTCTTTGTTCAATATCGGCTTGGAGGAGAAGTTGCGATATGATGTTGACAAGATTGGAGAGCTGAAGCTCAACGGGTCCGTTTCCCTCTCAGTACATTACCTGTCATTGCTGCTAATGTAATACCAGATACAAGCCCATCAGGCGTAACATTGGGGGTATCAAAGGTGAGCGTGATGGATTTGAGAGCTATGCTGTTCGTCCAATCTTGCCTTATATTCGTTCCGTCAGCTAACGACGCTACAGATCCCCCGAAATGGGATCCTAGCATTCAACCCATTCCCCCACCCCCCAATCCTAGGAACCAACATGTCTCTCCTCCGCAACTTCATCCTCACCTGCCTCGAAATTGCCCAGCACATTTTTGGCTCCCTATCCGACTCCCTCGACCTCCCGGACTCGCACTCCTTTGACATATTCCACAGACCAGACACCCCAGCCCCGGATATCCTCCGCTTTCTCAAATACGCCCCCTCCAGCGAAGGAGACTCAGAATTCCGCGTCCCCCAGACACCGCACACCGATTTGGGTTCGCTGACCATGCTCTTTGCCGATTCCCCGGGCCTACAGATAAAGCCAGATGGATGCGACGACTGGCTATACATAATGCCCAAGCAGAACCATGCAGTGGTCAACCTTGGAGACGCGATGAGTCTCTGGACAGGTGGATTGTTCCGCAGTGTCTTGCACCGGGTGGCTTCGCTTCCTGGAAAGGGTATGAATGAGCGGTATAGTTTTGCTTTTTTGATGCGCCCGGAGAACCAGGCGCCTATGGTACCCTTGCTTGGATCGTCAGCTTTGCCGGTGGCTGGGGAGGAGGGTGTTTTGACGAGCGAGAATTGGATCAAGGCTAAGTTTGGGATTTTGAGGGGTGAGATGGCGAATGATCGGATTCTTACTGGGCGGGAGAATGCTAATATCTGATGGCTTTGTTTGTGCGAATTGGGAGTTTTGTTCGTATCGCTAAGTCTGGTGAATGTAGCTATCCTCCAGTGCTAAGAGTATGCGACTGCCCAGCATGAATTTTCTATTTTTGCCATGCCGAGGTCTGCTAGACTCGTCCTCTTTCATAGCACGTCTTACTTGAAGGATAGGACAACGTACAATGTAATCCATACTCAGTAGAATATCATCAACTATGGCTTATCTGTCAAGTACACAAGGTACTAGCATGCCGGGATGTCACCACGTAATTCTACGTATTCCTGTATACAGGATGCACTGTGAATTACACAGAAACATACTACTATTACGAGGCCCTATCGTAGTAGTGATACTCTGAGGAGCAACAGGAAGGGACCTTGTCAAACTCCAAATCCGCACATCGGCGTTGAAATATCGGACAGCGTTGTAGTACATCAGCACCAGAACATACAAGGATCATGCCTTGAAACTGGAAGAAAAAGTGGTATCAGCATGTACAGATACAAATACCTTCTGTACGCCAGAAATAAACGACTGAAGTTTATCGAAACGGAAAAGGGAGACGAAGCATAGTGCACAATGATCTATTTGAAAGACTTCGAGCCGTCAAGGTTTCCAAGAATGCCGCATGATGGCTACAAAGTTTCGACGACAGAGAGGATCGATCTGACAATCGCAGATCACAAGGATGGTAGCGTGATCAACGCTGTCCCGAGCTTAACGGTGGCATGGGGAACGGTATTGTCCAGTTATACAGATTCGGACGATGTTCTGTTTGGTCTGGCGCAGCCGCAATCAGCCGTACAGTCATGCCCTTTGAGACTGCAACGTGAGGGACCAGTTATAGCGGCATTGAGCCAGGCGGAAGACGTTATCAGCAAATCCGACAAAACCCTGGACGAGTTCCAGAATGTCTTGGTTATTCGAGATGATGGCGATGAAAGCCTTGGCGAAAACGAGATTTTATACCCTCTCGCAATAGTCTGTCGGATTCGAAAAGAGGGAGTCCAGATCCAGACCATATTTGACAGCATGCTCCTTGTACGAGAGACAGTGCAAATGATGTTGTTTCAACTGCGCCACGTCTTTACCCGCATCATACAGAACCGCAAGGTTACTCTCGCTGAGCTCCAAGCGACAAGTCCCGAAGGACTCGAAAAGATTCTCCACTGGAATACAGTGACAGCGCCTCGACGCAATGAGACACTTTGCCACCGTCTCATTGAGGAACGCTGTGAAGAACAACCATCTGCCCCCGCAGTTTGTGCTTGGGATGGCGCACTCACGTATGCTGAGTTGGATGCACAAGCATCCAGGTTAGCCAATCGCTTGGTTGAAGCCGGAGTCGGGCCGGATCAATTTGTTGGCCTGCTCATGGAGAAGTCTATGTGGACGAGCGTCACAATATTGGCTGTGATGAAGGCCGGGGGAGCGTTGGTGTTGATGGATGCCTCGCAGCCAGTGCAGCGTCTGGCCCTAATGTGCCGCAAGGCTCAACCGCGGGTACTGTTAGTATCGCCAAAACATGCTGCAGTTGCAGGAGAGCTCAATGCCCCGGTTTTGATAGTGCCCAGCATTCAAGAGCAGGATAAGACTTCCACCACAGCCTATTCACAAACTAAGACAGGTCGACCTCATAACAGTCTATATGCTGGATTCACGTCCGGCTCCACAGGCGAGCCCAAAGGGTTTGTGATGGATCACACGGCCTTTTGCAGCGGCCTCGATGCTTATTGCGAACAATCCGGGTTGACGTCTCAATCCCGCGTGTTCCAATTTGCCTCTCACGCATTTATCATTAGTTTAACAGACCAGATCGCTCCTCTTACCCAGGGCGCCTGTGTCTGCTCACCGTCTGATGACCAGTTGCAGAACGATCTGGCCGGTGCAATCCGTGCGCTCAATGCGAATTGGGCCAAGCTGACGCCATCTGTTCTTCGTCTTCTGGAACCCGCAGATATCCCTGGACTACAGACCTTGATCACCGTGGGTGAACCTATGGATACAGCCGAGGTAACAAAATGGCAACGAAGTGGCATCTCCCTCCTTTCACTATACGGATTGTCCGAGAACTCCAAAGGCGGTATGTTTGCTAGTCGCAATGGCCCCAGCTGCACTAGTTGCAGATTTAATCGACCGTTCTGCGCCACGCCTTGGGTTGTCAGTCGTCATGATCCGAACATCCTCATGCCAATTGGGGCTGAAGGGGAGATGCTCTTTGAAGGGCCCTGTGTGAGCAAGGGGTACATAGATAACGAGGAACAAAATCATATGACATTTCTGGAGGACCCCGCTTGGCTTAAGCAAGTCCGTCCGGATGGTCATGGTCGGTTCCTGAGGACTGGTGACCTTGTCAGATACAACCCAAAAGACGGCGCACTACACTTGCTTGGCCGTAAGGGAACACGGATTAAGATTCGAGGCCAACGTGTTGAGCTCTCTGAGATTGAATACCATTTGTATGCACAATTCGACGATATCAAAGAGCCAGTGGTAGTAGAGGTGGTTGTACCATCTGACAACTCGCAGCGCGATCCCATGCTGGTTGCCTTTGTGCCAGTTGAAAAGCCTGGGCCATCACTGCATTACCACAACCGAGCTGAAAACCTTTTCGTCCCCCCTAACGAAGAATTCCGCCAAAAGGCACAAATCACCTTGTTGAACCTCAGCAATGTTCTCCCCAGTTTTATGGTTCCATCAGCCATCGTTGCGACTACCGCTCTTCCACGGACGCCTACTGGCAAGCTGCACCGACGATTGTTGCGCGAGGAAGCCTCGAAGCTATGCCGTAAAGACCTCCTCACGTACACTTATAACGAGGCTGCCCACCAAGCTCCTGTCACGGAACAGGAGATAATCCTCCAGCGAATCTGTGCTGAGGTGCTTAGTCTCCCGCCTGACACCATTGGGATGCAGGCCAATTTCTTGGACCTTGGAGGCAACTCAATCCTTGCCCGTCAATTAGTGACGCGAGTCCACAAGAGCGGCTTGCACATTACCGTGGCTGATGTGCTCCGGCAGCCATCTATGTCCACGCTTGCGTTGTGCCATCGAAGCATGAGTGACAGTGCAGCTCCGATGTTTGACGATCTGACCACGGACCCATTCGAGAATTTACGAACTGACCTTCTCGCCAATCTCCCGGCGTCCTGGGACGCTGCAAATATCGAGGACGTTCTCCCGACACATGATGAGCAGGAGTACATGGCGGCCTGGCCCGAACTTGACTATCATTTGTTTGAATTAACTGGCCCTGTTGACGCAGCCCAGCTCCATCTCGCGTGCCAAGCCCTCGTCACGAACCATACCATTTTGCGTTCTGTGTTTGTCCCATTCCGCGACACAATGCTCCAGGTTGTCCTGCGCCATGTAGACGTTCGCTTTTCTGTCCATACTTCGACGGGTCAGGACGCGCTGAGCTATGCTCTTGCATACCGTGAGGCCGATTTGCAGCAGCCATATCGCGCGGACGAGCCCAGGCTGGAGTTTAAATTAATCCAAGATGCACCAGAGCATTCTATTTTGCATTTTCGAATTCTCCATGCTCAGTATGATGCGGTCTGCCTTCCAAGACTGCTTTCTGACCTTTGGGCTGCCTACGACGGCCGGGACATCCATGTTGTGTCCGATTACTCCGATTATGCCCGGGAGTGTTCCCGGCAGAGGAAACCCGCTGCAAATAACTTCTGGCATGACCTTCTTGAAGGCTCGAATATCACACCAGCTCCGTTCCAAGAAGTGCCAGTACCAGACGAGCAACGAACAGCCTTCGAAGTGGATATCCCTCTCCTCATACCCCCGGCTGGGATAACCGTGGCCACCGTGATCAAAGCTGCTTGGGCAATTGTCCTGCAGGAGTACACTGGAACCACAGATGATCTCGTCTTTGGTCAATTTGTCAACACCCGCAACCTGTCGCTGCCCGGAATCGATGACATAATCGGCCCATGTTTCAACGTGATCCCGGTGCGGGTTCCGCGGAGCATGTTATCAAGCTCCATATACGATCTGCTTCGGACCATCCAGTCTCAGCACGCGGGATGTATCGATTTTGAGACTACTTGCTGGAGGGACATATTCAGCAAAAGGCCAGGAGATACTACTGCCGATCTCCCTGGTTCGGTGGTCAAGTTCCAGAACTTCATCCCCGAACCGGAGCGACAAATTGGCCGGCTGCACTGTCGAAAACTGCCCCATATGTACTTTAAAATCCCACCGTTCAAAACAGTGTATCTGATTGTGTATCCCAGACCAACCAAAATTGTGCTGGCGTTGAAGTCGTCCAACGTGATGCTCCGGAAAGAGGAGTCGGAGAAAGTGTTGGACCGGCTCCGGGAGGTGATGCAAGAGATATGCAGTACAAGTACGAATACATAGCAGTACATAGGGATGGTGATAGGAGACATATGTATGCAGTGCAGATTTACATTGAACAATGTATAAAATCCTTTGCATCATATGTACTCGGTCTACTGGTAATTATATACGTACTATCGAACTGATCAATTTTCTCCATTACTTGCAGAATTATACTTGTACATCTATTTTATCGCCTTCTATTGGTCCATAGCGCCAAGAGCCTCCCTGGACTTCCGTTTTGGGTAAAGAGCCTCATCTCTCCCTCAACCTCCAATCTTCCTCTATCTCTCTTCCTTCTTGTTCTCCCTGGTTTTCTTCTTTTCTTTCTTCCTTCTTTGCCCCCTTTTATATTCTAGAATACTCTAGTCAATTGACGTCTCTCACTTGACATGCCAGATCTATGGTTCGTCCCGTCGGATCGGCTGTCTATCAGTAGCCTTCCTCTGGATCCCGATCCTACTCTACCTCCTACGCTATATGGATGAATGCTGACCTCCATATTCTCAAACAGCCATGTCCGTCGTCCTCCTGTCACGCTCCTTTCTTGTTTCTGTCATCAGCGTCGTCACTCTCCAGGCCGGTGCGCACGTCCGGTCCTAACTAATTCCTAAATATAACCCGCCCACCATCTCCGTCTATCTCCGCCCACTCCCGGTTGTCCCTGGAAAAGGCCCTCTTTTGTGAAGAGGGGGGGCGACTTTTTCCAGGCGACGTGTACAATCCTTTTTTTACTGATAGAATTTATCACGAAATACCGAATTGACTCCTGTGAAGACCATACCGACCGTGACGACCTCGATGATCTGTCCTCTTTCGCGCGCTTCGTTCGTCCTTCCCGGATTCGATATATCAGTATAGCTTCCACCCCCTTTACTGATCGCGTGAGGCATGATGATTGCCCTCTTTAATCCGACTACGATTCTCGTCGGATTCCTCCTGCTCTACCTCTCCTCCTTTTTCATCTTCGCCATCGTCCGGATCGCAACGGGTATCTCCATCCAGCGCATTGGTTACTTTTCCCTTCGTCGCATCGCATACGCACCGAGAGATGGCGTCCAGATCGAAATTCGTGGCCTTGGGCTGGCGTTACACCCCCCATCGTTCGCCCAACCGACATGGATAAGCGTCCGTTTGACAGGCCTGAAGGTGACATTGGATCTGTCCAAGGGGAAGGGGAGGACTAAGGGCACAGAACACCATTTCGAGGGATCCGAGACTCCCAGCTTGCCGGAGGATCGGAGTGAGCAAGAATCAAATAGTGCCACTTCAGACGCGACGCGGAGCAAAACCTGGAAGACATTGACACAGCTCAAGGAAAAAGTCAAGCGACTACACCGGCAGATCCATTGGCTGGCCCTGGTTGATGTCATAGCTGTCAACTCCACGCTTCGCATTCAGGATGTGGGCCAGGTTCAGGTGGGATCCGTCTCCTTGGCTGTCGATACCCGGCGCAAGATGGTGGACAGAGGAAAGGTGTTCCGTCGGAAAAAGGATAGCTCGCTTGAACAACGCCCGGCCGAATGGATTATGAACATCAATAACGTTTTACTGTCGGTAGATGGGGGAGAGCCAACGGAACTGTTGGACCATGTAGGCTTCAACATCCATGGGCATCTCCATAAGGATCTTGACGGGCTCCGGGACGCCTCCGTCGCAGCCAAAATCGGGCGTTTACATATCCCATTCGATGATTTGACATCCTTCATGCGGCGTATTCAGCAGTTCAAGCGATCCGCCAAAGGGTCCACAAACGACAGTGAAATCGAAAATGAGATGTCCTTTGCCGATTTTGTGGAGGAACTAGACAAACCTGGAAGCCGGGATGATGCCATTGTACAGACAGTTGCGGACTCGAAGGAACTTGCCAGCTCCCTATTGCGTGGGATCCAGGAGATCCAGGTTGCTCTAAGCTTTTTCAGACTGTCACGGTCAATCGAAGCCCTTTCAACAGACCAGGATCCCATGTATCTCAACATTGTTTCTCACGAGATTGGCGTTGACCTGCATAGAATGGACCAAAAAAGCCCCGCCCATCGCATGTATTTCCAACGCACCGATGTCGCCCATCAGGCTCTTCTCGCCGCGATTTCACTTTCGGTCAGCTTGGACGACAGCTCCGGAGAAACGGACAACATTCTGTACATACCCATGGCCACAACGACGATCAAAACAACCTTGCCTTCGAAGACCGTCAGCTCCACGGAGAACTACAACCCCGACGAGCGGAACACGAATATTCTTTTTGCGAATCTTGTCATTACATCCCCTTCCTTAGATCTCGAGCCACAGCATGTTTCGCGGCTTTTGGGACTCGTGCAGGGGCGGGCATCCCCTTCTCGCGGAAAGAAGAGGGATAACCACCACATCATATCGCGACTACTTCCAAAAGCCAGCATCAAACTGTCTGTCCACGAACCTGTCGTTCGATTTGTCCTCCCAGTTGGGACAGATTCGGGGGCTACTTCCGACGACGACTACAGTTTACTGATCTCCTCCATCTCATCTATCTCGCTTGATATTGAGTCATCCCACTCATCCGAGGGAGGTATTCATTACGCTCTCGCGTCAGTATACCGTGTCGCCTCGCATCAACTATACTACCAGACTCCGTCCGGCGTGAAACATAATTTGCTCACAACCGAGAACATGGAATTCAAAGTCCACCTCAGTGCGTCTCCAGAAGTTTGTGTTATTGCTTCTGGGTCCTTGAATGCTTGTTCCGCGCACATGGTCAACGGAGAAGTGAACCGCGGTATACGTCAGGTGATTGAGCAGTTCAGCGCAGTGTTACGTCCGAAGAAGATTATGCCATCACCGGCTGAAGAGCGCAAACCCAGCATCTTACGACGCATGCCCCCCTGGTTGCTCAAATTCCAATTTGAAGCCACAGGTTTTAGCTTGGAAATAGCTGGAGTCGACAAAGATGTGTCGGACGTTTCTCGCGGTGTTTCATTGCAACTTCAATCTTGGACTGCAGATTACAGGGCTCAAAAAACAGAACAAAATGTTATTAGCCTCGCCAGGCGGCGAACTCCCAGTCATTCGACGATTGGTGATGAGTCGCCATTCCGATTCCCTCCAACCTCCCCTCCAAGACAGATGCAGAAGGGTGCCGCCGATGGAAGACGATTGGCGATTCATGTTCGAGGCTTTGAGGGCTTCGTCATCGAGTCCGACGACTACCTAGAACCTGAGGCTTTCTTCTCCCTTCCGAGATTCGAGGTTGCTCTGAGCACGTTGAGCGACCGCCTGGGTCCTATTTTCCATATAAATTCCATGATCAAGGGCATATATCTTCAATACTCCCTCTATCGGCTCTATTGCCTTGGCATTGCGATGTCCGTCCTCCAGGATGCTTTCATGCAAGGTCCTTCCGACAAACCTGACAAGGAACCTCCACCGGATATCAAAAACGCGGCCCCATCTATGCCCCCACCACGCACACCAGGACCGAGGAATGAGCTTACTTCAATCGACGTGAGGGCTACCGTTGTGCAGGTTAAGGCCACCTTGCCGTCAGATCCGAAAATGATGTTCCAGATCTATGGGGTAACGGCTGGCTCCCATCGTCTTTCTGCTCCTTTTCTGAGGGCCCAATTAGTGCGATTGCATGCGGAGGCTCCTAAACTGAACGGCATTTGGGCACGGATTGGGAGTATGAACAATGTCAGAATTGATCTACGGAAGATCAAGTTGAAGCAAGGAGCAAACCTAGTTGAAGAGAGGTCTATAGATATGTGGGCCGATTTCATCCGGGTGGGCGTTCCTCATCACATGGTGATGCATCGCATATTCGACAATATAATCAATACCTCCAAAGCGATCAAACAGCTTCGGCCCCGCTTCACAGGCCACCCTGCAGAGCTTGAGACCGACAGAGAACCGGAGGAACCAAAGAAAGTCCCGAGAGTATCGCTACGTAGCAAAGCTTTGCTCTTTGAATTGGAGGATGATGCGTTCGAATGGAAGCTCGGTTGCATTTACCGTACCGGTCTGCTTGAACAACGCCAGCGCCTGGCTCGGGAAGAGGCATTCGATTTGAAGGTCCAGAAAATCAAAGAATCAAACCAGCAACGCGGCTCGTCGCGGCTGCGGGCGAAGTCGAGTCATCGGACTCTTCGCAGTGAGCGAACCACCAATGAAGGGAAACGAAGAAGCAAGAGTGCCGATGGCCACGATGATTCTAATGGGAAAGGCAGGAAATTCCGTTACGACACGGAGGGTTCGACCTGTCTTTCTTCTGAGTCCAAGGTATCGGCAGAGAAGGCGTGGTATCGACTCCAGGAGCACAATTCCGCAAACTGGAAGAAGAAGATCGACGCTGCGCTTCGTTTCCAGGATATCTCCGTCAGAGAGATTCGAAGTCTCTTTACTGGAGCCGACGAGCCCCCCGAAGACGCGAAGGACACAGAGCCTATTCTTGCCATTCCGAACCGACCCGGCCTCATGTCAGCCCTGATAAGTGACGTGAATCTGGTCATCGACAAGCCTTCATTCCCATTCGATGATTATCCGAAATTTCTTCACACGATTGGAAAGGGCATGCCCATGTCGATGCAATACGCCTTGCTTATTCCAATGAGTATCCAGCTGGATATGGGCGAAGCTCGCGTTACTTTGAGGGACTACCCATTAGACTTGATTCACATTCCGGCCCTGCGTCCCGGGCAACCCCCAAGGATGCCAAGTTGGTCGCTTCGTACCGATTTTGTCATCGCGGAGGAGTTCCGGGACTACAAGTCGGCTAGACAGGTCAGGTTGGAGCTTGTGCCTTCGAGTCCACTTCCCGACGGGTCTATGACCTCTCCAGTCGAAATTGATGTCTGGCGGTCTGTCTCTCCTGTCAAGACATACTCGAATCCGACAATTGAGATCAACACCAATCTCCCAACAAGCATATCCTGGGGTATGTCCTACCAGCCTGTGGTTCAGGATATGATGAAGATCATCGAAGGCTTCACCAAGCCCGAAATTGATCCGTCCGATAGGGTTGGTTTTTGGGATAAGATTAGACTCAGTTTCCATTCCCGACTCCGAGTTGTCTGGAAGGAAGACGGAGACGTTCATTTGCGACTAAAGGGCTCACGAGATCCGTATGTTGTGACAGGCTTTGGTGCTGGCTTCGTAATGTGTTGGCGCAGGGACGTGAAATGGAACATCCATACCAGCGATAACCCGACAGAGTTCATGAGTGTTACCAGTGGGGAATACGTTTTAGCTATTCCGGACTATAGCCACGAAGCGCGATACGCTTTCGAAGCGTCGGCACAGGATTTAGAGAGCATCTCGGCGTCAAGTGATCTGAAGAATGCGGCTCACTTCAAGAAGGTCGTGATGAAGTTATCTGGCGACGTGAAATGGGGTGCTGGCTTGGTTTTCGAACGCATCGTTGACGGTGACAAACGATCGAGTGAATTCAGGCCGCATTATGATGTTGTTCTCCAAAACCCCAAATTTGTCGATTCGTCGGTAGAGCCGGTATGTTACTGCATCTTCTCTGGTTACGGTCTGTATGAGTGGCTAACAGTTTTTTTTTTTTTTTTCTCATTTAGAACTACGATGCCTACAATGGTTTCCGGAGTGATTATATCCATCTTAATATCTCAGTCGTGGCCCCGGAGAGTCGAGATTGGTCCGTGGACGGTGTTCAACCATCAGCAAGTTACAACACTGTCCATTTGACTCCACGGTTCTTCACCCACTTCTTCAGCTGGTGGTCCCTCTTCTCTGGAGTAATGTCATTGCCTGTTCGGCAAGGTCCTCTCTGGCCGGGCATCACCAAGGCGGCGAAGAAGTTCAACCGTCATCTGGCCACCGTCAAATACCAGTTGCTTTTTGCCCCATTGTTTGTTGCTCACATTTACAAGCACAAGGACCGTGAGGACTATGGCGAAGATGCGGTGGTCTCAACGGGTCTGAAAGTTCGACTAGACAGTTTCAAGCTGGATATCCACCAAAGACGAGAACAGACTCACACACAAGCCACGACGGGACCTTCAAATGAGACAAAGGCAACTGCAATGCGGATCAACCAAGCCCAGCTGGACCTTTTAGCCGCGGATTTCCGAGCTGTTTCGGCTAGAATTGAGGGTACTAACGCCGAAGATATCGAGCAAAACAGAGACGATATTATATCCTCTTTCCAGCAGCCAGTCGCTGCCGTCGACCTGTCTCGTTTCACGATTCCTGATCACAACCTCGACTGGATTGACATGGATGACTTTGTCGAGCTCGACTGGATCTTGCCGCAAGAGTCGAACCCTCGTACGCAGATCCTACCTTTGGCCTTCACTCCGCGTTTTACGTACTTCCGCCAGACGGACCATGGAGAAATTGCACCAGGAGAAGATGGCTATAGCCAATTTGGAAATGAACAGACCCATGAATGCGTCATGTCTGAGACCAACGATCCTCGTCGGGTGCAGATGGAGTTGATCCGAGACCGCCTTGCTACCGTTGAGTCGCAGATACGGAACTACGATCGTACGATTGGCGAACACGAGCTTCGAATGGCAAGAGATGTCGATAATAACCCTGACCTGAAGAGTCAGCATGAACTTTATCTCCGCCAGGCAGAGTCACTTTCAAGAAGACGGAACTTCCTTTCCGGAGGGCTTACTCGTCTTGAAAGACATCTCGCCAAGGAGGAAGCGCAAAAGAAACCTGAAAACCTCGCCAGTGGAAATTCATCTCGAAGCGGTACCGATACTGAGTCAACAACCGAAAGCCAAGAGTCTTATCTGGGTGGACTGTATGCCTCTCCTCACGATGAGTTCGCCAGCGACTTCAACAATCGTTTCGTTATCCACAACGTGCAATTGAAATGGAATAATGCGCTCAGGAACATCATTTTGCGGTATGGCCACCAAGTCAGCCAGAGACGAGGGTTCGTATACTACATGTCGCGAAGGGCGGTCAAATTCATCCTTGATATTGTCGCCGAACAGAGCAAGCACAAGCCGGGTCATCCGTCCAAGCCTCCCTCTAAGTCAGAAGACGAGCCTGAAGCCGAAGATGGTGATGATGAGAGCGTCGAGGAGCGTATTGAGCAATTACTCAGTGATGCGAAGCGCTATGTTTACGCCGATGACCAGGCGGATCCTCCCGATGCTGCCAAGCGAAAGGGTTCAAGGGATGATTCGACTGCTAATATTGCCCCTGAGTTCACACCTCAAAACAGTTACCACTTGCGATTGATCGCGCCGCAGATCCAGCTCCAAAGCGAAAAGAATCAGAAGTCTGTTCTGCTTGTCGCCGCAAAGGGTATGCAGCTGAAGGTTGTATCTATCATGGATAAAGAGCGTGTGTCAGACGATGTATCTGGCCTGGTGCAGCGTCGTTTCTCTCTTGAGATGGACGGAGCACAGTTCTTTGTGGCCACGCAGAAGAAACTGATGGCTCACTTGCAGTTCTACGCTGGCAACAAGTACGGCAATCCACCTGGCTCTGCATGGCCTCCTTGGTTGACGCTTGAGGCGATGTTCGACTTCGAGTTGAATCCGTTTGGTTTCTCCCGGATTGTGCAAAAGACTTCGGCTAGCTTGAGGTATGACAAGTACAACAACCTTCGCTTGAAGTACAATGATGAGGTTGCCAAGGGGGGTTCCAGCACGCATAACGACCGAACCGCAAACGAAGCTAGAATGGACCAGATCTTCGTTGACTTTCCCCATATCCGCGCCATTTGTGACTCAGCCGAATATTATTCCATGTATATCATCGTCCTTGACCTGCTACTCTACAGCGAGCCCCTGGAGAAGGTCAGAAATGAGCGCCTAGAAAAGATTATGCTCACGTCCGACTTCAGCGACCTCAGAGGTGCTCCGGAGATGGTGTTCAAACTTCAATCTCGTATCCAGCAGCTCGAAGAGATCAAAGAACATTTCGAGATCCACGCCAAGCACCTGGATAAAAGAGGCTGGGACGATCGATTGTCGCTTGAAGATGATCTTGCCAAATGCGAGGATGAGCTGTTCTTCATGATGAAGGCTATTACTTCATCCCAGAGGAGAGCCGAACCGACAATGTCTGAGGTGAATGGCATTCTGCGTTGGAACATATCTGCCTCCGAGGTTGTTTGGCATTTGATGAAAGACCAGTCGGAGCCGTTGATCGAGATACAACTCCGGAATGCCGAGTATGACCGCACTGACAATTCGGACGGTTCCAACCACAACGAGGTCGCGATCGAACGATTGTATGGCTTGAACTTGCTCTCGGATGCCATATATCCTCAGATCATTGTGCCGTATCTCGATCAAGCGCGCAAACTTGACGGAGCAGAGGATTCCATGCTCAGGGTCAAATGGCATATGCTGGAAGCTGTCGCCGGTATTCCAGTCCTGGACGACTTCGAGGTGTCATTGTTCCCACTCAAGGTCCAGTTGGAACACGAACTTGGGCAAAAGGTTTTCGAGTATATTTTCCCCAACGTCGGTTCGAGTGCATTCGACAACGGCGGTTTCTCGCCTATGATGATAAAGAACATGCAGCCAATCGACGATTCGGATGACGATGACGAAAGCCCGCAACCCCCGCCGACATCATATACCCAAGGAGACTTCCCATCAGACTATCAACAAGGGACTAGAGGTCCTGGGGATATTGAACTTCGACTTCAGGCTACATTATCCTTATCCGACGACAAGAAAGCACCAAGTGTCCGCTCGAATCAGCGCAAGGGTCTTGGAATAACTCCGCTCACTCGGGACAACAACAAATTAGGCGCTGATATGACTCGGCAAGTCACTCGTCCATCGACTAGTGGCGGATTAACCAAGAAGAGGTCTGCCGACAGCATGCGCATTCTGTCGAAGAACGGCGAGAAGCCTCAGACCAGCTCGGGTGATATTGAAGAAAAGAGCAAGAAGTTCACCCTTTCGCGCGACAAGAACGGGAAGTCCAAGGAGGGAACAGATGATCTCTCCCAGATGATGTCTCGGGCGTCGAATTACATGACGCTTGCCCATATTAAGGTGCATGATGTCGTACTCTGCTTGAGTTACAAGGGTAAAGGCGACCACAACCTCGAGGACCTGCACGATTTTGTTTTCCGGTTACCGGTGCTCGAGTACCACAACAAGACCTGGTCCAACCTCGACCTCGCCTTGCGTCTCAAGAAAGATGTGATCAAGGCTTTGATCTCACATGCGCCCGCTATTCTCGGGAACAAGTTCTCGTACAACCGACCCTCAAAGCAACAACAAAAGAGAATGCGAGAACGCGAGCAGGCGAATACCAGTCAAGTATTACAGAACTCTGACAGCGTCGCAAACCCGTCAGCCTCAGACAAGACTCAAAGTTTGGCGAGCTTAGATTCCAATAGCGAATATTCGGACTCGCCATCGAGAAGGTCATTCCAGTCTGGTGCTTCGCCACTTGGGAGATCAAATTCGATAGGCTCTAGCATGAAGAGCGGTTACACTCAGGACAGAGCGGCGTCGGATTCTCGCTCTATCAATGAAGCGGATGTGGATTCTCGCTGGGAGGTTAGTGCCCCTCGCTTACATCCTTGGAAAAGAAGGCGATGCTAATTTCCACAGCAATCTCGACGATTCATCAACCCTCCCAGCCGGCCCGTGACTTCGAGTGGCATCGAGACGAGTGCTCGAGCTCGTAACTGGGATGGGCAAGATGAGAGGTGAGATTCCCTGTTCTCATATCCCAATAGCAAACCTTCGTCGGCTAACATGTTTTCTTACAGTCAGAAAATGACATTCAAGAGTCTTGGTCGAAAGCTGATGCCTTCTCGAAAGTAAGCTCGAAGGCTACTTCTTCATTCCTTGCGCATTTGACCGGTGTTATGGACAATGTTTTACATTAATCTTTCCGCATTTCCCTTCTTATCTCTTGTTCAACATTATCTATTGTAACTACAGTCATCTTTTGCGATGAGATACCCTTATGCAGTGGACCATATACAGGCGTCTAGTCGTTATTGCATTGCTTTTTTTCATTTATTTCTGTTTCTGCAAAAAGAGCTTTCTTTCATGTACTTTTTTTTTTTTTTTCTCTTTCTCTTCTCTAATATTTTCTTTTTATTTCCATTTCTATTGCTATTCAACTGTATTTGCGAGACTTTGCTGGAATATACATTGTACAGTAATACATCTATCTAGGGCACAATATGACCGTATAATTATTCACTTGCATGAAACAATGTCATCGTCCAGGATGCCTAAGCACTTATAGCTTCAATCTATTTAACGAAACAACTACTGGGTATGCTTCAATGCCACGCGATCAACCATCTCTTTCCAAGCTTCTTAAACCTAGCCCACATACATCCAAACCAGGACGAAAACTGCGTCAAGCTATTTCTCTCTCTGTGTTAAGAGGACCGATATGCCCACTATGACCCGAAGAAATAACTACCTTGTTCGTATCGGCAAGATAGTCTCAGTGATAATATATTGTTTCGAAGCTGAGCTGTGCCGCTAATTCTACAGTATGGCTCGCGAAATACAATTTGCGGGTTTTCGGCCCGACTTCATTCCCATAAATATTATCGCTAACCCTTTGAAGCTATTCATGGCAGTCTACAGACAACTATACAGCATTCAAGATTACGAACAGCGGCGAAGGCGCACAAAATCTGCCCGAAAGGAACTGCGAATATCCCAACATCTTTCCCAGGTTGGACTGAAATCCGACAATCAGGGTCAGGCACATGTTCGTACCATGGGGGACTTTTTCCAGATCCGGAGACCGGTTGGAAAGAATATATGCCTGGTGTTTGGGCCCTTAAGGGAACCACCTTAGTTGCTGGAGAGACATCTTGGGAGTGTCGGCTGATTCCCAGAAGCACTGAAAGCTTTCCTGAGGTTGTTGCTGAATGGATTGGATTTTATTCATTCTGGATTCCATGATATACACATAGGTTAGCCTTTATTGATTTCCATTAGTTATGCCAGAGAATTGACTAATTTATTGACCTGGTAATAACCTCAGATCCGTTAACTTTCTCATTGCATTTGAGGACCCTATCACGCTTGAAACCTATGTTCATTTCTGTGACAGCCTCGAACAATGTAAATTTATTGGTAGAATTTCTATCGAAATACTAACATGGAGAAGGAAAGAAAGAAGCTGGGCCTGCCAGCGCTGCACTATCTAGTGTGCGAAAGGGGTTCCTGCCCTATATTCAAACAGGCCATAGTATACAAACATCTTGCGTTGTTGGTAGATGCCCGTACTCCGTGACAATTATCAGCAAACTGGTCCCTCTACGTATAAAATGTGTGCTAGTCGTCTTATCTTCAAAGCACGTTCTGATCTCGGCCCTCTAAAAAAAGGGACTAGGGCAGGTTAAAACGAACGACTTCAGACCCTTTTTTTTTTTTTTTTTTTTTGAAGATGTAAATATCCATAATATTCAGCAGCTGCGGTTTTGTGCGCTGGGGATTCTTTTAAGTGTTGGTTGGTCATATAGTGCTGTCACAGGCTGCGCCTATAGAATAAACGATATGTTATTCGGAGGGATGATCAGAGGAATTACCTGGGTATCTATCCCGCATAACATACATTTATATATAAAAGCGGTCCGATCGGAAGTTCGTTCGTCTCTTCAACGAAATCTCTTGTATGATAGCTAGTTATCAGCGCTGCCGGCTTAGCCCTTAACAAGTGCTGATATTTTTGTATTTGGAATTTGGGCCTTGTGGCAAGGAGTTTCGGTGAATGTGGAAGGTCTCATGCAATAAGGATTTATTGATAGACTATCTGATGGAATTCTAACATGAGGAGGAGAAATGAAAAGGCAGGCCCTGCCGGCGACGGGTTATCTAGTGTATGCGAAGGGTCCATGTCCTACTCTAAACAGACTAAAGTGATCAAACAAATTGTACAACTAGCGAGCGCTTATGTTCTGTGACACCATCTGCCTGGTGTCCAATTGGATTGCGAGCTAGTTTCGCTATATCAGCAAGTATTGTCTTGATCAGGAGCTAAGGGGCAATATCAGTACATACCCTATCATCACCTTTAATCTCAGATTACCCAAGTTCGGGATGGACTTCTTCTCGGTAAGCGTCTTCCAATCGCGAAGGCTTTGGAACAACATGGCCCGGGATAGTATCATGGCCATCGTAGTAGTGGGTGCGGGTGTGGGTGCACTATTCGCACGAAGGGCACAACTCACTTTGCGAGCGCGAGGCCTCGTCTCTTGGATCTAAATTCACCACCTCGGCTGTCCCCTCCTGCTGTCCGATCTTGCTGTCTTCTGTCTCCCCGCTATCCTTGGTATCACTGTGTCCCTTGTGGCGTCTTGTTATTCCTTAGGCCGTCATCTGTCATTTTCAATTAAATTTCCTTGCTCTCACACCTCCCAGCTAAGACTTCCTAGTACCCGTGGCTGTGGTAACAAGAGCATGGCTTTGTGCTTGAGTAAGAGTTGGATAGGCGCTGGTGCTGGAGAGCTGGGCCCAGAAGGATAGTAACGAAGGTCGATTAGCAATGACTGGGGAAATTTACATAATTAATGACAGTGAAAGATGTCATCTGTCTTGGAAAATAAAGTGAATCCAGTGAATTCAGCTGTTTTAATACCAATACCTTTGTTCATGCTTTTATTGTAGTTATACATTCATTTGCTTGCTATCTGAATTATGCACAATATGGGTATCTAGATACAGTGACATGAAAACATTGCATGGAAATTGAACATTGCACATATCCAAAACTTGCTCCAGTTATAAATCAAAGAGCAGACATCAACAAAAACTCACAATTGAGGCTGGACAATCCAGTCCCACCATTCGTGTACCTGTGTGTAACTGTCGAATATTAGGCGTTTCCCATATAAAGCGTGTCTATTATTAAGTTTAAAAAAAAAAAAAAGAAAAGTCATGGGTATAGAAGGTCATGGCTGGCGTCAAGGGTCTAGAAGGGAGAAGTGTTTTGAAGAACTCATTGGGTAGCGGGGGGTGATTCGCCTTCCGAGGGTGACGACGGGTCCGACTGTTTCTCGCGGACCCAGGGCAAAAAGTTTTCTTGGACAGAGCGGAAGCGAGTCCGAGCGGTTGGCGCGGTGATGTCGTCGGTGAAGGGAACGCCCCCCTGGACCCGACCTTCGCGCCAAGCTTCCTTTTCACGACGGAGGTCACTTTGGACCCATGGTATGGTGATGCAGGTCCAGACTGCAGCCCATACAAATGGTAGAGTCCATCCCAGCTGTGCATCATTAGCACATGTGCGGTCCACAGGAGAGAATGAAACTCACGGTGTAAGCAATCGGTCTGGGTGTAGTGAAGATGATTGCAGTGATGGCAGCTGCAAAGATGACGGAGCCACCACCCCAGAAGCAGTTCATCTCAAACAACATTCGCCGGAAATACGGGCTAGACAGGTATCGTGTTCGCAAGGCGTAACGGTATACTTGGCCACCACCTCCGTCGACGGCAACTACATCTTCGATAAGAACATATAAAGCGGTTGGCATCACGGAGCCTTTCGGTGTGGAAGAAATGCGGAACGGAGCTTTGTAGCCACAGGCGCGAAGAACGTCGAGGGAAAGGTGGACGCCACCGAAGTAGAACATGACGGTTGGTAGGACCATAGCAACGAGACGGACTATCCATGATATGAGCATGATGCCAAGCAGGCAGATGTCCGAGAGCAAGCTTACCGTATGGTTCCTCAGGTACCGTCCCACTGCAGATCCGTTAGCTGTTGATCTGCACTTTTATTCTTAAGACTTACACTATGAGTTCGACCGCGAGGATCAACCAAACAATGGTGAAGTTAATCTGGAAGAAATCCAACTGCGATTGAGAATCCTAGTGTCAACCGTTGCGTCCTGCTCTGTGCATTTCGAAAATTGGTTGAGCGTACCCATGATGACCTGGCGTTCAGTGGCCGTGCGCGAGAATTTTTGCGGAACAAATTGTAAAGTCGATAAAAATATTCGAACACGGAGACACCCCCTAATGACGCAGTGACAATGGAAAAGACTGGAAAAAGGCACCGGAAGCGTTAGCAATAAGGACCGGCAAGTAAACAACGGCGACTTCAAACATACCGACATTGTGCGACAGATCCGTAGCATACCACAGCGCCCAGTAAAGCGCCAGCGGCTGGCCCAAAGTATCAATGATGAAGATCGTCCAGAAGATGGTGATGGACTTCTTCCGGTCTCGCAACGAGTATGGGAGCGGAGGAGGCTCAGAAGGGATCGAGGAGGCGGTTCCTTCTTCCATGAGTGTGGCGATAGACTTGCGGTTGTTTATTTGGGTGTAGTAGTGGCGGACGAGAAGATGGGAGAGGAGAGGAAAGGTCAAATGGCGAACTTCATGGCGTGAACAGGAACAAAAGATGACAGGAAAGAAATCCCCGAGACGCAAGAATGAGCGCAATTGATACTGGTTATGAAAGGGAGACGGAGTCCTTTGCCGGAAGCTGACGGGAGGCAAATGATCTTCCCCTTTTGGCGGCTCGGTTTCCCGATCGGGCTTAAATCTGATGTAAAGCCGGTGATGTCATATCTGGATCCGGTTGTTTTGGACACTCGGTAGTTGTTCATAGTAGATATATCGAGTATCAGTGGTCAATGCAGTAGAAACAAGAATGCCCTGCAGAGAGGAAACGTAATCGTTCGTGGCATGGTTGTGGGCTGTACAGTAAGCCGTGTGCATAATTATCATGCATGTGATTACACACAGGCACAACACGAGGTTAATTCGACGAGACCCGAGTCATTGCTCCGTATAGGGAGAATAGTCACGGCACGGTCACTGTACATAGTAGTCCGGTTGTCTGGTCAGCAGCAGATTCGTAAGACGCTCGGATCTCTTAGTATGAGAAATGCTGGTGATAAGCAGGTAATTACCGTTGGCTAAGTGCATAAAACCTCGCCGTCTACTCTATAGATGTTGTATTTGTACCTTGCAATCAGATGAACGTCAGGGGGTTAATGAAAGCAGAGTAGAAGCGAAGTCGCGTTGTATAACGTATTCGGTAGGCCACCCGCCCCTTTTATTCAGTATTTAAATGCATTTACTCTAACCAAAACGCCATTTAGTTAAGAAAACTAGCTAATTAGGTCTATTTGGACATGCATTTCTTCTATGTCCCTGATTTCCACATAAACCACACTTCGGCAAAGCCCTCATACGCGGCTGCAAAGGTGGCGAAGGCCGTCTTGGCCCGGGGGGGGGGGGTTTGCTGGAGCTATCAGGGCCTCAATTGGGGCGTCAATTAGCTCATGGGCCTCTGGAACTGAGAGGTCATCATTGCAAGGTATCTGTCTTTCATACCGTATACGCTTTTGCTTCGGCTTCTTATTGGCAGCGCGTAATTTGTTCCTTTCCTCTGCTAAACTTGTAGTGCTTTGTATCATGAGTTGGCAGCCTTTTACTAGTTGATTAAGGACATGATCTGTTGGGCTTGGTGGACCTTGTGAGCGCTTCTTAAATAGTGTTCTAATTGACGAAGCTTGCTGATGTAGTTGCTCAAGCATTTTGAGAGGTTTCTGCTGTGAAATTGCGGCTTGATTCGCTACCCCGGCTTACCGGGGGGGTTGGCGTATGAAGACGAATATTTAGCTTCGGAAGCAATCGTTCAGGGTTAAATGGTACTAAACCAGCCGCTGCGAAGCTATTTTTGATGGTCTCAGGTTTGAAAGCTTCAAATCGTGCGCGTGGATAAGCCTCAAGGAAGTCTAACTTGTCGATATGATTGATTCCGAGACGCAAGTTGGTTTCAACAAGCCGACCATACGATCGCTTTAACACTGCAAAGCAGCTGATATTAAGCGGCTGTAAAAGATGGGATGAATGCGCAGGCGTAAAAATTGGGATGATATTATTTTGGCTGCAAGTTTCATCGAATTTTGGAGTCAAATGGCTACCATGGCCATCGAGGATCAAAAGTCGGTATTTCTCTTTCGTACGAGTAACTGTTGATGGAATAAAGTGCTTTTGGAGCCACCAAAGTCCAATTTCACCAGAAGCCCATCCATTTGGGCTAAGTTCGAAGCGCCAATCGCCCGGGAGGCCTTCGAACCAAACTCAATAAAGACCTGGCCTTTGAATATAATACATGGAGGCAAGGTCCACCCCGAAGCATTTGTACATTCAATTGATGTAGCCCATTCACAATTTCCAGGTTGTAAAAGTGATTGCTGATTATAGTAGTCTGTTCTTGTTACCACTTTTGCAGTAGCAGTCATGCCAATTGCAAATCCAATCTCATCAAAGTTATAGATATCATCAGGGTCGATGCCGTATTGAAGTATTGTACGTTGCACGCAATCAAATCACCCACGAATGACTACTGGGTCTTCACACTTAGCGTGCTCGTATTTACAGTGTCTTGACAATAGGGTTGAAAGCTCCGGGTGCCGTTTTATAAAGTTATCAGCCCATGTTTCATCAACTGTTTGGACTGGGGTAGATCCACGCGCTGTAAGTAGAAGATTTGCAATTTCTTGTACAGAGGTTGGCCGAGGTGCTGCTCTACGGTCATCAAGGGAGAATATCCATTGGATAAACGATTGTTCTTCTGTTTTAGTCAATTTGTGGCTATTGGCGCGTGTCTCAGCGGAATGTGAGGCCGGTAAGGCGGCGCTGGAGTGTTGTACGAGGCACTTGAAATTGACGCGCTGCGTCACGAATTGAGCTGGTTTCTTGCTTCTTGATAGCCTAAATAGCTGGCAAAACCTTACCCTCTTGGTCGGTCGATTTTTGACCGGTTTGCTTGCGAATTGGTGGCATGGTGGTGTAAGAAGGAAGAAAGTCCCAACAACGACGCGGTCGTGTTAGTTGGTTAGTTAGTTAGGTGACCCGCTTTTCCTGATGCCCGAATGTACAGGCAGAATATTAGTCACGTGGCCTACAATTCCGTCACTGAGCCTCGTCGGTTCGAATCGCGCCTTTCGCCATCGCAAATTTTTCAATTTCCCACCATCGCCAGCATTGAGCATGACATAGATAGCAACACACCTACCCGTCTCGTTTGTTTATATTTGGTTATAAATGGCCATGGGTAGAATATGGCCCCCAGTCTCCAAGAACTGATTGACTACTTACTGGCAGAGATTGCTCTCTGTGGTGACCAAGGTAGGTTTAATTTTTTTAATTTTTTTTAGTATGCTGCAAGCCTCCTGCAGGATGTAAATTTTTTGGACCTGTCCAATAATATTCTGTATCCACTGGCCTCCAAAGTCTCTACTTTTATGTTTCGCCATACCTGTGTTACACATGATAGAAATAACCATGGCTAACAAACACCAGGGGCCTCTCTACCTGCTATTCTGAATTTCATCACCGCATTCTATTCCAAAGAAGCGCAGGATGCATCTCACAAGACACATACTGTCGATCGTCGCTTCCAGGCCAAAGTCTGGTCCTGGCTGACAAGACATCCAGAGGTCTCCGTGGGCAAAAACCGCGAGGGAAACCATCTCACCTTTGATGATGCAGATGCGGATGGAACAAAGGACGGTGCGCATCGGGTCTTCGTCACGGAGGAGCGAACCTGGCTTGCAGTTGCCGGCCATGAACCGGATGAGACTAAGATCTTACCTACGGAGTTCGCCCTTCTATCCATAATTGCATCCAGCAAATCCAGTGGCGTTGTTCAGACAGAATTGGTGAGACTCAGTGGCCAGGATAAACGGTCAGTACCGAAGCGGACAGATAGGTTGCAGACCAAAGGGTACATTCAGAAGCGGCCCTTCCAGTTCAAGTCTATACGGACAAGTTTGTGTATTTTGCCAAAATTCTCAAAATCAGAGTACATGGCCGAAGCACCGACAAATCGGGGAGCTGAAACAACAGATCGCGTGATTGACTTCGATGCCTTTACTGATAGACTTTTCGAAATACTCAAACAGCACGGGATAATTGCTCGCGAGGATCTAAAGAAGATTCTGGGTTTCTCTGATCGCTGGCGCTGGAAAGTGCTTTCCCGTGCACTGCGCAAGTTTGAGCGTATTGGCGTCTTGAAACGGGTCAAGGCCATGTCACAATACAAAGACACGATGAACAACTCATATCCATGCGTCAAGCTTCTACGAGAACCCTCAGGAAAAGACCTTGAATTGTTCCACCTTTTTAGCCGGAACCTGATGGGGCAAAAAGAAGAGGATGCGGACGAGCCAGACGATGATTTGGAAGAGGAAACAGGAAGAAATTCAGCCAACGAAGGCACGCTTGGCATGATCAAACGGGAAGACAATGTTGAGGAATCTGGCCGGGTCCTGCCCATTTGGACACCGGATCGCAATCTACACCATATGATCTTCAACGTTATTGACGCAGCAGGGGCAAATGGCATCAACAATTATGTAAGCCCGACTTTCATCCTATTTTTTTTTTTTTTTCCCTTTCATGAGAGGCAAAACTAATAGGCGATAGGGCATTGTTCGAATTTGTTTCGGGGGCTTCTTCCGTAGACCTCTAGAGAACGCATTGGGCCGTCTTGTTGAATGTTGGCAACTATCGCAACCTGCACACCTGCGCCATTTGGCTATCGTCAGAGATACGGTTCTTCACCGGACCCAAGCCATGTATCTCTACTACTCCGCGACGACCTACAAAAACCTTGTCGAGGCAGGAGATGCAGCGTGGGAGGCTGTTGAATACTCCTCCAAGAATGCGAATGGGCGTATACCGCCCGTCGATGTGGTCCCTCGGCTGGATGAATACGGGTTTCCTTTGACGGGTGCTTCAAAGCAACTACTCAAAAAAGGCAACGCTAGCCTCCTGGAATGCATGGCCATTGGCAAACCGGAGGATTATAATCGTTCGTTTAGCGACCCCGTTGCTGTGCAATTGGAAGATGGCAGCTATGCATTTCAGATTGGAACCCAGAAACGACCGGCGAACATGCCTCCAGAGAGAGATAGCCGGCCCAATGCTCCCCGTGGACGGCCCAAAAAGGAACCAAAGCAAGAGATCCAGGAGGACGTCAATATGGATATAGTCAGAGCTGATAACAAAAATGCAGAGATAGAGGTCGTCCAGCCCAAACGTCCAAAGAGATCAAGAACCAAAGCAGACCGCTTCAAGGGCATGTCTGAGAAAGAAAAGCTCGAAGCTTTGGGTATGGACGAGACTTGGACCGAGTATAATATTCTTCTCATGGAGCGCCCAAACCCTGGGGTGTATGCCACACCACGCGGTCGACGAAGGCCGGTTGGTAAAGCTCGAGGACGCCCAAGAACTAGTCAACTTGTTGTTTTCAAGTCGCAAGAGCTGATGACGCTTCCCTGGTTTATGGAAGAGGCTGAGACTGAGTCTGTGGCTGTGGAAGAAAACGGAGAAAATGCAGTTCCCGAAACTCCTCCTCGACAACGCACCATGGAGATTCCTATTGCTACTCCGGTTACCAACCAACCTGCAATTGAAGACTCTTCCACTCCTACTATTGCTTCGAGAGGAGTCAAGAGAGCCTTCCAGGAAGGCCAGCCTGTGGATGGTGAGACATCCCCTGTAACTGCAACACGGAGAGGACGGCCACCAAAATATAGACGCAAGAACCACATGGAAAATACGGACATGCAAGATGCCCCGGTGTCTACGCCGGAGAACAAACCTGCCCCTAGCAATCATGATATCGATACAGCTGAACATCTAACCAAACGCAAACGCTTACCATCCCCTGCCGAACATGAACGAGGTGCCGTGGAAGTGCAAGAACCGAGCCAATCTGTTGAAAGCGAGGCCAATAGAAGACCCCCAAAGAAACTACGACATGAAACCGAACTTGTGCAAAATGGGAAAGTTGCTACTGCTCGGATACCAGAAACATCTAAACCCTCGAGTCAATTAAAACCACCGTCTGGTGACGAGAGAGGCCCGGAAGAACGACAGGCTTTGGCAAATGAAGCACAACTGGAAGGCGCTATGGTCGCTGACCATGATGAACCTTCGATTGTTGACCAACCACATGATGCTGCTAATAATACCGCGGAACCCGCTCGCAAAAAGCGGAACAAAAAAGGCCGCACGGATACAGGCGGCTCAGTGGCAATCCTGCGAAAGAAGATCCTCTCAGAAATCGTCGACAAGGCTGGAGGGGCCTACCCAATGGGTAGTGAACTCTGGTATCCATTCGCAACTGCATGGATGAAGACAAAGTACAGAGAAAAGCCTGATATGCGCACTCTCCGGACCTCAGTCAAGCATTTGGTTGATGCGGGCAAGCTTCGTCAACTAACCTTCAGTGGCCGTGATGATAAGGGCGTAATGATCACGAAGAGCATTATTACAAAGCCTGAACTCCCGCCAGGTCACCTCACGGTCAGGGACATGCAGCAGAAAATGCTTTCAGCAGGAACGCGGTTTTACTTTCCCCCAAATAGTGAAATTCATCCGGATATAATCAAGGGCAGCAACGGGTTGATCAAACGCGAACATAGACCAATCACCCAGATCCCGGTTGAGACTGGTTTAACGGTGCAATTGCAGCAAAAGCCAAGTTACGTCTTGGCGAAGGAAAGAAAGATCCAAAAACAGTTCTGGGAAATTTTCGAGAACGAATTTGTTGAAACCAACGAGCCCAGGGCTGGCCGGTTGATGACAATTCGTCGTCCCGGACATGGTCCAAACAGCATGACCGCAATCGCTAGACCTGGTAGCGTGGTCGTTGGTGAAGGTATTTTGAGGAGAGCCGGTGAAATAAAGAGACTTCGGACTGCTGTCTCGTGCTTGCCGCCTTATGCTATATTCATGAACGCCACGCAGACATTCTATGCAGCCAGTGGAACATTCGGGACTGATTCTGGCGTTGCAGCTCGCCGGCCGGTGCTGCGAAAGAAGCCACCTCTCCCGCATATTCATTATACTATGTTCATGAATTCAAAACAGGTGTTCAATGCAGCCACGGGAACATTCGGGACGTATGCAGGTGCTGCACCTCGTCGCGGAAGACGGATGTATGACCCACCAGACACACTCGATGCACTACTTGCTCAAAGAGAGCCGCATGTCATGGAGACAGCAGAAATCGCAGACCCGACAGACCAATTCTTCAAAGAAAACGACGAACTTCTCAGATGGGAGCTCGAGAATGAGGACTTCTTTAATGAGAAGCGTGATCGTCTCGAGTACATCAACCAAACTATCCCAGGCTCCTTCGATAATAAACCGATCAGGCGCAACATCCGATTTGATGCTGACCGACGAGCAGAACGGACGGTACCACATGAGCGCGAGTCCGTGGCTACGAGACAGGCTATGGGACAGGTTACAAAACCGCCTACGAAACCGCCTACGAAACCGCCTACGAAACCGCCTACAAAACAGCCTACAAGACAGACAACTCGAGCCCCGCCGGAACGTCGCCTGGAGAAACTGAACGACCTATCTACACTGGGCTCCCACAAGGCGTCCGCCAAGCAGCCCATCCGCCGTAACCGTATAGTACACACGCTTCCCCCGGAGTTCGTGCAAAGGATGATCGCGTCAATCGTAGCTGTCCGGGTGCTGGCAGGTGGATTGGAAGCGAAGAACGTCGACTGGCCGCTTGTAACTAAATGTTTCCCAAAACACGAGGGACAGTTCATACACGAGCGGGGGAAATCTATTCTCAGCAGAAACAGATTACAGGTCGCCAAGATGCAGAGCGACTTCCAAGAGCGGTTCATCGAGGCGTATGCCAACGATAAGGTCCCGCAGATCGACTACGAGAATTTGGACGGGTATGACTGGGCGGGAGTAGTAGATTGGGCACAGGCACAGCTGGACATCCCATTGACAGAGAAACTGCCCAACCTCCCTGCAACCAAGGCCCAATTCGACGGCGTCTTCGAACTCCGCGAGGAACCACCTCCGTCCCTCGACGAAGTCTACCACGGCATCAACACGGTAACCCTGAATCGCAAACGTACCCTTATCGCCGGAGTTCCCTTCGCCGAACCTCTACGCCCTAAACTCAAACACAAACACCCAACAACTTCGAACCAGCGCAAATCAGAACTCGACCGTCTTGAAGTCGCCAAGACATGGATCCGCGCTAACATCGTCACCCCTCAGGAATCATACAACGCCGCAGAAGCCCGCAAGTCACTCGAACGTTTCGGGGAGCCAGTCATCCAAAACGCCGTCCAGGCACTCATGACAGAGCGCGTGATCATGATGGGTAACGGTGGACGCGTCACACCGGGCCGGAACTACGATATCACAGAGGTGTTTGTGACTACGTTACGACGGCGGGCTATTGAAAACAGTCAGTTGCGGAGAGCTGCGGAGTTCAAGTCTACCATTCTTGACTCTGCGTTCCGTGAACAAGGGAGTTCCGAGGTAGATTATACCGCCGACGACGGCGACATACTAGCCCTGATAAACCTTGCCGCGCACCGCAAAATCATCCTCAAACCGCGTGACCCACCACGAGAGAAATTCGGCCTTACAGACGGCGGCTACTTAACCCGCCTAATCGACAAGCAAAAAATGCGCTTCAATATAAAAATAACCCCCGCCAAAGATAACTACCTTTTCGGAAACCCAATCGAACCCCAAATCTCCTCGGCACCTCCACCAACCCTTCCCATAACCCGCTCTGACAAGATTCCCAAATTACCTGTCTGGCTCGACATCCACGGTAACTTCTTCAAATTACTCTGGGATCTTGTTGCAGGTGCTGTGGTGGGCTGTATTGCGACAAGGCCAGGTATTAGCGCGGCGGGTGTGGCGAGTATGATGCGTCCTACTGTTGGGGCGTGGGAGGTGCAGGTTATGCTGGAGTGGTTGGAGAAGGTTTATATTGTGACGAGGTCGCATGGAATGGTTGCTAAGGGTTGTGGTGAGAGGCATGAGCAGCCTGGGTGGGTTGTTGGGGAGTGGTGGTGGATGGTGACAGGAAGTTAGGGGCCTGTATTATATTTATGATATTGTATTATATTCGTTGAATTGCTATCTTCGTTATGCAATGAATGAGGCAGGACTACTTCGTACATAGTAGTCTCTCCATACTAATGTCTAGCCATCCTAGAGCATGTCCATCCAATCAAGGCAGAATGAACAATTGACAGAAAAGCAAACATTGGTCCTATGGCAGATAGCAATGCTAACAATCCAGTAGTGATTGCTGTTGTTGTTTATGCAGTAAGATTACTTACCCAAAGGAAGAGGGGTCATGCACATGTTCAATCTCACCATTATTCAGGGTTCAATACTTGAGGCTCGTTGTAGCTTAGAAACTTGGCATTTTCTCCCACCCATCTTACACTGGGAAGAGAGTATTGTGTTGTGATATTCTGTTTTCTCCTGTGGTACGGGGTGCTCTTTACTGAGGAATACTCCAGACTAATGAATCTTGAAGCCACAGTTCCCTTAAAACAACACTTATCCACCTCATGGCCTCCCTCCCGGCCACTATCTAGCTTGGCGCTTGTACCCTGTGTACATCACAAGCGGAATTGCGTGGGACTAGTGTGTTGGGACATGACAATGAGCATGCTTATGGGGATGAATGGCTGGTGCTAAATCATATTCCGGCCTTGTGTGTTCTAGCAGATGGTACCGCGGAGTAGTTCGTTGAGAATTATCGTCGGGTATAGATAACTTTTTATACAATTGAATGCTTGCTTCATCACTTTGGTTCTCTAGAGGTAGCATAGAAACAAAAACGCCATATAAATCCACCAACGCCATCGCCTATACAATCCCAGGCAACCAGAAATAAATTATCACAGATCTTCACTCTCTTCCCTGAATATCCTCCGCATGATCGTGACGACCAATGCGATGAGGACACCGATAATCGCGCGGTCTAGCCAGGGGCTATCCTGTGCTGCCGTCGCCGTCGTGGTTGTTGTTGGCGTTGGCACTGGTTGGGGTTGAAATTGAATTTGGGTTTGGGGTTGAGGTTGGGATTGATGTTGGTATTGAGGCGCAGAAGAGGGTATTGGTTGCTGATGCTGTGGTTGTGGTTGCGGTTGATGCTGCGATTCTCCAGATGACTCTCGTGGTTCCTCTGGTACAGGTACTGGTGCTGGTTCTGCTACCGGTGTACTATTCAGCTGCGCAGCATCGTCCTCCCGAGCCTCCCGAGCCTCCTGTTGCTTTTTCTGCTGCTTCTGTTCTTCATTCTCTCCATCCCCAGACGCATCCCCACAATCACCCTGGTCATTTTCTTCGTCAACAACCCCCCTCTCCCTACAAACCCCCTCCCTCCACTCCCTTAACACCTCCTCATTGCTCTTTCCTCCGTTACAACCCTCAATCCCACACCTCCACCCCCGACTCTCCCCCGCCAACTCCCGTCTCCCAGCATCCCCCATCTCCAGTCCCCCGACCTGTCCCTTCGCATCAACATCCATATAGCTACGAATCGCCAACAACGCCGTCCTTACCCCCCAAGCCGGCTGCCAAGATTCCTCATGGTGTCCCGAGATACTCAGGCAGATTTCGCGGTTGACTTCGAAGCGGCCCGTGGGTGTGAGGAAACGGAAGGATGGTGGACGGAGGGGGTAAGTTGGTGGGAAGGTTATACGGCCGTGGTAAATTCCTGTGCTGAAGGGGGATGGGGGCGGGGGGCCGGTTAGGGTGAAGTGCCAGTCGTGAAGGGAGGTGTCGGAGATTGGAGCTGCGGTGAAATGAGGGGAGGGGTTTTTTTGAAGGTCTGTTGTTTCTTTGAGGAGGCGGCGGGTTGAGGAGGACATTTGTGTGTGTGTGTGTGTGTGTGGTTTTTTTTTTTTTTTTTTCCCTAAGAAAAATAACTGTATATCGAGTGAAAGAGTGGTGGTTGCTGGGAAGTTGAAGCAGAATTGAAGTGGTGTCGGAGTAGATAAGGCCAAGTCGCAGTTGCGGATGACGTTTTCGGAAGTGAGACAAAAGTACAGTCAACAATACTCCATGCTATGCATAACTAGGTATCAAAACATACAGAACGAAAATAAATAAATGCATCATTCCCAATCTCGCCATTCATCAGACGCACTATTACTCTGCCGATAACGTTTCGGCGTACTCTTCGGCAGCCGCCCCGGATACCGTGCACCTCCACCAGGCACATTATTGCTATCCCGATTCAGCAGATGATGATCCTCCTCTTCAATGTCATCATCATAATCGCTATCTCCCGGTCTAGGGCGCGGCGACAGAGGAGCCAGCGTCTTCATCGATACCCCCGTAGCAGGCCGTTCAGGCTCTTCTGGCATTATTCCACTTCCACCCAGCCAGCTTTGGCTATTGTTCATGTTCCGCAGATACAGATCGCGTTGGTATTTTTGTTGCTCAACCTGGTCTTGTTCGCGTTGCTGGCGGATGCTGTCGCGGGCTTCGAGGAATCTAGGGCTTGGTTCCCAGTGCCAGCCATCGCCGGTGGTGTTGCACACTGGCAGGGCCCAGAGGAGTGGCCGGTCGCCGAAGAGATGGAGAAGGTTTCGCCGCCAGCCTAGGTCGAATGCCCTTGGCACTTTCTGACTGTCCTCTTCGTTCAAATATTCCTGGTAGCGATCGTTTTCGCGCTGTCGTTCGATGTCGGCGTAAGAACGGGTTAGTGCTTGCTGTGCAGGTGAGAGATTATCCATTGGGACCCCAGTAGAGCCGGAATAAATCGACGGGTCTGGCGTTTGCTCCTCTCCTTCCTCAGGTCGGGTGACGCCTGGAATCGCATTCGCGTGTGCATCGAGAATCTGGTGCCCATAATCCTGTAAACGATGACCGAGACCCTCAGGACCAAGCCCGGACTCATGGCTATGATGGTTCGGACTAGCACCCAGTACATGCTCGTATCGGTGGCGATCCAATGCCTTGCGCAGAGGAGACACATACCGCGTCTTCTCCAGACACTCAATAGTCGTCATACCCCGAACCGCTAAACTAATATGCCACCCCGTAAACCCCGTCAAAACAAGCCCAATCACACCACCCAGAATTGCCAGCAAGATCACGTTCACCGGCAAAATCGCCTCCATATCCTGTGTATCCCCAAACACCTCCGACCAAGTCCACGCCACCGCAACTGCAAAATCCACCCAACAAAACAACGACGTATAAATCAAAAACAGCAAAAATGCCTTGTAATTATGCAACCCAACACAAGTTGCTAACCACGGACAATGGTGGTCCATCTTCAAAACGCATCGCTTACAGGTGGAACAATGATGCGCGCGATCCGGCTTCGGGGTCTGGCATTTCTTGCAGAATCGCGATGAGCCCGTCGAGCTAACCGTGTACGCCGTATACTCGGGGAGCTCGGTAACAGGTAAGGCACTGTATTCATGTTGTCCGCGTGAATTGCTCGTCAGGGTCGTTCCGGGGTTTGTGAATACGGCAACTGAATACGACGCGTTAAGGCAGATATAGAGGAGGATTCCGAGAAGCGAAGTTGGCATGCCTATGCCCAAAGGCCGTGTTAGCATACTCATCACCCTCCCACTTATAACCAAATCAACAAAGCTTACCAATCCACTTATTCGACGACGGCCTGAACCCAATACTAGACTCAACATAAACCGCCCACGTCGTCAAACTATACACAAACGCCAACGGAAATGACGACAGCGCCGCACAGCAATACCTTTCACACCGGAGTGCCCAGGCTTTAGGACGACGTTTGGGCAACGAAGGGGACGACGGCGGAGACCCGGCTAATGTCGCCATCATGGAAGAGTAGGAAAAAGGATAATCGGGTGGTTCTTGGGATTAGAGACAAATGACTAGCTGGATTCGACTAAACGTGGATCGTGGGCATCGCGACGGGGGACAGTTGCATTTCCGGCGGAGACGTGTTGGGCAACGGCGTTTCAAAGTGTATTGTGGGATGCCCGGATGGGGGCTGGTTGAGACAAGAAGAAAGTCGTTATTGAAGCCGCGTAATATATCAAATAGATAAAGGCAACCGCTAAAATGAGGCAGCCGCGAAACGAACGAAGAGGATTGGCAAAGATGAAGTTGGACTTGAGCATCGCATGTCGATAGGGCTGTGCAGGCGGGCCTGTACCGTCATTACGTGCACCGCCTGGCGATCATCGCTGCAACGTGTAAAATACGGTAAGTGTCACAGAAATAGCATAGCACAGCCATTGCTTACTAAGCCCTCTATACAAGTAGAACTATAGTACTCTTTCCGGCAAGAGTAGATAGTAGACATGGAGAGTAGATGTATATAGTAAATAGCTAGAGAACAATAATGAATATCTCAAAAATCCGCCACTGATATCTCATTCAACGCCGCCAAAATGCTATATCTCGACTCATAGCATCAAAATGCGCAAAGATTTCATCATGAGAAACTGTCCAAGTCCACAGGTCGCATAATCAAAAGACATAAAAGATAGAAAAAAGCGTCTAGTTGTTCGTCGTAGTGCTCTGGAAATTCAACTGGTCTTGTTCACACCAGTTTTTGACCGGCTACAGGAAACGAGTTAGTAACAGGCAAAACTAGATCAATATGGATAGAAGATACTTACCAGACAACTCAACCGGTAGCACCAATCGCAATTTGACGTAGTGTACTTGTAAAAATTGACAATCAACAAGATGAACCCAATCAGCACTGCAACTAGAGCACCAGCTCGCACCAACCACCATGCCCACCATAGTGGCTTGCGGCCTTTGAAAAAGTTGACCGGATTCATCGAAGAGTGCTGGTCATTCAGTCCTCGACGACCTTTGAAATAGTCCACGAAGCTAGGTCCAGGGGTGGTGGCCTTGTTGTCTTCCGGACCGGCTCCGGCACCACCGCTCATGGCGACGTACGGGTTGCGGGCCAGACCGATACGTTCACGGAGGGCATTAGGGGATCTCATGACGCAGAGTCCAAGAGCAAGACCCATGATGAAACCTCCAATGTGGGAGAAGTTGTCCAATCCGGGAAGCAGTCCCAGGACAAAAGAGATACCCACACCCAAGATCATGATGACCAATTCGACGAACGGCGATTGGCGTTCTTTCCAGCTGTACAGCAGATCCAAGATGAACAAGGCCAAAATACCGAAAAGAGCGCCAGAGCAACCGGTCGAAACGTTGGCTTGACCCGCGTAGTTTCCACCCAGCACAAAACCAAAAATACCACTAGCAATGTAGACCAGACCATACCGCCACCAACCGATGATGCGCTCCATGTCCACTCCCATAGTCAACTGCACAATCATATTGAAACCGATGTGGACGAATCCTCCGTGCAGGAACATGGGAATAATAAATCGGTACCATTGGTTGGGCTCTGGCTTATCGTCAAGAGACCCTCCGGGAACGGGGTTGGGGACTCCGTTAAAACCGCACACCTCGGACAATGAGCACTGGTTACTGGAGTCCATTGAATCGGCGACTGTGCTGTTGGGGCAATTCCAAGCAATTGTCTGTGTGGAATTCTGCACACCGGCAATGTTTTTCATGCATGGTGCGTACCGCGCTCCCATGTAGATCTGTACATACGGCGACGGACCAATCATCGGGTTAAATGAGGGTTTGGTTTCAATGGGAGATCCTGTAAATTGGGCTATACATTGCCGATTAGTTCAGTACAACTCATGGGCTGGTTCCAGTTGCACATACCGTTCTTCACCAACTCCACGATAAACACCACAATCTGGACTATTGTCAAGAGATAGGTCACCCATGGCAGCGTCTTCTTGAAGAACCCCTTCTTCTTCTTCCTCTTTCCTTCCGGGTCGATTGGTACTTCCATCATCTCGGGCGATGGGGGGTAATGGGTTGGTTGTCGCATCCACTCCGGCGGCGGACCATTCGCATAATGACCTTGTTCGTGTTCGTTCAGCGGGATATTTTCAGAATAGTAATCGTGTTCATTTGCTCGTGCAGCTGCCGGGTATGCGCTGGGATCCGAGGCCAGCGCCTGGTGACTATGCTCGGGGTGTCGGAGATCGCTATCGGAGGTCTCGAAAGGGGACACATGGGAGGTATGTGAGGCCGGGGTTGCTGCTTGTCGTCTGAAGGAATCGTGGTCTGCGGATAAATCATCGTATCTGGGAGGATTCCCGTAGTAATTTGTGTTGTAGTATTCGTTGCCTGCCATTGTGATGGGCTGCCCGAAGCGACAGGGGTAACTTTTTTTTGTTGTCTGTTTGTGCTCTGTCGGTCGATGAGAAGAGGATAGTGAACCGGAGGACCAGATGCTGTGTTATTTCCTCAAGATTGTTTCGACAGTGATTGAATGATATATCCCGATTGCAAAAGTACTGCTGTTTATCGATGCAGGCAATAACCAGCCCACGTTCGGTTGCAGGTGAGAAGATGAAACTAGTGACGGTCTCCCTAGAACTTGGGCCCGACCAAGGATCGTTCAGGAACACCGCCCGAACCGAGGAAAAAACGAAAATATCTGATTCTCAACCAAAGGAGAAAGAGAAAAATGTGATGGTCAGATATAACAAGTCATACAACAGCGAAGAAAAAAACAACGTGGTTGGACTCTGTAAATGTTGCTGACTGATGGCCGGTTTATTTTTGGCGCTGCGCACGCGGCTCTTGCGCGTTTTAGAGAATGCAAAACAACAACATACAAGTAGGGCAGAGAACAGCCACAATAGCATCCACTGGGCAGCAACCTCGCTGTCTTAGCCGCTGCTCTCCACACCGTACTTTGCTGTGTTTTAGCGGCGGCCGGTGTGGCTGTCCCTCTAGTTCTCATACGGACAATGTCAAAAAAAGCAACATAACCGAGATACATATGAGCCTAAGGATTACAGGGCTGCTAATACGAAGAGATTAAGTCTTCTGGATAGCCATATCATTAAGTATTACAGTTAACGACTTGATCTTGACATACTCCATCCGGCGAACAGTCGCCCTGTACAGCTAGTAGTATGCGGGCATTAAGCATCAGTCGTAACAAGACAAGAGAGAAAAGGCGACAGAAAATAATACACAAGATCTCTGTCTGGTCCATACCCAGAAAAAAACAAAACCCTCAAGCAGAAATATCTCGAAAAAAAGAAAAGAAAAAGTAAAACAAGTCACAACACAAGCCCCGTATGCATGCCCATGCTGCAATTAAAATGAAAATAAAATCCTTCCTCGTTCAGTTCATTATATTTGTGAGCGACATCGCGTCACTAGTAAACGTCATGGAAAGCACCAAAATCGAAAGCCAACGCCATATAAACTCCGTATCGAGCATCGAATGACAGTCTGACACTATGTTAGTTGTCATCCCCGAGACGGCAGAATTGGCCTTGCTCACCAGGTCTGAGCTCATAGTTCGCGTACAAAAAATTATCACATGCAACCCGACAGCTGGTGGTTAAGAAGTCGGGCTCGAAAACGCCGGCGATGTGGCACCAGTACGCGTATCGAGGATGCCCAGAACGGCCCCCATCTCCTCGCCGCTGTGGCCCGTCAATAGCCACACGAGACGACTGAGCTTGTTGTAGAGCAATGCAGGGAAGTAGAGGAGTAATGCCCAGAGAAGAAGAGTCATGAATACCATAACAAAAGTGTTGGCGGCAAGTTTCTCGCCGGGTGTCAGGACGTAGATCCCGAAAGTCACCTCGTACCGGTAATATTCTAGGTGGATGCGATCGACGGCACGACCCAACAGGCCTCGACGGGGCTGCGATGCGGGAGGTGCGCTGGTAGTAGTCGACATGGTCGAGGAGTATTTATTGATCAGTTCGTCAACGGCAGCCGGGGCGTGGGAGGAGATATGCGTAGAGGTCGAGGGGGTATAGAAGGACTGCATTTCGGTAGTGGCCATTTTCTCATCGATATTTACGGTCCTTTCCTTCCTTCTCTTTCTGTCTTCGTTTCCGGCTGCTAAGGTCGCGGTTTCCGCTGAGCTGGACAGGACAAGGGTCGCTGGGAAGTCACGCTAGAACGAGTTCGACAACTGGTGGTTTACGGCAGATGATCCGGGGACTCGTTAATTGAAATCAACCGTCGTCAAAGCTGACTTCTGGTTTTTCCCTGTATTTCTCAACCAGAAGACTTGCACAGGTCTGTCGGATGGTGAACGACAACGATAAGGGAGCGAGACCGCATTAAAGAGAGGATAAAGGAAAAAAAAAAAAAGAAAAAAAAAAGATCGCTGAATCGGGGGAAATGCAAAGGAGCTAGAAAATTAAAGCGAAGTAGCTATACAGAATGCGCCCAGAAGGCAGAACTAGTAGGAAGAGGAAAAATTGAAGGGGAGAGGAAAGGGGAAAACAGGAAAAAGGAACTTCGGCACTGCGCGGATGGAGGCTGGCCAGGCAAGGCACCGTCAAATCGGCACTTAACCGATACTTGCAGAAAAACAAGCTCTACCCAAAGGGTGTTGCGATCATGATAGTGTCATTCTGAATCCGAGATTGATGTTCATACTACTGATTGATATCGATATGCCAACGGCCGCTCAATGAAGTATGTATCAACAGGGCTGACCGTGGCCGAGTCTTGAATCATGTTTCTCCCGTACTGCGGCAGGGCTTCCGACAGACACCACAACATGCATCTTTATGGTTGACCCAAGGTCTGGATAAGGATATATCCACACATAAGGCTGAGACTGGCTATGATGCGGTTGTGATACTCGTTTTGGTCATGTGACTCGGGTATCAATATCCATATCCTCAATTAACTATTCAAGCTCAATCAACAAATGCACCGGAATCCTTAGACAAATTGGAGGCTTTTCCTTTCCATTCTGGTGCTCATCCCTCGCCAGCAGAGATGAACTATTCACATAGCAGATTTATGCAACTCTCCTATCTAATCTTTAGCATGTACATACCCCCCCACCGCTCAACAAATCGCTTTCAGGAAGAGAAAGAAGCACAGCCAACCGAGGGGATCAGCTCCAGTAGCCCAGCGTGTGTATTTTTCCTCGATGAAAACATAGCCTACTAACCCTCTGAAAGCCCTCAAAATGGGACTCCGTTGACTCCCTCTTCTACATCTCTTGTCTACCATGAACGTACGCTTTGCTTCCTCGGTGAGATACTAGCCCCTCCCCCCAGTCGTCTCGCGAGATGAGACCCAGAATGCGAGACCTGTTCTTACAGCATGGGCAGCTGCAAAATCCTAGAGAACAGCCCGTCAACTATATTGAAAGTCCAGGTATACGGTTCACATGTGAGAAGCTGAGGTTCTCCGCCTTTTCAGAAAAAGAAAATCGAACCCTGTTCCTCAAATCTTCAATGCCCACATGGTTGGAGATATTGAATCCACCTTGATGAAAAAGTTTCAGGTATTCCCCTTGAAAAATACTGGGAATATTTATCGAGAGATGCCAAGAGATCTATAGTCCAGCAACTCCAAAACTACATACAGGAGTGGCGCAAGATTGAAAAGCCATTTTTCGGATCTATTGACGGCGTCTTCAGACATTCGTGGGATCCAGGCCCCCCTCAGTATGGTCCATTTGGCATGGAAGGAGCTCCATCAAGGGGGAGTGGAGGCTCTCTGTAACTCAGACCCAAGGGAAACTCACCAAGAAGGATGAACCTCTGGCAGAGAGAATTCTTGCCTCGAGGAAAGATGGCGAGAGTGAAAGAGATCTCATTTCTACCATAATCGAAGCTGACGAGTATGTTTTTTGGGCCGAGGATAATCAATCAATGGTGGATTATACTGGCTTCTGAGCCCGTATGTATACCCAGGGGTATAGAACATTAGCATATCTACTCCGTACACTGTACGTCCAGAAATGGGCGTTCTCGTTTTCTAGAGTATCTGGCGATCGATGATGTCATGTCATGTGCACGCGTGGCCCGTCCCGCATCGAGGCTGTGAGGCTCTCTACCTCTTGTCTCTCTCCCCTGACTTGCATCTCCCCCAGTTTTCTTTCCAATCGAATTCCCATATTCTAGAGGGATAACATCATCGCCATGACCGACAATGAAGACCCTCTTATCGCGGCCCTGCCACCGGCCACCGACTACCTCACCTATCTCACCATTCTCGAATACCAACTGACCCCCGCTCGCCTACCCACTCTCCATAAAGTTCTCCAAGATGAGACATTGACCACGAATATCGGCTGGGATCTGGTGCAAGTGCTCCTGCCCATGATTCCGCAATCCTCCGAATGTTTACAGGATATCGCTCGTCTGGGAAATCCGAGAGAAGTCATCTTGCGTGTTTCAGATGCTTTGATGAAACTACAGCCTGACGATGACGAGGAAGATAGTGAGGATATTGGAGAGGGAAGTAGCACACATGAAACACAGAAGACAGATGAAGGTCTTCCACGGCATATCTTGAAATTCAACTGTCTCATGGCCATGCTATCGGTACTCCATCGTCGTATCCAGACCAAGTCCCCCAGCCGATTCATCGCTACGTCCCTTCAGGCAGCATTGGAAGCTTATACTCTGATGCCAACAAACGAAACCACAATTGCACTTCTGGAGTTCTTTAGAGATATCGCTCCCTCGAAGAGGCCCGCACCCCCGCCGAGAGCAGCCAGCGAATCCAGCATTCTGCGAGTTTCGGAAGCCTCTGCACCCGACCCCGAAGCCGAAGTACAGTCTCCTGCGCCCTCGAGTAATAATGAACCCATACTTGTCAGGAAGTTTTTGCAATTTGGTCTCATTGAAGTGCTCAAGTCATACCTTTTGAGTTTCTCAAGTCCTATGGATCCAGGGATGTCATGGGCCATTAGGTTGCAAGAAAAGCTACGTCCGAACTTGCGTATACCAGGAAGAGAGTCGCAGACAGACGTTTACGCTTCTACCAAGCATCTCAAAGAAAGAGACTTGATCATGGCGAAGATTACTGTAGGTTCCACGCTCAACGTTTGTCCCTTTTGAAATCCCCTGCTCACTTTACAGGCTCTGTCTCGAGATTTCGGTTTAGACGACAAGCAACTTCTTTCGGTTGTTTCGCAGCCATCCGACAACCATCCTCCGCCGCTAGACTTTGACGAACCACCAAAGAACCCCGAAGATATCCCGCTCGAAAGACACGGTTCTTTGTTGTTGCTGGCTGCGCGGGCTGCGGTGGCAGAGTTGTACTCGTCAGGCCAGGTTGTTCCAATTGCGGTCTTCCCTGATTTGGCCCAACTGTTCTCGAACTTCGTCGGGGGTTTCAAGACTCCGGATGAGGTGGCTTTCGGGCAACCTCAGCCACTTCTAGACTCTCTGCTCACACTGACGGTATTCTCCATGGAAAATGCTATAGGCGAGCCGTCTAGCGAAGCGAAGTTCAACAACTTCGTTCTGGAGCTTACGGCCTGTACAGCGCGTCAGAACTACAGCACATTACGACGGATACCATCTACCATCATCCATAGCCACCCATCCGAAGTGACTCGCTTCAAGTTGATCCGCAAGGTCCTTGAAGACGATGCCCTCCAAGCCGCCAAAGACAGCGCTATCGGATGGCTCAAAGATGAGATCCTGGCCACCACGGAGCAAACCCCCGAATCCAGCATCTTCCAAAACCCACACTACTTCTCCGTCCTTTTACCCCTCCTCTTCAACTCCACCCACCTCCTCCTCAACGTCTCCTCCGAAATCGTCGCATCATGGATTAGATTTTCCCAAATCCTCACGCCCTCCATTCACGCCGCCCTAAACCTCTACTATATTCTCGTCTCCTCCCCGAAACTCCGCGAACGCCTCCAACTCGAAAAGACATACATCTACTTCCGCAATCGCGTCCACGAACCTCTCAAATCCCTCTGCCACGCCTTCGAGGCCGATTTGACAGGCCACGGCGGTGAAGGACGCATCCAGGCTGCCGTGGGTGAGGATATGGTTGAGGTTGGGATGGCTCGTTCCGTTGGAGTTGTGTCACATACGCTGGAGCAAGTTGAGGATACAGTGGGTGATGCGTTTGTGCTTTCCGATAAGGAGTTGCAGGAACCAAGTGCAGATGATATTGCGAGTGTTGATGCTATTCGGAAGGAGACTGCATCATAAACGGTGCGTTCTTGTAAATATGAATTTACTGCAATACCGTGTTTGCTTGGTTAATGGTACTAGTTATTCTTACATGGCTGGAACGGATATTATACTAAGTTGCTTCCCACAGAGTATATCCTGCTAGGTAGCAGGATGTATTCACGAGAACAGAATGAGAGGTAAACGGGGTGCTATTTGAACAGATATAAATAAGCAGCAGGATAAACTCCTAATCCAACAAGTACATGCGCCAGAACCCAAACTCTCTAGAGTACAAAAAAAAAACGATGACTGTCCAGCAGTCTTGGTTTTTTTTTCTTTTTCTTTTCTTTTATTGTAGTTGTTCTCGGGTGTGGCTCGCACCACGGTCAACTCAACTCCGTTCCATCCAATATTGTATCCATGACTGTAGTTCTCGAGCTGACCAGGTAAGAGGGTCAGAGTATAGTAAGGGTATTAGCGGAAGCGTAGAAGCGTTGAAGCATTGAAGCGTTGAACGGAACTGAATTATCCCAGAAGTCGTGTATATAAAGCGTTTCATCTTCAAAAAAGAAAACGCGGGTCATGGTACGAGATCTCAAGTGCTGGTTGTAGTTATTCTTGTCAGGTCGTAGAATTCAAGGCGCGTGGGTCTAGCTTGATGGGCGCGGTTACATGATGACACAACCACCGCCCGGGGAAGCTGCACATATTGTTAGCATTTTGTCTTGTCCATAGGGAAGGGGTTACGGAGGGATGGGGGGATGGGGGAGGCTTACCCTTGGCAACGGCAGGGATCTTAGCAATAGTCATGGGAGACATGTTGGTGATGGAACGGATTGGCTAAGCGTGCAGTTTGAGATGTAGAGTAACCTGGAGAGTAGGATATTGAGTGCGCTGGATGGAGAGAAAATGAGGTTGAGTTGGAGAGGGTCAAGGGGTTTTATATCGAGTCGAGCATGTAGAGGAATGGTCGATATGGTTTACTCCCTATTCTAGAGGAAGAATCAAATGGAGAACAATGGTAAGCGGTCTTCGATTGGATGTATGCAGACTAGCCCCATAGAACATTTCGTCTGCAACATGCAGAGACAATCTGGAGTGGCCGTATTCAATTGGTATAGAACAATATTAATATGCAGACATGAATGCGTTGGTATTGTTCTTGACGCGCAGGTGGGTCTTTTGTTTGGATGCCCTAGACCTTGGATCGTCGGTGCTTAACAAAGGATTCCCCCCTGGAAACCGTTAATAGCCGGGAATAATAGTATTTGTTTTGTAAAAACAAGTTTGGGAGAACGAGGGCCAAATGATAAGTTGTTTCGTAAGTAACTAACAGAGGATATCAACATGCCAAGTCAGGTTTGAGATGCTAGAATATCCCAACTTTGGATTATACGCACGCAAATACAATACATCATGTTTAGTATCCTTTCGTTTCTGCAGAGATTCCTGCGTTTATCACTTACCTATGCTCGGTGGTTGAAAATATCGACATGCTAATCATCTGCAGTCATCTGCTTGATATTGTTCTCGAATGTTCCCGAGAACAATATCATGCATGCTATATGCGGAAGTTCCATAAATGAGAAAGAAAGAAAGAAAAGAAATGAAAAAGAATGAAAAAGAAATGAAATGAAATGAAATGAAATGAAACAATGTCCAAATAGACGTAAATTACCAAAGTGTCAAATATACATCAAATCAAGGTATGCAAAATCAAGTATAGATCGGCTCCGTCACCTCGTTAAGCGTTAGTCCCTCCTTCGCAACGTCCTCCTGGATCAAAAACATCAACGGCATTTCAACCAATGTTCCCTTCACTTGGCTAAGCAATTCCTTGACTTGCTTCACGCCCTCAGGACCAGGCGGGAAGTTGTCCCGAACAACATGTCCATACCTGTACCTCGCCGGTGCCGCATCCTTTGCTTCTCCATAGGCCTGCTTATCCGCCTTGTGGAAGTAGTACCCGTAGAACTCCTTGTAAGTAGCCCAGTCGCGAACCGAATCGTCGGGAACGGAATGGAAGACCTTTCGGAAGGCTTCAGTGTTTGTACGTGCGCGGGTGTTCCAGACGTTGTGGAGGGGATCGGCCAACGGATCGGCGACGAGTTGGCTTTCGGGTGAGTCCAAGTCGGCGTCGTTGGGGACACCGGCTGGCTCGTAGTTGGCGTCTGGACGTTCGGGGTCTTGGGGTGGGAGGAGGCCAAGGTGCTTGCGGAATAGCTGTCGACGCAGGGATGCTGCAAAGCGGCTCGCGGTCCAGGGTTTGCCATTCATCGTGGACGAAATTGGTGTGTAGTCTTCGATGATCACTGCAATCTCTGAGTCGTGATCTCCCAGCTGGGATCGGTCGTTGATGTTTGCGGATCCGCAAATGACGATTCTATCATCGGCAATCATAACCTACTTCTGTTAGTCTTTCCCAATGAAAGAGGGCGAAAGAGCATACCTTGGAGTGAACATATAGTTCCTCAGTAACGAATGCATCGATTTCAGCCTCAGCAGGACCATCCCATGGCACCTTGCGAAGGTCTTCTCCATTCAGCATATAGCATGAGCTCACGCTATCCCACTGACCAGACGATGGCTTGTCAGACATTTGCCGGGCAGCATTTTGATACTGCTGGAACGGAGCTGACGGGTCAAACGCACTCCGAGGAGCGCCCGGACCATAGCCACCTTGCCCACCAGTTTTCACATCCTGCTCTTTCCGCGCCTCTTCGTAATTAACACCGCTTCTCTGTTCAGCGTCCGCCAACGGACCACTGAGGTTAATGCGGTCGTAGTTACGAAGATTGTAGAAGCGGATATATTCCATAGGGTTGTACCCTTCCTTGGCAATAAGCTCCATTATGCTGTTTCCACCTCGGTTGATGGAGTTGTACTGAAACTCCATAATGGCACGAGTGCCCAAGGTGGATTCATCGCTCAAGTCTCCAGCAAAGCATGGCACGCAAGGAATCACAACGATAATCTTATACTTCTGGCCTGCACGAGCCGCGCGCAAGATACGCTCCACGATCGCAGCACCGATCTTATTCTTGACGGGTTTCTGAGAGTCGCTTGTAGCGGTGATGAAGAACTGGTTCTCGATGTAAACACAATGCTCACTGTTGCGGATGATGGCCGAATAGGCGTCGGCAATCGAGTGCTCGGTGTCGCTACCATGACTCCATTTGGAACAGCTGCGCACAATCTGGCAAGACATGTTACCCCGCGCCTGCCCCTGTGGTCGTCCAAGTGTGGTGAGACGGTCCTGGTATTGATGGATCTGGCCGGCCAATTGACCACGGAAATTGTTGCTATACTGCATCAGATCATCCTTTTTGAAACGACGAGGGAGAGCGAAGCCTCTGTCAAGATCACCAACACCGCGGGTACCTTCGTGATCCTCAACACAACGTGTTTGGTTTTGAGAACCTTCCTGAGTCGGTGGAGGCGGGAAGTAAGGTGCTTGGCCTTGCTGACCCTGCTGTTGACCCTGCTGGCTCTGTTGAGTTTGGAGCTGATTGGGTTTATTCGGGGGAGCTCCAGGAGGCGGTGGTGGGAACGACTGTCCAGTGTATGTATATTGTTGTGGAGTACTCTGGTGTTCGTATGCATGGTAGCTCGGCGGCGGCGATTGATGGCTTGGAGTGGGACTGCCGGAATTTTGAGACGGAGGAGTGTTTGAAGCGCCGTCTGGCCGATATGGTTTATATTCCGTAGACTGCTGCTGCTGCCATTGTGGTTTCTCTTGGGACACTTGCGGTTGCTGCGGTTGCTGTTGTGGCTGTTGAGACTGCGATTGCTGTTGCCATCCGGGCGATGCTTGCAGCTCTGCCAGTTGTGGCTGTTGCTGAGCCTGCTGTGGTGGTTGCTGCCAATGAGGCTGCTGTGGTGAAGGTTGTTGTTGCTGCGGCTGCGACTGCGACTGCTGCCATTGTGGTTGGGCTTGTTGTTGTGGCTGCTGGGATGGCTGCTGGGATGGCTGCTGGGGTTGTGGTGACTGCGGTTGCTGCCATTGTGGAGCTTGCTGTGGCTGCTGGGGTTGTGGTGACTGCGGTTGCTGCCATTGTGGAGCTTGCTGTGGCTGCTGGGATGGCTGCTGTGGCTGAGGTGATTGTAGTTTCCCAGCTCCATGCTGTTGCTCATGGCCAGGTTGCGGAGACTGGCTACCCTGACTGACAGCCGAGCTCGGACGTCCAAACAATGCCAGTCGTGAATACCTCTGCTCCTTACGAACTTCATACTTCGCATCATAGATGAAGTTCCACCGCTCCACGAAATGCCTTCGCAGGTCCTCAACAACTCGTCCGTGCAAGCTCAGGGCCACATCAGACCATCCCATGCGAGAGGCTGACTTCCGATCCAACTGGTTCTGCTCCCAGTGCGAAACGTCCTGGAAGTCGAGGACTCGGGCGTTGTTGTAGTCCTGGCCAGGGAAGACGATCTCGTTCAAGTCTGTGGGATGGACATCGGAGAGGCTGTGTTGGTTGGTGTCCCAGCGTCCAAAGCACAAGTCCAGGCCTCCCATGAATGCCACTCGGCCGTCAATCAAGCAGAGCTTCTCGTGGTGTGCCCAGTAGAGAATGACATCATCGTTCATTCCGTATATACCTTTGATTGCCTCCCCGGGCATCTTGGCCAGCGAAGCAGCATCGAGAGAGAAATGCTGAAGGGACGACGTTATCGAAGCAGTGAGTTCTTGGGCGTCAGGGAGGTGGTCGGGGTGGCGGAAAACTGCGATATTGGGGTGGAGGTTTTCCAGATGGTGCTTTGTGTGGGAGGAGGACACTAGCGAGCGACATTAGTATTCCTTGCTGTTCTCTGATGTTGTGGCCGGGAACATACAAGTCAAAGCCTGGGTCACCTCCTTGTAGACGATGATATTCACCCGCACTCCACGCTGAGCGGCAGCTTGAAGCAGCCGATCGAGTCGATACTGTTCATTCTTCGCGGGAGGACGTCGTAGGTACAATTCTGGAGAAAGCCACCCTAGTCCTGGTTAGCATACTTCGTATGTCCGCCAACGGTGCAATGAGACGGAACCCACAATCCAAAATCCAAACTGACTCCCTTGCATTCTCCAACGCCTTGGAGACAGCATAGAAGTAGCTGCACCCATCGACATACCACTTCACATCATTCCCCTGTCGCGCCGGAGCAAAACTTCCAAATCGATAATCCGTATCCGGGTTCTGCTGTCCATATTCCGCATAGGCCTGTGGATCGAGTGCGGTTCCGATACGCTGGGCGAATTCACCACCGAAATCTGCTACGGTGCCTTGAAGCTTTCCCAGCAGTCCGGAAACTTTATCCTGCTTCGGAGGCTTTCCTTGGGACTGAGGATTTTGGTACGGGGGATTGGGGGTTTGACTCTGGTTTGGTTGTTGCTGAGCCGCAGATAAGATAAGTGTTAGCGGGGTTCTTCTTAGGTGTCTTCTTGGGATTTCAGCAACGTACCCCATAACCTCCAGGGTTATGACTCTGCTGCTGGTTACTTCCTGCCTGCTGACTCTGAGCTGGAGAACCCTGATGGCTCTTGTATGTTGACTTCAGCTTTTTGAAGGTATCTCCAACTAAGCCTCTGGCGCTCTCGCCTGCCCCGCTCCGAGAACCGTCCTGCGAGTAGTAATGGCCATAGGCCAGGTGGTCTTCTCGCTGTGACATGGCGTTATAGAGGTAGAATAATATAGAATTGGTAGGCAGTGTATTTTTTTGATCAAATTAAAGACAGAAGGAAGGGAGATCCCTCGGAAGATCAGATGTCTTATATAGAGGAGGTGCCCCGCTCAGACAGGCTGCCACGTTCCGTTCAGGGTGGTCTCATGGTGGCTGAAATCAGTCAATCAGAGACATTCATGTCAATAGTCCCAAATGCTAAGGAATATGGAGGGGATGCCTGTGGCTGTGCTCATTAGACTTCCTCTTTGAGTTTAATCCTGCCACACTGTCAATATATACCAAGAAACAACACCTATGCATGTCCATTTAGCGCCGATACATCCCACTTTCTCAATCAGCATCAAAGTCGGCCAGTCTGTATCCGCTACTACGGGAGAGTTGTCATGAAGTGGAGGCTAAGGTATTACCAGCACGTACCCACCACCAGCAGAGGCCTGCATACAAACAAAGACGCTTCGACTTCCCACAATTCTCATCTGCTCGGGGTCTCTTTTAATAGGGCGTTTGGCTTTGTTATACCATCATTGGAACTTGCTTCTTGTCGAAACCAGATACTCGTACATGTCTTTCCTGGCTGTAGTGGTCATAGTGTTGGAGGTGCTCCGTATTGCCCCATGTTTTCTCAAGGAAATTCATTTCACATTGAGATTATTGCCATGGGAGAGAATGTATTTGTCCTTGGAGCAGCTCAGCCCAAGCGTATCCCAGAGACTTTCCGTTAGGCGGATAGAAGGTTGAATGTGCTGTGTTTTAACTCAATACATCTGAAATGGATATGATAGTACACGAGCCATAATGATTCAAAGCAAAGTGGGATTAAAGCAAGTAGAGACTGAAGCATCAGTGTAGACTGAGCTATGTATATTTCAGTTCAGCTGGTGTGTTGTCACTGCAGAACCACCACAGAGATGCATACTCTACAACCACAAACCCTCACTATCATCTAACACTAGTCTCAGTAGGTCATTCAGCTGAAAACTATTTGTCCCATCAGTCATCTAAAAATCTGGGTTACTGTGGATCTGTTTTCCACCACCCCATTTCACTTTAATCTACTGACAGTGTGTATGTCGACGGCCCACATTATCTGTGGGAATGTGAACATGGGCAACCAGCAAAGTCTCAGGGATAGTTAGGGAGTGAAACATCATGGGATGTCCTAATGCCTTGATGTTTGCTTATACGGCATATTCTACCATTTGATTGATACTCCTGCCTGGTTTGAAACTGTGCATATGCTCTTGTATTCACATGTGATGCTGATTGAGGTAACAATCATCAACTCATGCACTGTATTGGAAGATGTATCAGGACAGAATATCTCCTCTAGCTACAATTACAATGTACTGGCCCAAATCGAGTGCACATGCCTCCGTTTCTCTTTGTGAGAAACCGATTTCCCAGACATTCGCCAGTCAACATAAAAGGAGAGCAAAGTCGCCCTCCTGACGCCTTTATGGATGAACTGATCGGCCTTGTTCCCGGCATAGCGCTCAGCGACATGGTCATCGACAAAATCAATAAGAATGTCAGCTCGATGAAGGGTAGTTTACCCGGAAACTGGCGCGATCCGAGAGGCTTCTTGCAGTCCTCGACGCAGGCACCTGCCACTGCCGCTGACTCTGAAAAGACGCCAAAGCCTAGACCGTTGACAGAAGAGGAAAAGGTAGTGGACTTATCTTTCTAGCTTACGGATATTTTTTTGCGTTGTCAAAGGGACCAGGCTCTGACGAGGAAGAAGACGAATCTTTTGGTCTGGATGAAGTCCATTGTGCGGATTCCTGTGACTGAGTGTCAATACGTCAGCCCGGGCGACCCTGCTAATGACTTTGACTGGACCAAGGAGTATTTGAAGAGATTCAAGGCTACCCAGTCTCTTCCGGAAGCATACATCGAGAACATTCAGCCGAAGACTGATGCTTCCAGCCAGTGATTCTCTGCGGTGTATTCGCGGTTTTATTTGGTCTTTTTATGCCACTTCGGTAACTAGAGATAACTTCTTGTACATCACCGTCTCAATTCCTTTCCATCTGGTCTTCTGACTTCAGTATGTTAAGTCGAGGGCTACAGTAGTCCCTTGGCCCAGATTACCATCTGTAGACATTCAGACGGGCATTAGTTAACTACTCTTAGTCTCTTAGTCATGAAATGCTGCTCGCCCCAGGTATCCTCTAATATAAATGACCTTGCATTGCTGCTGTGAGTAATTAGCACTCAAAGCTGTATTTGAGTCGGCCACGGGACATATTTCAATACAAGCAGGGGCGAAAGCGAGCAGGAATCGTTTTTAATTAATTCAAAACTCGATATCAATTGCCAGAACTAATGGTAATGTACCGTATCATCCCTCGTGATCTGCAACTGTCAGTTGGTTCCGCTATCTCCGAGTAGACGGACAGTCATGGTACGATACAATACTTGTACAACGGCCTCCAACAATGTTGTATCAACATGACATCTTCGAACGAAACTATATAAATCAATTCAAGATCCCACTATCATTACTTGCAAAACCCCATTATCCGAAATCAATTATATCACACTTGTGTCCAATCCATCACCATGTCCCTCGCCACTCTCGACGTGAGTCCCCCATACACCAGAGATATAGCCAAAACTAACTCACCAGACCTCCCAACACCCCTCCCTCCCCACCGCATCCACGACCCTCTTCAACGCTAAATCCACCAAAAAACTCACCTTCGAACAAATTGCCCACCACCTCAACCGCTCCGAAGTAGCCGCCGCCGCCATCTTCTACGGCCAAGCCAAAGCCTCCCCCGAAGATATCTCCAACCTCTCTTCCCTTCTCGAGATTCCCAAGCCGGTACTTGAAGAGCAGCTAGGTGGGTTTCCGGACCGGGGTCGGTCGGTGGAGATGCCGCCTCGGGAACCGTTGATTTATCGATTATATGAGATTGTGCAGAACTATGGATATGCATATAAGGCGGTTTTGAATGAGAAGTTTGGGGATGGAATTATGAGCGCGATTTCGTTTTCGACGAAGGTGGAGAAGGAGACTGATGAAGGGGGGAATGATTGGGCAGTTATTACGTTGAAGGGGAAGTGGTATGTTTGCTGTCGGACTGGCGGATGTATTTCAGGGCTAACGTGGTATAGGTTGCCATTCTCGAGGTTCTAAGCTTGGATGGATATGGTATGACTCGGTTTATATAGCATGGTTGCGATAATCCATGACATTATATACAGACCTATTATATCTTCGACTTCCGACTCTCCAGTGCTTTACGTCTTGTCTTGAGAGCTTTCATCTCCTCCTGCAACGCCAGCCCCATCATAATCTCCTCACTCCCACCCCCAACAACATGAACTCTCATATCCCGACTAATCTGCTCAATCCGTGCCCCCTTCCCGGCTCTATTGTAGCCAGCACCGCCTAGAATCTGCTGCGCCTCACGAACACTTTTCTCAAGAGCTCTTGTCGCCATAACCTTGAGGAGAGCTGTCATACCACCGATCCTGATATTGTCCACGGGCTGATCTTTAGTGAGTTCGATGATGTGTGCGAGTTGCTCCATGAATGCGTAGGCTGGTTCGATCATTAGGCCGAATTTGAAGATTTTGGATTGGATAGCTTGCTTTTGGATTAGAGGGGAGCCGAATGTCTCACGTTGGACAGCGTAGTTGAAAGCATCTTCTGCACATACGCGGGCTAGTTGGAGAGAGGCGCATGCAAGACTGAGGCGTTCGGGGTTGAAGTCTTCCTAATTAGCTGGCGACCCTTTAACTGATATCAGCAGGTACTCACTAGACATGATCAATGGGAATCCATTGTTCTCTTCCCCAATCAGATGGTCAACCGGGACACGGACATCGTCGAGCTCGATGAATGTTGATCCTGATATGTGTCAGCTCATTGTTCATAGCCGGAAATGAAGTACCTACCGCTGGCATTGACACCTGAATTGTGCATCCGTTGACGAGTCACTCCAGGCGCCTTCAGCGGAACCACGAGCAGGCTGATTCCACCTTTACCCGGTCCTCCAGTCCGGACAGCAGCCGTGCAATAATCAGCCCAAATCCCGTTGGTAATCCACTTCTTCGTACCGTTCACGATATAGTTATCACCCTCCCGTTTCGCCGTAGTCTGAATATTCGCGACATCCGATCCAGCTGCACAAAGTCAGTATCGTACCCTCATCGAAACCATAACAGCCAAAAAGAATTCACCATCAGGCTCCGTAATCCCCAAGCAAAATCTCACTTCCCCCCTCGCAATTTTCGGCAACCACCTCCTCCTCTGCTCCACAGTCCCAAACCTCGCGACCGGCGGCCCCCCAATCGCATTCCCACCCCCCAGTCCCCAAACAACACCCACAAACCCAATCCTCGTAAGTTCCTCCGTCAAAATCAAACTGCACCACGTATCCCACTTATCAAACGGCACGTTCCCGGGCAATGACAGACCACCCGCGTCTTCGGGGGTTGTGAGCGGGTGCACGATGCTAAAGCCTAGTTCGCAGTGGTGGCGACGGACAGGTTCGGGGACTTGGCCTGATTCTTCCCATTCTTGGGCGTAGGGCGCGATTGAGGCTTCGATGTAGGAGCGGATGGAGGCGCGGAGGTTGTAGTGGAGGGGGGTGTAGTAGGGGTTTTGGAGGGAGAGTTGGGGGAGGAGAGGGGAGCTGTAGGGGGCTATTGGAGATTTCATTTGTGTAGAGTGTTATTTGGGTGTTCTGGCGCAATTGGTTGTAGAATGTGTATGGTGTTCATTGATATGTATATGCTTGGAAACAGGGGTAGAGTCTTATCTTATCGTCTGGTCCTCATGCGGGGAAAGCTTCAAACCGAGGACCGCGGAATGTCACTGAAATAGGAAAACAGGACATGAGATGAGTTGAGTTCGTATCACTTTCTTCATATAAATTAACGTTTCTATGGAGTAGGGTAGGTTCCTTTTCCCAATGCAGCTCAGTATCAAATCACGACGCCCTCTCTAATGCGCTTAAAATACCCACCAAATGCTTCTTGACATGGGAGCAGCGCCATCTCTGTCTAGAACGCGGCTCCAGCATGCCTCTAATGCAGGTCATTATAGAACCTGCAACAGTCATTCCCTCCTCGAGCGGCACCTGCCCCATGTCGATTTTCTCTGCAAAATCAGACGGAAAGATCGTTCTTTGTGTGGCCATGTCAATTGAAGCCGAGGAGCTCCTACCCCGGGTCAATTCACTTAGAACCATCTGGCGTTCCATTTTCGTACCCAGGCGATACAAGAGCTCAAATAGAATCACCCCAAGGGCGTATACATCAAGTCGCTCGTCGATAGTGTAATAATCCTCGTCAGTTATAGATTCATCCGACTCCGATATCCCGGGACTATTGCTGTTCGTAGGTGGGCGATAAAATTCGGTCCCAACGACACGGTTCATATTCTGTGATGACACAGAGCCCCTGAGAGAGCAATCGTCTATATGTGAGATATCTGCAACGAGGCCGAAATCTCCAATCCGAGGATGGTAATACCGGCAGTCTGATTCGGGTTGTTTTTGACATGTACCGCATATCTCTAAGTTGCTATTCTCTAGAGATGACAGAAAAATGTTCGCCGGTTTGAGATCACGATGTACGATGCCTTTGGAGTGGATATACTCGACGCCAGAGATTATGCTTAGCATCAGCCTCAAGGATGGCACCAGGTGATAGCAATGGCGCCGTATTTCTTTCTCACTTTGCTGCGGATTGAGGTAAGAGCCGAGTGAAGTAGGATGTAGTGACATCTGAATATGGAGGACAACAGCAATGTCATTCGTCCCATCTCTGGCCCTTCGTTGGACCTGCATTTTCGAGGCGCCATGACTTAGGCCATCGGTGAAAATATCGCTGTCATTTGCACCAAAAGTTGACAACTGACCCTGGGATGGGACGCTGAAACCACGGGTAATAGATTCAATCTCTTCATCGAATTGGATACTGTGACCCGAAGATCTCTTCGAGTGGCGCGAGGTTGTGGTTGACTGACTCCGTTGTGACATTGAATCTGAATGCGTTTCAGCCGCAGAACTCTCGGAATGCTCAAATATAACCCCATAGCTCTGGTCGTCCGTTGGGTCGTGGCTGGGCAGGTAACTATGAGTTTGTTCTTGGTTAGACGCCGCAGTCTGTCCATTGTTGGACGCAAAAGAAGTTGGTCGATTAGAAACGCGTTGCGAAAAGTGCGCTTTCTCAACCCATGCACCGTAGTACCGAACGACGTTGGTATGCTCCAGTCGAGCCAGCGTCCGGATCTCTTTCATGATGGTCTCAAGTTGATTACCACCAAACTGCAATTGCTCCAGCCGTCTCTGGCTCAGCGGAATCTTCTTCACGGCATAATTTTGCCCATCAATGTGATTCTGTACATGGTACACCTCGCCATACGAGCCTCGACCTAAGATACCGACCTCAGAGAATTCCGTTGCGTAGCGAGACATAGCATTGATGGGCGACGGTGGCTGAGAACTGAAGAGTGGGAGGCTCACGGGAGAACTTCCGGTAAACGGCAATGTTCGATGTGGCAACTTCGTGACATCCAATCGAATATCTTCCAGAGGAGTGACATTTCTTCCACCGGAAAATTCTTTGAGACCTAGTATTTCTCGTCTTTGATCCATGTGGTGTACATAACCTCCAGGTGGAGTCTCCTTGAGAACGCGCATGTTTGAGGACCTGGTAGTCAAAGCTAGGTCCCTTGTCGTACTTACTGGCGACTGTTGCACATGGCGATCGTTCAGATCCAATCCCTCTAGGGCAGATACTCCAAGTAAATCGAGGTTGTCGCGGTAGTATTGCCTTGTCGTTCCCAACTCTTCCTTGTCCACACCACTGGCTAGCACGCCATGTGATGATAAAAACTGTGATTTAAAGGCATACATCCGTTTTCCCAAGTACTGTACTTCCGGAGAATCACGGGTATAATTTCCAACTGAGCCCTCCTGGGCATTCAAGATATCTGTAGCCCGGCTTAAGCAGTAGAACTCCAGCAACGCAGCGGTCATCATGTTTGCATGGCTCCCGGTATCGATATCTGGGATATCCTTTGCATCTGGAACCTCATGACGGCGATAAGACGAGCTCCTGCTTATGAGGGGAGGCGTATTGGTGGGATTGGCAGAAGGCTGGGTCGCACCTCCCACATGGTAGCTTGAACTCGCAACCACATCCTGTTCACCTTCGTCGGAACTGGATTGAGAGTCGGACGAAGAGAGATCAGCTGCTGATATGAACATTGACATGTTGCAGTCAGTAATTCGATTAATTGGTGGGAAGTGCAACAGGTGTCATCGGGATCCTGTCCGCCATATATATGGAAAGAAGACCTCAATTATCCGGTAGAAGGAGAAATAAGGCAGCAGAGAAACAAAGATAATATATATATATATATATATTTTTTTTTTTCCCCTGTAATGAGATATTCAATATAACTTGAGTCCGGTCCGGCGATCACAGGTAATTGTCTCTCTAACAGTTGGCTTCCTGAAATTCGCCAATGCTGCAACGAATGAACCAAAGCTCCCACAATATGAAAAGAGCCTCTTCATGTAGCCTAGTACGTCTCAAAGTCGTGTTTGGCTGTCAAAAGATGCCACGGTTGTTCGACTGAGTTGGTTGGAAGAAGTCAATCAGCCTTGCTTCCATCGGTTTCTATATGCCATCTGGCAAGCCGCATCCACACGGGTTGGGTTAGAACATTGTGACTATTTGAGAAAGAGCGTTTATTCCATTATAGCATCTATTGACCTGCAAAAGAGATCTCGTTTTCCATAGATCGATCATTTTGCCCCGCGTCATCTATTGAAGGCGAAAACGCTTTTTCTGAGTCAGAATCATGCCTTGTGGCCTCAGGCAATAGCAGCCATGGCACGTACAGAAAAGCGTCCGTAGACCAATAGACGTAGAACTTCTGTCTTCATCCAAGATGGACTTATACCTGAATACCGAGTAGAATGTATTAGGGCGATTTTGTATGTTGATATAGGTTTACAGCAGCACAAAGGAATGACTTGTCATATAACCAATTAGAGAAGCGAAAGCGTGCATAAAATGAATAACCGCGATGCATAAAGTACCTTTGCGTCATTAGCAACACGCAACACGTGACCTTGTCTCACGCGTAAAGGGCGTCACGTCAAGGCGCGAACGCGAAGGAGCGCAGTTGCCCGTGACGGAGCACTTTCGGAACAACAATCATTAAGAGCATTGGCGCTTTACGACCATCATCTTAGGTGCTCCATTTGCTCTCCATCACCCAAATTCTTCTTCTATGAGTTGCCATTATGCCTGAAGCCGTGAAGCGGGTGCTGGGCGAAGCTACGAACAATCTCCGCAGTCCATTGAATACGCCGGCTGCTATCAAGAAGCGCAAACTTGAAGCAGAAGCTATTGTCAAGGTCAATTCGCCATCTCAAAATGGACAACGGAAGGCGTTTGGCTCGAGCCAGCCGCAGAAGAGTCAGTTCGAAGAGGAGGTGCTGGAAAAGTTGACACAGGATATCAGCGGATTGAAGGATTCGAACTCCGAGAAGGATCAGCAATGGGAGCGGCCACCACTTGGGGAGTTTGATCCCACGAAAGAGAACATCTGCTTCCAGCAGATTGATGCCGAGGAAGGGACAATCATGGGTGGCAAGACGGCAATTCGGTTGTTTGGCGTTACAGAGGTATAGTTGTTGCTTCAAGAAACCACTCGCGATTTGCTAATAGGTTCCATAGGTTGGCCAATCCGTCTTGCTCCACGTTACCGGATTCCAACACTATCTCTATATCGCTGCCCCTGTGAACTTTACGAAAGAAGACTGCGAACCCTACCGTGCTTTCCTGGAAACCAAAACCGGTCTATTCCAAAATGCTATCCAATCGGTCCAGATAACGATGCGAGAGAACATTTACGGATTTCAAGGAAACCAGAAAAGCTATTACTTGAAGATTACGGTGACGGAGCCCAGATACATCACCAAGGTGCGAAGTGCGCTCGAGAACGGTGGCTCGAGTATGAACTACAAGGGGTTATGGAGCAGTTCAGATTCGGGGATCCTCACCTTCGATAATATTCAATATCTGTTGAGGTTCATGATTGATACAAACATCGCGGGTATGGCCTGGGTAGAGGCCAAGGCAGGAAAATACCATTTATTCTCTCCGAACGAAAAGTTATCAACATGCCAGATCGAAGCAAGCGTTGACTATCGTGATCTCATTTCACACCCTCCCAACGACGAGTGGGCTAAAATGGCACCTCTTCGCGTATTGTCGTTCGATATCGAATGTGCTGGACGAAAAGGCATTTTCCCCGAACCCAACCAAGACCCAGTGATCCAAATAGCCAACGTCGTCACTCGATATGGTGAATCGAAGCCTTTCGTTCGAAACGTATTTGTACTGGATACGTGCAGCTTAATTGTTAACACCCAAGTTCTGGAGTTCGACAAGGAGGAAAAAATGCTCATGGCATGGCGTGATTTCGTGGACAAAGTTGACCCTGATGTGATCATCGGATATAACATTGCCAACTTCGATTTCCCTTATCTCTTAGACAGAGCGAAACATCTCAAATGTGCAGGATTTCCGTACTGGACTAGATTAAGGGGTATTCAGTCGCAGGCCAAGGAAACCAACTTCTCCAGCAAACAGATGGGCAACCGCGACACAAAGTCAACGAACACGAACGGCAGAATCCAACTTGATCTCCTTCAATTAGTTCAGCGTGACTACCATCTTCGAAGCTATACGTTGAATTCGGTCTCCTACGAGTTCTTGGGCGAACAGAAAGAAGATGTTCACCATACGATGATCACTGAGTTATTCAACGGGACACCCGACTCAAGACGCCGTCTAGCCGTTTACTGTTTGAAAGATGCATACCTTCCGCAGCGGTTGATGGACAAATTAATGTGCCTGGTCAATTATACCGAGATGGCAAGAGTTACTGGTGTACCTTTCAATTTCTTACTTTCGCGAGGTCAACAAGTCAAGTTCATTAGTCAACTGTTCCGGAAAGCGTTAGAGCAACAGCTTGTTATACCCAACGCAAAATCGACTGATGAGCAAGACTACGAAGGTGCCACTGTCATTGAACCGGTTCGAGGCTACTACGGCGTACCAATTGCGACACTGGATTTTGCATCACTATACCCGTCGATTATCCAGGCACACAATCTATGTTACACGACATTGCTGAACAAGACAAGCGTTGAGAAGCTTGGTTTGAAGAAAGATGAAGACTACATCGTCACTCCAAACGGCGATATGTTCTGTACCATAAAAGTTCGCAAGGGTCTTCTTTCGCAAATTTTGGAAGAACTGCTCACTGCAAGAAAACGTGCAAAGAAGGAACTTGGAGTAGAAACTGACCCATTCAAGCAGGCTGTGTTGAACGGACGACAGCTTGCCTTGAAGGTCAGCGCAAACAGTGTTTACGGTCTTACCGGCGCGACGGTTGGGAAACTGCCGTGTCTGCCCATCGCCAGTAGCACGACCAGTTATGGTCGTCAAATGATTGAGAAGACGAAGCAAGAGGTGGAGGCCAAGTACACTATTGCCAACGGATATTCCCATGATGCCAAGGTAATCTATGGTGATACCGACTCAGTCATGGTGAAGTTTGGCGTGGCTGAACTTGAGGATGCCATGAAGCTTGGGCAAGAGGCATCCGAATATGTCTCGTCCAAGTTCATCAAGCCCATCAAACTAGAATTCGAAAAGGTCTATTTCCCGTATCTTCTTATCAACAAAAAGAGATATGCGGGTCTCTACTGGACGAATCCGAAGAAGTTCGACAAGATGGACACTAAGGGTATCGAGACTGTCCGTAGAGATAACTGCCTGCTGGTCCAGAACGTAATTGAAACGGTGCTGAACAAGATATTGATCGACCGGAACCTCGATGCTGCTCAAGAGTGAGTAAATTTACCGATCCCTTCTGCATTCTACAATCATTTGCTAACTGAATTTGCAGATACGTCAAGGATACCATTTCGGATCTTCTACAGAACAAGGTCGATATGTCGAAACTTGTGATTACGAAAGCGCTTTCGAAATCCGACTACACGGCCAAGCAAGCACACGTTGAACTTGCGGAGCGAATGCGGAAACGTGATGCAGGTTCAGCACCCACTCTAGGTGACCGTGTCGCATATGTCATCGTGAAAGGTGCCGGAGGTTCAAAGAACTACGAGAAGTCGGAAGACCCTATTTTCGTCCTTGAAAACAATATTCCCATCGATACGAAATACTACCTCGATAACCAACTCGCGAACCCTCTTGGTCGTATTTTCGAACCCATCCTCGGAGAGAAGAAAGCCAACCAGCTGCTTACCGGAGAGCACACGCGTTCAATTTCCGTTGCTGCACCAACCCTTGGTGGTCTTATGAAGTTCGCGAAGAAAACCCAAACCTGCATGGGCTGCAAGAAACCTCTTTCCGGGAAGGAAGAGATGGCCGGGGCTGTCTGCGAACACTGCCGCCCTCGTCTTGGTGAATTGTATACCAAGACGCTGACCAAGACGTCTGACCTAGAGGTCCGTTTCGGTCGACTGTGGACACAGTGTCAACGCTGCCAAGGCAGTCTACATTGCGAGGTCATTTGCTCTTCCCGAGATTGTCCAATTTTCTACATGCGAATGAAGGCGAAGAAGGATGTGGAGGATTCGCAAAAGGAGCTGTCACGATTCGATTTTGATCCTGGTGCTTGGTGATTGTTGAACTATTTGGGAAATATTTTGCATTCTGTTTGATCATTGACAGGTTGATTTCCTGTATTTGGCATGGCGCATTGATACTCTGATGGATTGATGATTGAACCGGCGTGTTGGGATTGTGATATCTTAAAACATTGACATGACATTGTATATTTGTACTATGCAGCCAGGGTAATTATTTGATGCTCATTTATTCTATAACAATTCAGAAGCATGTGTTCAATTGCAGACGTGTTCTATGCGTATGTGCCCTGTACTCCGGACCTGCACTTGTCTCGGAATGCCACAGCCAACCAAATACGCCGTGCGTGTGGTAACTCCATGTGAACAAAATAAACAAAGACCATACAAGACAAGCATATAACCACATCAATCCAATCTAAGTCCCATGTCAAGCATCGCTGCTTCGAAGTCCCTCTCAAGGGACCCAGGTTTCGAACCCGCCTAGGCACCAATGCCGGCCAAGTCGTCAATGATATTGGACGGTTGGCACTTCTCACTAACAAGCAACAAAATATAAGAGGCAACAAATATATGTGATAAGCAAGATGAGATACTTACCTCTCTGGGCCCTGCTCTTCGGTATGAGTATTCTGAACGGGTCCCTTTAAGGATACCGGGGCCTCGCCGGTCTGGCTACTATCCGATGGCTCAAGCGCGTAATTACCGATCGCCTCGTTCGTGGCGGTTGATTGAGAGGGTTGATATTGATTTTGAGAGTTATTGGGTTGATTGGTCTGTCATGATGGAGTATGGAACAGTATAGGTAGTAGACGTGATTAGATTACTAGAATCAAGGGCTCTGCAGGACTATGAAAATTGTTGAGCTGGATGGATTTCCCACGTCCAAGAAAATCCAGGAGACCCCGGGACAGGGCCTTTTTTATAGACATTCCAATAACCATTCCTGGGAAATGTTGATGGGTTTCCGGATACATCTGACAAGAGAGTAAGAGAAGAGAAAAAAGAAAAGTGCGAAGCCAGTAATACATACTACATAACATACCATACGAGGTTCTACGACATACAAGCCTCCTACTATACTGGGCTGGGCGTATATAGTCCGTAGCTTAAAATTATTAAACGCGCTCTTTTCGGCATCGAGGCTGTACAAAGTGTTGTGGGACATAAGCAGGATCCGATACGCTCTCATACGTTCCCTCTCTCGCAGAGGGCTGTACTTCTAGTCACTATTACCTCGTGATCCCCCAAAATGAGGCATGAGCTCTGACTCCGAATATCAAAAGCATCAGTGAGATGATAATGCTGGATAACTATCTGATTCTGAATTAGATATTTGTAAGGAATCACTCCATTTTCACGCTAAGTATATCATGCGAAAAGGTCAATATTTTCTAGCTCCTATTTATTAACTTGTACATATGTAGTGTCTCGTTAGCAAGTATTCTTGTAGGCGGTATTCAGACACTGACGGAGAAATAATCCACTCGCGGTGGGGCTGCCCGAGTCTCGTCGAATCCAGGGATCTCGGCCTTAATCCGACGACAGCGCTTCCTCAGACTCTGCTATCTGTACCCTATATCCACACGCAAACGACTATGAATCCGTCCATTGAGGAAATAAACGAGGGCGAAAATACAAGTATCCCTGCTCAAGGCACTCAGGCAGAAACCGGGCAACTGTCGTGGCCTCAGGTGTGTTCGGGACCACTATGGCGTAACGACGACTATGTGACTTACAGTAACCACAGATATGTTCTCAACATGAATTCGTCCTTTCTTCGCATTTAGATATGCTACAAGCTGCGAGAGAACACCCCCAATCTGATGATAATAAGTTCCGGACGATTTCTTCTATGCTTGACAAAACAAATAAGTTGATGTCACAATTCCGCGTTGTTAAGAAACAGGTAGGCTGCCTCTGGGGCCTACTGTTTTTCTTAGTGCCTGAGTCTAATATGTAGACAGATGGATAGTACAGGGGCAAATGGGGAACAGCCCGCCTCTCAAGTCGATGATGCGAAGTCGACGACAGCATCGGGGTCAAATCCTCCAATGAGTAAAAAGAGAGCCAGGCCAGGAGAGGCAAACGAGAACGGCACGGAACTGAGCAGGCTACAAGAAAGTCGCGCGCAGAAGCGAAAGCGCGTGGAAATTCCAGGAAACGACGAAGACTTGCGGAACACAACGCCAGTCTCTGCTGAAACAGAGGATATCTCTGAGGAGGTCCAGCGACGACTGCTGATCAAGGAAGAGCAGCGAAAAAAACGTAATGCTATGCCTGAGAAGCGGAAACGTGATAGAGATAGCCTTCTCTCGAACGATGGCATCTTGTCGCTAGGAGATGCAGCAAGGCCAAAGAAGAAGAGGCGAGAGGAGCAGACAGGTTCGGATTGAGCGGACGAATTTCCACGCGAATACTGGAATTACTAACTAAATTGGGGGGTGGGGGAGAAAAGGAACGTATATAGTAAAACCGTTGGAACAAGCGACGGACTGCGCATACTTTCAGGTACGGTTCCTATTTCTAACGACCACATGCCAGACATTGACTTCCCGCAGAAGAGTCACAACTCGGCACATCAATAGAGAGCCAATCAATTTGAAACACTTGGCCTATTCCTGGAACTTGATCCATGGTCGACTATCCTGCACATCCCGAATGAACTCTCCTGGCCTCTGCGGCATTCTGCCGGTAGGAGATCGAAACAGCTGCCTAGGCAGTTCCTGGGGGTATAAAAGTTCACCCACCACCCCCGCTAGGTTCCTTTTCTTCTTTTCTCCATCTTTCGTCCCACAGCGTAAGATTGGCGACCATTACGTTCACAGCGTTTTATCTCGTCGTACCATCCCTTTACTGACATCTGCTAGTAGCAGAGCCAGTAGTATACATCTCAGCTTTCTCGTCATCGTATTTCTCCCACCGAAACTCTTCATAGAGAGCTGGTGATATCCATATTTATTTTCTGACTCACGAAGACCTCTTTAAAAAAGAGCCAGTGATTAGTGGCCCTTTGTATGACCCACTGACTCACTGAGACTACTCTTTTAAGAGAGCTAGTGGTATCCGTATTCCCTCTTATCCTTCTATCCGCTTATTGTCGCCAGTAAATTCACCATGAGTTTCATTGGCAACAACGGCTTCGGCCAACAGCGCGGTGTTCCGGCTTGCGGATTTCAGCATGCACAGTTTAACCACAATAGTACTGTCATGGGATCGAATGGACACGGGCCCGCTAACAACAAGGGTGGTTGTAGGAAGGTAAATACAACTCAATTTCCTGTTATATTCTGGCGAATACTAACCAGTAATATAGGGCAACGGCCGATGTGGCAAGCAGCGCCCTGCTGCTCGTAACAACAACAGCAACCAGGGGCATAAAGGCCGTCGGGCCCAGAGAATCCAGAGCTGGAAACAAGGCCAGAACCAACGGGCTGAGAACTGTACCGGCAACCAGCTCCATACTTACGATCAACCCCAGCCCAAGAACCAGAACCAGAATCCGAATGGGTTGAGACGGACTGCCACTGCCCCCGCTCGCAGCAACCGCAGGAATAGCCGGAGGTTCAATCCGATCGTAAGTCTACCATTCCCTTTAGCAGTTTTTATACAATCGATACCAACCTTATTTTAGCCCGTCAATAACCAGGGCTTTCTCACTGGCCCCCGTGGCAGACGTGCCAAGACCAGTCCCTGGGATGGGGATAATGTTATGCGTCATGCACTGCGCATCAAGAGGCCTGGAAGCCGCTCCATTGAAGACGTTTTTATGATTGATACTCCCCCAGTCGTCAAGCAGCAGCCAGTAAGTTACCCACCCTTATATTATGCAATTTACCAAAGCAGATACTGACGTGTTTCTAGATCTGGCAAGAAGATGCAGACGTGGCAATGCAAGATGCACCACCACTCCTTGAGGAACAACCAGTCTATCAGTACCAGTTTGACTTGGAAAGACACTTCCAACTTGCCTTTGAGCAACTTGCTCTGGAAAGACAACAAGGAAGGGAGCTCCTCGCCCAAGGGGTCTTGGAAATGCAGAGACTTGCTGCATCCATGCTTTGTCACGAGACAACAACCGTGCTGAAATGAGCACTCCAGACGACATCATGACAGCTCATATGGCGGGTCTCTCTCTGGCGTAAACGACCAAGGGTAGGCTGGACCCGGTCAATATAAAACAATGGCAAGGAAAAACTGGTAACAACAGCCGATATGGCAACCGGTTTTGACAACGGCGGCAAACAAAACAATGGACGGAACGGCTGCATCTTCCTTTCCGCCTGATGGAGGCACCGGGTTATTGCCGGCAGTGACTACGACCTATGCCCACCTAATTTACAGTCCGCCATTTCTACAAAAAGAACCAAAAAAAAAAAAAAAAAAAAAAAAAAAACAAAAGAGGAGAATACGACCAAATGCCAGACAACAACAAGAAGACAAGAAAGGACTATTATCACCTAAGTGGTACCGGCTCCAAACCACTTTATCCCAGACTACAAGGCCCCGGGCATAATTGGCCTTACTACCCGGGGCAACACATAATTGCGTGCCATTATACCAAACCTTATTCGGGTCAAGATGCTGAACATGAGACTCACCACGTACACGAGGGCACTGCATTCATGGGAAAAGTGAACATAGTATTTGAAGAAAATTTACGAAGTGGTCGATCAAACCAAACTACAAAAAGGACCTTCAACAATTACCAGGAAAAGCAAAAAGCAGAAAAAAGAAGAAAAAGAAAACCCACCTGACGACACACCAAACTACAAAAAGAAGAAAAGTTGTCCAGCCCATCCCACGAAATTTTCCAAGAAAATATTCTCGAACTACCACTTGAGTGCAGGAAACAGCTGGTCTCATCCCCCGGACCCCCGGGTTAACATTCTACCCAAAACAAAAACCAGAACAAGCAGCATCTTGGGTTACCTAGCCCGGTCTGAAGAGATGCTCGTACAAGCCCCAGACCCTCACAGAAGGACTGCTGAGCGTACCCCATAAAGGGAACCCGATGGGGATAATATGGCCGGATTGCTTCTGTGGGACGAATAGGGATTAATAAAAAAAAATAATAATAATAAAAAAAGAAGAAGAAAAAGAAGTTAGTGGTATGTGCAGTTATGGAGTTCTCGGAAAATCGAAACTCAACTGAGTTGACCAGGGAATATTACAACAACGTTGGCAACAATAAGAGTCCTCCATATTTGAGGCGCCCCGGTGCTCAAAGGACTTTACCACCACCAAAACAAAAAAGGCTTATTTCCATGAGTCCTCCCCGGATATGGGCCGTCTCCCGGGTTCAAAGGATACCATAAAGATAAAGCCAACCCTAATAACGGGCACAGCACTCACTGCCAAGATCAAAATTCCCAACAAGGCAAAACACACCCACTAAATCAAGCCTAGTGCTCCGCGGGTGTTCGAGTCGTTCCGGCCGATCTGGGAATTACAATAAACAAATGATATTGCAAAAAAAAAAAAAAAAAAAAAAAAAAGGAATTCTCGCCTATTCGGCCTAGTTCTGGTTCTACTTACCTTACCATACTTACATCGGCCAGACTGACTGTGCACTCTTTAGTATCCGCTCCGCTCATCATATTTCTTCTATCATCGGCCCGTCTGGGAAAGGACTTATGCCACTCCACTCATACTGCCAGTCAGCTGTGCCTCGATATCGACTTGCCAATGTCAGATTTTTGGTGTTACAGACTGGCATTAACAGTCATGTCTATGGGGACGCGGTCAGTCGGGAAGGAGGACTGCATCTTATTACCAAGTCAGTCAGTCACAGACAACTGAACTTCGACATAGACGTCGTGTCACTAGTTGGTACTGACAGTCATGTTGTTATGGGGAAATTGCCGGTCATAAAGGATGACTAAGCCTATATGGGGATGTGGCCAGTCAATGAAGACTGCTGTTCAGGTTGTTACCAGCTTGTATGAACGGTTCATAAATGACCGTGTCTTTAGTTCTGTATCAGGGGATGAAGTTAGGGCTTAGTTTGTTTTTGGTTTTGGGAACACTACGATCCGGGGTAGATTCGAGTCTAACAAGAGAAAACACAAAAAAAAAAGTTCAAATGAACAAAACAGAAAAGAGGGAAAGAACAAAGGGGACAAAGATCGAAGAAGCAAGAAGTGCTTTTCTTTTGAAAAAGAGGGTTGGTCGGCTGGGAATTTTTTCAAAAGCAAGCACCTTCATATTCATGAGTACTTTTCTTTATTTCACATTTATCTCATGTTAAATGTGTCCATTCGGAGTGTCCATATCTCTACACTCCGGATGGACGCATATCAAGTCTTACACCACACATTCCCCGTGTGTCTATACGCATGTACTAGGGGACGAAAGATTGTACACACACAGAAAGAGAGGAAGAGAGAGCTGAAGACAAAGAATCAAACTGAGAACCGAAATCGGGGAAGTTGAAATTACATGCATGTACCGGGGAAGATCAGATTGTGATTGTTGGCCCTGGTCAGGTTTTTACCCTAGACACGAAAGCGCAGGAGATGTTTCCCTTGATCCTAAGGCCGAATGGTGGACTGCATTGGGTTGGATTACCGAATACATTGCATTTTCATCTCACATATCGTAAAGGCGTAGAGCAACAGAAAGTAGATTGTGTAGTAATACATGGATATAAACGCCGTCATATACAAGCCCGCATATCATACATCATCCAAACCATCATCGTCAAACCACTAAATCCCTGGTACCCGGTACCCAAGGCATCAACTTTTCGAACACCCAAATTCCATCACTCCTTCGACTCACCATCCTTTTTCCCCCACGACCACACGTCCGAAACATGCTCTTTAATCAAATCCCCATACCCCTTCCCCTCCGCCAACGCTTCTGCCTCCTCCCGTAACCTCTTCTGCTTCCACCCCTCCTCCTCCCCACCCATCCAAACCCTCTCCGCAATTCCCTTCTCCTGCGTCTGCCTCGCCCTCAACTTCTCGATCTCCTCCTCGCTCATTCCCCCTTCCCGGAGCTGCTTCTCTCTGCTAGCCCGCACTCTTGCCTGGATCTCCTGCGCGCGCTCACTGGGTAAACCCGAGATAATCGCCGAGTGCCGGGAAAGGCGCGACTCAAGCCGGTCCATGATGCTGCGACCTGTGCGTTCGTGGGTTAAGTGGTTTGCAGAGACGCAGAAGGCGCCTGTTAGGAGGACGGTCAGGTGGTCTAGTTTGCGGGGGGGTAGAGCGATGAGGATCGGGGAGGTGACGAGGAAGGTTAGGGCGGCGTAGTTTTTGAAGCGCTGGTAGTCAGCTTCGCGGCGGGATTGGATGTCTTCGGACATTGTCTTTAGTATTGAGAGTATGTGGTCCGATTATCGTAGGAGGTGGGTTTCAGTTGACCAATGTCTGATTGGAGGGTCTTGGGGTTGAATGGTTATCTGTTTATCAGAGGGTCTGATCTTGGACTTCGCGGTTGAAGCAAAAATTTTACGGTGGGCTATGCGGCCAGTTGTGTAGTCACGTGATCCACGAGCAATCAGCACCACAAGGCCATTGTCTTTTCCCTTCGTCTCCCTCTACTAATTCATTCTCCTATCTCTAACTGTTTCCACATGCAGTATTAGGTTAATACCTGACATACCCGAGTAACCGACAATAGGCCGCCTATGATTGGCCAGATCCTTGCACAAATCATGCAAAGCTTGACCAAAGCTTAGCGTCAGCCCTGTGGACCCCGACCCATGTGGCTCCACTGCCGAAATGGAGTTGCCTGTTGATTATATCCAGATGAGGGATAGTGCTCGATATGCTGGAATATGTGGAAACACGTCGACAGCACACAGATATCGGAGGATTGGAGGAGTATACGGATATGGATGCTTGCCGGAACGGAGAGACAAAAAAAAAAAAAAAACGATATTGAGTGGTCAAGAATAGGTGGGATGTATCCAATGGGATACAAGAGGGGCAGAATAGTGCCCGGTGGGGTGTTGTTATGGCCAATGAGTTGGGCACAGAGGAGCCAGATACATGACATGACCGGTAATGTCCATCGAAATTGAGGCATTGAGGTGTTTTCATTCCGATTCCGAAGACATGTTCTCGTTGTCACGTCATTGGTATATACTGGGTCCTGTTTTCTTCATTTCCCAGTCTATTCTGCCATAGTATATCCTATTCAACCCTTCCACGCATATCATCTAAAGCTTTCTTTGACAGATACACAATGGGTCTCTTCGACTGGTTCAGGTCTTCCAAGCAGGAGGATTCTTCTACCCAACAGTCCTCATGGGATCCTAACACCATGACCATGAATAAACCCTCCAGTCCTTCGGCCCATAAAGCTGAGCGTGTCGTGATTCAGCAGCCGGTATGTTTGCTTTGGTATATCTCGATCTACGAACTGATCTAACTGTCAGCAGAACTCACAGAAAAACATGCAGACAAATCTGCGCGGTGGTGCCGGTGCTGGGGATATTTGCTGCGGAGTGTACGTCGTACTCATTCTTTTCTTCATCAGGGGAAATAGGCTAACGACAGTAGTTGTACTGGGCTTCTGTGTTTTGAATGCTGTGAAGACTGCTGCTAGACGAGATATTTATACGATTTTCCATTTCCTTTGTATATATCGATTGTCGATATGCTTGATGGAATAATAATTAATTTACTTGTTATTCTGTTTGCCAGATATTCCTAAATGCTATGAAAACTGCTTTCTTTTCCAGATGGCAGTGTAGAATTTGACTTGCAAAAAATAACGATTCCACTTGCAACCGGGTAACTGTAACTGAAAATGTGCTTTGGGCGTAGATCCGCAACGAGGGTAGGAGACTGTTAGCCATAGGAAGAAAAACGACTAAGAGAGGAGAGAGGAAATTTTCGGGAACCCCCAACCCGGAACTAACCCATATCACCACTCCACCTGACGAGTACTGTTGGTGTCCAACTTGCCGGCTTCGTACTTGATGGTTCCATCGTCATTGTATCCCACAGCTTGAATCAGTCCCCCGCTCACTTCGTCCATGAACTGGCCGTAGACGTCCTGCTCATTTATAGCGCAACGCACGCTGGGCGATTCGCAATGGGCAACCAAGGCAGCGGCACTCTTGAAGATCTTGAGACATCCAGGGCACCTGAAGGAATAATTCATTTAGCGTGAATCAAGAGTGTAAGGTAAAAGGTTAATCCGTACTGGACTTTACGCTTTGCTTTGCTCTTCATCAAGACATGCTCCTCGAATTCCTTCATGGTGGGAAATGATGAGCCGCAGATACAAACGTACTTTCCGATAAATGAGTTGAAAAACTTGGTGGCATCCCATTTATCATCCAACAGACGAAGGGTCTGACCAGCCTCCGGTATTCCGGCACCAAAAGAGCCCTTCCCGTGAATAGGGGAGTCTTCCATAGTGGATGGAGGTTCCTTATCATCACCAGCATCCGAAAACGCCATTAAGTCACTCGTGGGCATTCCAAATGTCGCCTGTCCCCTGCTCTCTCCCAGCACGGGCCAGTGCTTCAGCGCAAGCATAGCATCTACACTTGCAGTGGGGTCGTCTCTGCCCGGCTTCGGCTGATACGCCATTGCCTGACGTTTTCCAAGATCCAAGAAGTTGATCTTCACACCACCATCGATATCGTCAAGATCGGTTGGGTTGGGAATGACGGGCATCGGAGGTCCTTCACCGGCTTTCAGGGCTTCCTTTATCATGAACTTCTTGGACTGCTCCTGAAGCAGACGGGTCTGGCTGATGACGCTGCACTCGTTATCCTCGATATGCTTCATCAGTCCAGCAGCACTCTTGAAAGTAACCTTACAGCCGTGGCATATTAGGTGCTGTTCCGCGCGGTGGTTCTATGAGTGGTTGAGTCTCTGCGTTAGTACTCTACGAAGATCCTGCGTCGTGACGGACCGTGCCTACCTGACGAATGTGAGCGTCACGTCCTCCTTCGCTGCGGAAATCAATTCCACAGATAGGGCAGACAATGTGTTTGTTCTCAGCCTGGAGCTTGTGGATGAGGTGACGCTCTTCGTCTTCGAAGTCGAGATCACACTTGGCACAGTAATCGTGTAAAGGCTCCATTTCCTTGTGCTTTTTCATCTCCTCGACTGAGGCGAAGAAGAATTTACAGTCATCGTAGGTACAGGGGATCTTTTTCTTTGGACCTGGTCGATACATCTTGGGCCGTGGTTTCGGGATGAAGGTGCTCTTCTTGAAGGCGTAGACACTGGAAGCAAGAGTGGACGAGAGGAGAAGAGGAGGAAGTTGACAAGATAATGCAGAAGAATAAGAAGTGGAGGAAAGGAGGGGTTGTGAATAATTCACTGGTAAGTTGGCCTGCGAGCAGTGAAAGCAAGTCAGAGGTGACACTACAACGGGAATAGCTTCATCTCCTCAACTTACCGCAGAAAAACGAAAGAACCTGTCTTTCTACTGCAGTTTGCTTACAAAATAAAGGAGATGCTGTGAAGATCAAATTAACGACTTTTACAACTTTCTTCTATAATCTTACTTTTCTCTTTTTCTTTACTTAGGCAAGTTAGGGATTCACCGTTCAGGGCTGTAGGGTTAGTCCGAATATGGTTCCAGCTTGGCTCTGTTCCCTGATATAATTATAATTATCAATTGACATAGAGTCGAGAGGTTAGGTTAATGAATGTCTTTAAATAAGATATGCCTCTAATTTGAGGTAACTGATTTTTTTTTTTTTTTTCAATAGCTAGACTATAATATCTTGTAATACAGAATTATTTCAAAATATTACTCGTATCCTATATAACGCGTGACACGTATATACTGCGTAAATTTACGTTATATGACTAATATTTTTGTACAGCCAAAATAGGAAAATCTTGGCAAAATTATGCAAAACAGGTTCTATCAGGTTCGACTCAAATTCGAACCTGATAGAACCGCGATCCGATTCAGGCTCCAGAACTTCGAACCTGAGAATCTCAGGTTCAGGTTCGAAGTTCCGACCTTTGGAACCTGAATCGGACCATTTCGAGGCCTAGACCCATCATCCTGTCACTGCACTTATAGTCAATTTCATGGATGAATTCAACTATGCTCCAGACCCTCAGCGACTGCAAGTTTCAGACAAGGACCAATTTATTGCAGTTGGGCAGCACCTTGAAGAGTTAAAACTGATATATACACTTGAGCATGGCATTGTTCGTGATTGGACATCCAATATACTCCTTCAGCCCCCAATCTTCACATGCTGCATCTCAAAAACCATGGCCTGAGTGGCTGCACAGAGATTATCCATCGTCTTGCATCAGTAGATGGCCCACGGTCACAATTACAGGAAATTGGACTAGAAAGTATCCCAGTATCAATTGAAGACCTAATGGTTCTACTCCAGACTCCAGAGATGCCGACATAGCCTCCGGGTTCTCAAAATAAATATCTATGCGAATGTTCAAGACATAAAACGAATGTTTCAGACTCTCAGCAGCTTTCCAGCACTAGAGTCAGTCTCATTTGATGATTTTACACTTGGTGTGGTCCGGAGGGACTATTTCATCCACTTCCCTGTGGTTACTGGGAATCCTTTTGTCGATGAGTTGCAAGGCGCAAAGTTTGAGTTTGCATCCAATAATACGCGTGGGTGGCCGAGGGTTTTTCGTGTGGCTTACTCAGGTCCAAAGATGGATGTTGCTTTGGATATTCTTGCAAAGACAGTGGATGGCGCTCCTGCTAGCGTATTATAGTATAGAAGAAAGAGACAATAAAAGGGGAGCAAGGGCAAATATCACCACCAGCACCGCCGATTCGCCTCTGGGCCTACATTAGACAGGGAACAGTTGGTGCTCAAGTCTTGTTTCGTTCTACAGTATGACTTTTGAGCCAAATTGTTTTTAATATCTTGGCCTTTTATATAAATAAACAAATTTATACGCCCCGTCATCTTGAGGTATGGGGTGCTGCACGCTATCTAACCAATAGGCAAAAGCCCAGCGTGGGCGAGTCCCATGCTGCATGAAAAAAATCCCCATGAAAACTCCTACATACAAAAAAACGACGCATCTTGGCAGCCTGCCAGATAACATGTTGTAGATCTGCAGAAAGCAGCTCCACAATGAGTTCTATTCATCTCCACTCGGTCCCTATCTCCAGGGCCCTGGTCAAACTGAATTGCTGTAGAACACCATGATTGAGCCACCAGTGAGACAGCCTCTTTGCACCCTTCTCTGTACACAGAAGGTGCCTAATATCCACTTGCTCTGACTCCTCTAGCGCTGCCCTTGCCTCCTGGAACCGCTCATAGTGAATGAGAATATGCTTAGGGGTCTCTGCCCCCTGCCCACACGGGTAGTTTGGGGAGGTAATTCCCGGCACCTTTCACCGGTGGAGGAATGCCGCCAGGCCAGTCTTTCCAGTGCGGATTTGGGTGAGAATAGAGCAACAGGCCTTGGTAAGTCCCTGGTAAAGCCTCAGGTTACTTCTCTTTGGGGGTCGCGGGTAAAGCTCTCCCAGGGCATCCTCCGGGATCTCCACTGGTCCTCCCACCGGGACTGGAGTACCCGGGCTGTTTGGCCACCTTGAGTATGTCACGGGCTCAATAGCTAGAAGATATTGACGAATTGATATTCCTATCTAAATCAATCAGTAGCCATCGACGAGAATATCGAATCTGGAGAAGATAAGAAAAATAGAGGCAAGTTTATTTACATGAAGAAGTCCCATATGGTTGTGTGTGGTCTTGCTAAGCAGCTTGTTTGTCTTGATTGCTTCCATGGTATTGTTTGCCGTGTTGATGATGTTTGCTGATGAAGGCGCTGGGCTGAGCCGTTACAAGTTCTCGTGTTTTATCAATAGTGACATTGCCTTTCTGATGAAGCCAAACTAATGCCTGTTGACGAAGGTGGCCTGTTCGATTATGCCATACATCTATCGGGGTTGGCTTTGGCTGTTGATCATCTGGAATCGGTATTCTTTTTCTCTGGGTCGATTGGTGCGCTTCAGGAGGCGTCTTCCCCCCTTGCATGGAATTGGAAAGTGTTTGGATATGCCGACGAGTGGTACAGCGCCGATGAATGTCTAATTATCAGGTTGTTGGAGCACATACACACTAGCAGAGTTCCTGTCTGCATGTGCTATGGCCATCAAACGGTCATCAGAGCTCCGGATTGTGAAAGAAAGCCGTGGATTGTCCACATAATCAATCTTAAATCCAAACTTGACTAAATGGCTGAAAGACAGTAGATTCTTTCGCTTGAAGGCAGGTATATATCGGGCATTCTGGACGACGAATTCATCGCCAAAAGGCAACTGGATAGTTTCTACAACCATCACGGAATTGTCCGATTCGTTCGGTAAGTTAACCTTGCTTGAGTCCACCTAAAGGAAACTGACGAATAGGGATCGATCATGGGTGATTATCTAGGCAGTACCAGTATCCAATACCCATTCTTCATCCGCTCTAGTGAGCTCATTGACATTTACCGAGTTGGCAGTACCATTTGATTGACTTCGCGGTCGATCAGAGAAGAGCGAACATTTGGGTTCTATTTTGAACAGTGAGGTTTTTCACCAGAGCAGTCTTTGAGCGAGTCAGGGTTAGCAACCGCTGCGTATACAACTGAACCGAACCTCCCACCTATCCTGCTAACATCAGCGGGGATGTTAGAATGCTTAATGAGACGATATGATATTTCAACGCGGCCCTTGAAATTATGAGGTACCCAGATACAGTCCAATTTCATGAATTTGCCTCAGAACTGAACATTATACATAGGATTGGTGGTTATTACCAAAACGAAGGTCAATAGCTAACAGTAATATATTAATATAACTAAGTCGGCAATTAAATGTATTTAAATACCCAATTAATGTGGAAATATTATGCTTTTTGCGTTCTTCAAACATATATTATGGCTTGGTTAATTGACGACTGCATTAGTGGCGGATCTTTCTCCCTACGCGAGAGATACAGTTCAGGTACTTGCAGACAAACTGTTTATTAACAGGGGGCGCAGGATAATTATTGCCTCCAAAGACATGTTCTCGACTAGGTGGGGTGTTAAACATTTCATTGGCGTGTCCGTCCGTGTTGCCATGCAACCATTGAGCACGACGGCGAGATGGGCGAGTGAGCTTGTTGGATGCGCGGCTGCATAAGCCAGGGCCTGCTCCCTCCGCTTGGAGAAGGGACGGCCTCATGTCCGGCACCAGCGCCGATTATCATCTTGAAGGAATGGCCGAGACTGAGCACATGCGTGTTGATGAAGTCATGGTCTCTGCTAATTTTTCGAGACAGTTCTTGTGTCATCGCTGTAACTATAGTCTTAAACAGGTAGGCGACTGGCAGCACGATTGACAGATCGCTGTCCAACGACGGGAAACTGCCAATCCTGATGCTCCCTACGATGAGGTTTTGCAGGAAATAGAGGGAGGACGAATGGGCACGCTGCATCTGAGGCACCAACACCCACTCCTGTCTCACTGCGCATTCGGGTTCGGCCTTCTGCGCCAGAGCCCGGGCGAAGGGCTTTCTGGGCTGTTTCACCCTCGCCCCGGTCGATCAAGGGCAGATGTAACTCCGGGTGCTCAATCCAGGCGGTGCGCATCAGTCCCATAACGGCCCTGCACCGAGGCCTGTGGGCATGTCGTCGGCGCTAGCACCAACTGCGTTCCGGGTCACCCACATCATTGAAGAAATTCTCCGAGATGACTGAAACTCTTCTAGATTACCTGGTGAAACGCAACCCTACGGCCATTGCCCCTGCGGACCCTGTCCCAGGAGGACCAACCTTCACCTTCAGTGAAGACTGGGATACGATCTAGAATGTGGAGGAATGGTCGGAGTTTAAGTATGAGACGCTCACCTTGCGATTTGGAGAAAATTTCCGGCGCCAAGTCCCCCGGTTCGATGCCACGAGCAAATGTGAAGGAGGTTATAACGAAATATATGATCAACGTGGGCTATGCGATCTTATATGCATGTCCATCATAGGTCCCGTATTGGCAGTACTTCATCATTTGTTTACCACGTCCAGCAGAAGAGTATTGGAGAGTCTAGGATGCTACTCTGACTGGGGCGCTGGGCATAAGATGATCCTGAACGCAGATGGAAGAGCTCAAGTCGGGCTGCTAGCAGTATGAACGGCTCCGAACATCACAGGATTGCAACGGAATATCTCAGCACGATGAACCTCGAATGTAGCCAATCAGGCGTATCAGTTTCCCACTTAAGGCAATCGGAAAACGTGCCAAACGGCCCATCAATTCTAGTCCTTGGACGGGTGATGCAACGGGAATCCCCATAGGCCCGTTGTCAGGAAGAGCGACAAAAATGCGGCATTTTTGTCATTGGTATTCAAATTCAGCTGACTCTGCATAAGTAACACTTGTCGGGCCAAATGGCTCATCAATTCAAGGCCCTGGCCGGATGCAACACGAATTCCCAAAGACCTGTTGTCAGGAAGAACGGCATAAACGCGGCATTTTTGCCATTGGCGTTCAGATCCGGCTGAATTTGCAGAGGTAAACTTGTCAACGCTGAACGATTCAGAGCAAGCACTGCCGCCTAGCAGGACACGACACCATGGGCCGGCCAACAGGATTCTGCGTGGCGTTCCTCCAGGTCATAACGCGATGACCGCGGGATCATATCGTGTCATCTAGTAATATTAGTGGTTCGTATCGTGGAGGCGGTTAATGGATGCCTGGCGGTTTCACAGGTGCATGTTGACGGTGACGAGATGTAGGCAGAGCAGTCCTTGTTGTTGTGCGGTCATCTCTGATGAGTAGAGATGGTAGGAACCGGAACGGTCTTATCCGGTGCGCATTATGGGGAGCCAGAGGCGGCATTGGCGAGGGAAGTAAAGGAAATGAGAAGAAGTGGTGGTCAAGCGACGCACCAGCTGTCTCAATATACTCGGCGAACGACGTAAAGGCGGAGACGGACGGCAAGACCCCACATAGTATAGCGTGTTAAGCTAAGCCTAATCAGGTAGAAGCCAAACCGCATCGGGTGCGCGAGACACCGGCGCTAAACCCGAACAGGGGAGTTGCCGAAAACGGCGACGGTCTGGTAAATGCGAATTGTACGATTTTGCCTATGTAGGACCAGATACATATAGACTGTACTTGGATTTGTTTCTTACCTATTATACGCGAAGCGCAACCGTGAGCGAAAGTGAATATAAGCCACATAATCATATCTAATACTGTGTTCTATACCCCTAAAGTTTTCCCTATGTTCTGTACATTTGTTTACTCTATTTGGCGACGATGATATCACATCCTTATCGGGTTAGCGCATGTCTTATCACGTGGAGATATGCCACATACCGTAGAGACGCCACCCCAGCCTCGATCCCACGCTATGCTCTGCTAGCCAGTTGAACCGGTATTTATTGAGCTCTAATTAGCTGCTTAGCAGCTCGGTTCAATTATGGAGAGCTTCGACGAGGTATCCCGCGCCCGGGATCCTCAGGAGGAGTGTGTTGCGGTCAACAACGATCCCTCCAGAACCCCATCCGTTACAGATAGCAATGCGCCAAAATCCATATCAGGGCCGTCCATCGCAACTTCAGATACTTCTGCTTTATTTCAAACGGCGAGCAAGGCATCTACAGAAAAAGAAGGTTCAGCACATCCAGAGGATCCGCAGCAAGAGATCTTCAAACCATCCCCGGATCCTCCGCCGTACGCTCCGTCAACATATGATTCTTCGACTGGGATACAGCTGAGTGAAGATGAAGGCGGCGGTGGGGAGGATGAAGAACCTCATATTGCGACGTCTTTTCAGCGAGATTCGACGCTAACTTCGGCACCAAGGCGACTATCCGTGTTCTATGATACTGGGAGTGAAGGTATCAACCGCATGCACAAGTTTTCTCTATATGAAACAGCTAGTCGATTCTATATGGTTGGCATGGATTTGTCAGAAACCAGGTTCAGAATATTGAAGATCGACCGGACGTCAGAGACCGGTGATTTGAGCGTTGCAGAAGACGACATTGTCTATAACAAGCGGGAAATGAGCCAGTTGTTGGACGCTATTGATGATGGGAATAAGAGCTCGGGAGGACTGAAGTTGAAATGCAGTGCATGGGCACTGCTGGGATTCATCCGCTTCACCGGTGCATACTACATGCTTCTTGTGACAAAGAGAAGCCAGGTCGCTATGTTAGGAGGTCATTACATTTACCAGGTTGACGGAACTGAACTGATCTCCTTGACAACCTCATCATTATCGAAAATCAAACCAGAGAAGAACCACGAAGAAGCCCGGTATATTGCAATTCTGAACAACCTCGACCTCACCCGCTCGTTTTACTTTAGTTATTCCTACGACATCACACGAACACTACAGCACAATATCTGTCGCGAACGTAAGGCAAATCAAGATGGACGGCCCAGTAATTATTCCCAAGATTACAACACGATGTTTATATGGAACAACCACCTCCTCGATCCGGCGCTGTCAAACCTCAAGAGGCCATGGGAATGGTGCTTACCAATTATCCATGGTTACGTCGACCAAGCAAAGCTCTCGGTATATGGACGGCATGTCTATATCACGATCATCGCTCGTCGGTCTCGATTCTTCGCAGGAGCTCGGTTCTTGAAGCGCGGTGCTAATGATGTAGGATATGTCGCCAATGATGTCGAAACTGAGCAGATTGTGTCAGAACAGGCAGCAACATCATTTCATTCACCAGGTCCGGGGCTTTATACAAGTCCCCTGTATACATCCTATGTCCAGCACCGTGGAAGTATTCCTCTTTATTGGACCCAGGAGAATTCTGGGGTATCACCAAAGCCAGATATTGAACTGAATTTGGTGGACCCCTTCTACTCTGCAGCAGCTTTGCATTTTGACAACTTGTTTGACCGGTATGGCGCACCAATATACGTTCTGAATTTGATCAAAGCAAGAGAGCGCACGCCGCGAGAATCCAAACTTCTAAAAGAATACACCAATGCGATCAATTACCTCAACCAATTCCTTCCAAAGGACAAGAAAATCATCTACAGGCCATTTGATATGAGCCGGGCCTCGAAAAACCGTGACCAAGATGTGATTGCAACACTCGAGGACATTGCAGGCGACATAGTTCCCAAGACCGGCATCTTCAAGAACGGCTATGATGTGGAATCAGGGTTGCAATTACAAAACGGTATTGCAAGGACTAACTGCATCGACTGCCTTGATCGTACCAACGCCGCTCAGTTTGTGGTTGGGAAACGTGCACTTGGCCATCAACTCCATGCTCTAGGTATCATTGAAGGCACAACAGTGGAGTATGATACTCATGCCGTTAACCTCTTTACGACGATGTGGCACGACCATGGTGACACAATTGCCATCCAATATGGTGGATCACATTTAGTCAACACCATGGCGACATATCGCAAAATAAACCAGTGGAGCAGCCATTCAAGGGACATGGTAGAAAGCTTTAAACGATATTATAACAACTCGTTCCTCGATGCTCAGCGTCAAGAAGCATACAACCTCTTCCTTGGTAATTACATTTTCTCCCAGGGACAACCAATGTTATGGGATCTCTCTACGGACTACTATTTGCACCATGCAGACCCGCGATCTTGGTCAAATAGAAAGCGACCAAACTATATCTGCTGGTATACGCCGGAGAACCTAAAGCAGAAAGAGTTACCACCTCCGCCCCAGCGGCCAAAGGAACCTTTATCGTGCTATGATGATTACTGGCTTGAATACTATCGACCGCTAGCTATTTCTTCATTCCCGAAAATATTCTCTTACAGACTGAATTCCAACAAACATCGATGCCCACCTCTCCGTTCCGGCCTTAGCCCATTTGACGTCTGGATCCCACACGAACAAGTCAATCGCGAAAGACACCCACAACGAGGTGTCAAGATCCAAGAACCTTCAGATGACACGCGTACGAATACATCGAGCCCCCAACAAAACTGGCAATACCAACAACCCTCCGCTGAAAAACGCCCTCCAGCAGGCGGCATCATGAAAGAATTTCGTCCATTCACCAAAGCCTCCCCCTCCTATGAATCCCAATCCCAATCCCAATCTCAACCACAACTACCCTCAACACCCAGCAAAGCCCAAATCGCCCAATGGACCCTGAGCCAACTCGTAAAAGACTCCCTAAACCCTTCCGTCAAACCCGCCGAAGCCGAAGAATACGCACGCTACATCAACCACCCCCTCAAGGTGCCTCTCGTTGTGACTTCTGAAGATGAGCTGATCGCTCGTGAGAAAGGCGGGTCGAGTTTGGATTTGCTAGAGTATGCAAATACGTGTAATGTCGAGGAGGGGACGTTGGAAGCGAATGCGGAGCAGAATGTGGAGGATTATTTGGAATTTTTGGACGTTTCGGAGAGTGGGATTTCTGTTGCGAAGGAGGATTATGAAAAGAAGAGGTATAAGAGATATCGGCAGTGGTTGAGGGGTAAGAGTTTGTTTAAGCAGAGGGTTGATCTTTGATCCTCATTCTTTCAGATTGGTCATGTATTATGAGTACTTAATTTGGAGATACCCTGTATTAATTTATAGCATCATTGAATATGCATTTAGATTCCATCTCAGATTAACAACCAAAGAAACTTCTATCCTCAAGATCAATATAACCCAAAAGCAGTTCTTTCAGGATATCATCCGCAACAATCAATTCCTTTATCTCATCCCCGATCTTCTCCTTCGCACCCAACTGTCCCTCATCTCCCTCCGCATCCACAGGATTCTCCAACGCAAGCTTCAACAAATAGACAACACCCCTAAGCTCCTTCTTCAGCGCATCCAACGCCTCCCCAGCCGCCTTGTCACCCTCCAATCCACGCCCCTTCTCTGCACGCTCCGCAACCCCGCCCTCTTCTTCAACCGCATACACCCAACACGCACAAATACCACCAAGTATCTCCCCGCGCCATCTCCATAACCGCGGATGCGCGTTAAGAATAACAGCCCGCGTTGCTGCTACAGACATGAGAAGCAGAGGGATGTGTGCGGGACCAAACGGGTTTGAGAGTGTACTGTACAGGACGGGAATAATTTCCTGGAGGTATTTTGTGGTATAGATGCCTAGTTCTGATAGGATGTTGTGCAGCTGGTTTACCAGAAGCGTGGAGAGGCGTGGGTACGGGAAGGATGCGAACGAGAATGTCGAGGTTGTGTTCGTTGAGCTGATGTGGTGGAATGACGGGATGATATGGTCGCGGAGGATTCTGGTGACACCGGTAATATATGTGTTTATATCGTCTTCTTTATTGTTCGTTGGGACGGTGGGAAGCTGGTAGGCTGTTTTCAGGACAGAGAGAAGGGCAGGGTAGGCGACCTCGAGGAGTTTGATAGAGTCGTTTTCCGGTGTAATTGTTGGGAGCGAGAAGAAGGATTGCTTTATGGCGTCTTCGAAGACGGAGGAGAGGTTCGTTCGCCGGAGGATGTCGGATTTGCTTTCTCTGATTGGTTTGAGGAGTTGTAGGAGGATGCTACAGCCACGGGCTTTGAAGGCTAGATTGTCGTCGTCTATTAGGGACAATATTGGAGGTATGAGGAGAGGGAAATGTCTTTCCAGATACCCCTTATCCGTGGGCTAGATCGTTTTCAGCTCATGCCTGAAAGTGTTCGCCAGGGAAACGTACATGATACTGAGCAATAACCCACTCAAAAACAGTAGTAGCATAGGGATTGTGAACTTTCCACGGCTTCGACTCCGGATCCAAAATACTCGTGTCGAAACGACCCAAAGGCACAGGATGGAAGTTCTTCCGACCAGCATCTGTGATTGCCGGATTCCTCGTTTTGGCGAAGAGAGGCTTTACTCCCTCTTTCAGGACCTGCTCAACGACAGACCAGAAAGTGGATGCATCTGCACGAAGGTCTGTAGTGAAAGATTGCAGTGCCTCCCTAGCCTTTGTGGAACTTGTGCTTGTCATCCAAGGATTGTTATCAGACGTGGAGCTTGCCAGTGCGATGACGATATCCGGTTTGTTGGCAGTTTTCTCAACGGGTAATAGGGCAGCCAAAGATGTAAGAACGGAAATGGCAATAGTTGATTTGATTCGACAAGTCTTCATTGTCCGATTCTTCTCTGTTATTGCACATGTCAGTCATGCTTGTACGCAAGAAGAGGTAATGAAAATGCCCACTTTCTGATAACCCCTCCGGATCAGAGATATCACCAAACACAGGACCAGGAAGCGCTGCATTACTAGCCCACTTATACATGTAGTTCACCACATCCTCATCCCGGTCTGATAATTTCTTTAAGTCCCATTTATCCAGAAATCCTTGGGCAACAAGGAGGTCTTCGCTGGTCTGGATGCATTGTCAGAGCATATCTAAGCCAGTAGGAACACGTAGACTTACCTCTTCATCGCTTTTTGGACTTAGAGATGACAGCTCATTCCATAATGAATTTAATGAATCGGGGAGTGTGATGTTGTCTGGAAGGGTAATGGCTGGGAGGTCGGGCTGTTGTTGGAGGGACTCACGTGCCGCTCTGCGAAGTTCTTCCATGACTGGACGCGGCAAACAAAATCCACGGCGGGAGAATCGATTAAATAATAAACGAACAATAATGCCACTCCTATCACTTAAAGGAAAAGAGTGTAGGTATTAATGCAGCTTATAACGAAGAGATATGTGGGCGGAAAATGAAAATTTGGAGAAGCGGACAAGTTACTGCTGCCGTCTATACTACTACGTCTACCAAGTACAATAATAGACTATCCGAGCATTTCTTTCATTTCCTTGTAGCAAATGTCTACTTTTGTGGAGGGATGCCTAATTCTTCTCGTTGACTTGAGAGGGCTTCCAAAATCTTTTCCTTCTCAGTGACCTCTGGATACAGGAGCTGCCACTTAATCGCCGCATCGATGACTTTACTCATCCATGGCCCTTTCGATACCTTCATATGCTTCATGATTTCGTCTCCGTTTGCGATGGGCTTCATTTCGCATATCTCTTTGAGGTCTTGTTTCACCATATATTCCAGGAAAGCGTCGTATTCTTGAATAACTGTTGGCGGGGCAGGAGTGAGCAAATCGTCTTCCAGACTGTAGAACGGGGGGAATGTGTCCGATGTCTTACCTTTAGAGAAATCGTGTCCCTGCATGACTTCTTGAAGAATACTCAAGACAAATTGAAGTCTCCATTCCTTTCCCCATGACCGCATGTGTAGACCAACTTGCTGTCGAATTTCCGCAGCCGTGCCGTTCAGGCGCTCCTCTAGAAGCGACGATTTGACATCGATAATGCTTTTCCAATTATTCGACGAGTCCCGCAAAATATTGATGGTCTTGTTGTCCGAACGAAGACTGTCTCTGGCAACTTCGGATGCACGTGGTGGAAGCGGTTTGGCTTTACCCGAGACTATACGTGTCGGGACACTGGTCCAAGGTGCGAATGCAGTGATGACCCATGCATAGTAGATTTCTGACTTATCACGAATGAGCATTTTCCTTACGCGCCCGACGGCGTCACTGCTCTCTGCACCCGTACGTAGCAATTTTTGAAAGGTATTGTATGCAAGAGCCCAGGACGATGTTTCTGCTTGGACATCGTCTTGATGGTTCGCGAATATCGTAATATAAAGTCCGATACGATCAATAAGATTCAATGCGCCTCGAGGATCAGGCCCTATACTTGGTGAGCATCATGAGTTTGCTGAACAATCCGTATCATCAACCTACCTTTAAGCATTTTTTCCAGCTCCGTTCCAACACGCTCCTTGCTAATCTTCAGCTTGAGAGCTTCACTAATTTCCTTATTCTGCATCGCTCGTTCTGTATCCTCATGGATCTGATATCCCAACCGGCTGGCAAACCGGATCAACCGTAGCACACGTAACGGGTCATCCTTGAAAGTCTGGAATGGCTCTAATGGAGTGCGAACGATCTTGTTCTGCATATCACTCCAGCCGGATTCCGTGAGGTCCTCCACCCTGGACTCATTCAGGTTGTAGAAAAGCGCGTTGATCGTCGCATCACGGCGCATGGCGTCTTCCTGTGCCGTACCGAACTCCATCTGCGGGTTCCTGCTGTCCTCCGAGTATGTCTCCTTTCGCAGATTGACCAGGTCAATTTCGAGACCAAAGATCTTCGTGGCCACCGTCTCTAAGTGTTTCGACTTTTCGGGGTTCGCTTCGATCTTGTGTAGACTGACAATGGCTTCGTTCAGCTCGCCGTTCGGGTGGTTCTTCTTGTACCTGTCCAGGTTCTCCGGTGCATCCAAGTATTCCTTCAGAGCCATACCGAATTGGTATCCTGTCATCGTACTGATTCCCACATCGATATCATTGCTGTCTACGCCTAGCAGCTTGTCTCGCACCCAACCCCCAGTAAACCGTAGCTCGGTGTGCGGGAGGTCCTCATTCCCACCCTTTGCAATCTCTTGATTCCGAATATATTGCGCGACGTCTAGAAGGAGCTCTTTTAAGGTCTTCTCGATCGGAGTAAGCTGTACGGTGGGCAGGGCCTGCGCGTTCCGGGCCATGGTGTCGTTGGTATTGTAGGAAATGCGTCTTCGCTTGTATGTTTGTGCAGAAGGACTCGTCTGGACTTTGCGACGACTCATGGGCTGATATGCCGCAGGTCGATAATGTCGCACAGGTATGGGCGATGTGATTGATCTCAGCAAACAGCGTCTTGGAGGGGCAGGTAAGCGGGACAATGCGCTGAGAACACAACACAGGCGACATTCAACGAAAAATCGGATAGTCTGGGATCTCAGCATAGACTGCAGCCATAAGTAAAAAGCGACAATCGCGTATTGAAGCTCACTATATTAATTGGAGTTGGGACAAGAGCAAGAGAAACAGCCGATCCAGAAGATCACCGCCTTCTGCCTTCTTGGTATGACTTTTCCTACATTGTGTCATACACCATAAAAAGAAGAGACCAAAGGTGTCAAGGCATAGAATTAATCTTTCGACTCCATAAAGATCCAGTGGTATAATTATTTCTGGCCATGGTGGATTTGCGCTGTCATTTATGAGCCGCTTGTTTTCTGCCACTTTGACTTGGCCCATGATCTCAACGGCCTCTCCTCCATTCCACTAACATCACCCCTCTTATAGCTTCGTTCTCTCGCCCTAACCGTCCCATATCTTAATCTCACGGCTTCCGCTAGTCGATGGGCTCTACGGGTTCGTATTTCTTCTTTGAATCCTTATCAGAATCCATCCGGTGTCCATGACATCGCCCGGAGATGCTCCTCCGGTCAAACCTCCGCCGTCCTTCTCCCCCGGCGTGCCGCGTGTCGCATCCAAGGCAAGGTACCCAGACCAACGCCGCGATTCATCTCCCGCTCTAGGTTCTACTTCAGATTTGGCGGGGTCGAGGATTAACACCTCCCCTACCCCGCCGCTCTCAGCCACGACCGCTGACCTTCCGATCCGGATTGCTTCGCCGCACGCGAGATCTGTGAGGTCGATTACGCCCCAATTAACACGGTCAACGCTGGGTTCGCCGCTGGAGGGACGGTTTGAGGGCTCCGAGGATATCAGGTCTCTGATCGCGCGCGCGTTCTCTCCTGTGGTCGCAGTCTACGCTTCCGCGGATACCGATGAATTGGTCAGGCAGAAAGGTTTCAAGGGAGGTTTCTGGGAGTTGATTCGACCTTTTGGAGAGGATGTTCATGGGAAGGTTGTTATAAGGGATATCATCGGGGCAGGCCATGGTTGGGAGGATTATGGGGTTCATTTTGTTGATTTAGGGGGGGTGGTACAGAATCGGAGTCCGGGTCAAGATTCGTCTCCTCTGGCGCAGGTGGAGGAGGTGCTAGAACGGCAGCTTAATTCAGCAGATGATCCTCTGGTAGGGTCAGTGCAACCGAATGATGTCCTGGGTATGCCGTCAACGTCCTCGATATACAAATTCTTTTTACGTCAACTCCTATCTGCTTCCCCCGTGAGTTCGCATGAGACCTTCCGACATCCGGTGGCATGCGTGATTGCAATAAGTTCGCGCAATACCGCTCCGCTTGAGTCGCTTAGACAGCTGTATGCAGATACGAGCAATGGCGACAAAAAGATGCCGCCTTGGGTTCATTCCGAATTCCTTCGCTACTATGTGTTGGTCCATGACGAGGACCGTGATGATATCACGGAGTCGACCAAACTTTACGATCAAATGAAGCGGCATTTTGGGCTCCATTGTCATCTTCTTAGGCTTCGGAGTAATCAATGCGTCGTTACGGATGATGACAGTGTTCGGGTGCCTGAATGCGAATGGCTATCGCCATCGGAGCATCTTCAAGGTGTGGGCCAAACAGGTAAGTCAGCATGTTATTCTACTTGACTACAATATGATGACAATTTTCCGTTATCTAGAGCTCTTAGTCGATTTGGACGCAGACGGTGTCCCCTACCTCTTCGACTCTGATGTTATGGCAATTAAAACATTTGTTCGAGAACTCGTGGCTCAATCGGTGATTCCGTTCATGGAGAACAGAGTTGCCGTCTGGAACGACCAGGTGGCATCCCGAAGGCGTGGTCTTAGTGGGCGTTTCATGTCCTTATCACGACGATGGACTGGTTTTGGAGCTGGCTCCAGATCCAGTTTCGCAGGTTCTGGGTCAGGCGGAGTGAGTGGGAATTACGATGCAGTACATGGATTCTACAAACCCGATACTCCGGAGGCAATACTACGAAAACTGGCTGATTTCGCTTTCATGCTCCGTGATTGGAAGCTGTCTGCATCGACATACGAGCTCGTGCGGTCAGATTATGGCAACGACAAGGCATGGAGATACCATGCTGGCGCTCACGAGATGTGCGCAGTGAGCATGCTTCTCAATCCGCTTGCAATTTCAGGCAAAACCAAGCTCGAAACCGTTGATCAAATGCTAGAAACAGCATGTTACTCCTATCTCACGAGATGCTCCGACGCAACTAATGGCCTACGCTGTCTCACTTTGGCCATTGAACTCCTCAAATCACGCGGGGGCTCAGCAACAGAAAGCGCAACCCGATGGGCTATGCGGGCCATGGACATAGGGTTAGTAGGCTCAATTGGCCAAATCCTTTTCAGCGAGAGAGTGTCAGCGTGCTACGCGTCCAAGGTAGGGCTAGGATCAGGCGTGTGGAAACAGGGGTCGCGGCGCAGAAAAGCCGGGATGTGGAGTGTCTTCGCCGCGGACCTCTGGCTCAAAAACAGGAAACCCGCATTGGCCTCCGCATCTCTTGAAGAGGCTGAACGTCTTTACGCCGATGTCCTTGATACAGACGGCGTATTCCCCATGCCGGAAATGCAAAGCTTCATCGACAACTTACGACATGCAATCAGGGTCCAGTATCTCGGAGCCAGAGGGTTGGACACCGATGAATATGCAGATGACAGCACAGCGCCGTTGGAGACCCAGGCGACTGAAGAAACAAGCGAGAAACTTGACAAACGCAGCCACCGCAGATCACTTATGGGTATCCCGAATTCGACAGATCCTGGAAGTCTCAATCCGCCACCGGTGACGAGGGAGAATGAGACACCATCGCATGATGATTTTGAACGGGCTTAGCCTAGGGATTTATTTGATTTGAGGTGTATTTCGGCGTATGGTAGGAATATAGTTTATATAATCTTGGGTGAATGATTGCTTTTCATCGAGTATCAGTCTCGGATTACACTTTTTATTGTACTATCGGCTGGTGAGATGGCAATAGTCTGGCTCTACTGGGCAGAAATGGGGAATCTACGTTCTAATTTCAGCAAATACATTGCTGACTTGGGTAATATGCAATAGGATTAGTGGCTAGTTCGTTCCCTTCACCCCAAAGGCCAACCGAAGCTCGTGGTCGTATTTTTTTTTATCAGAGAGCTTCTTTGCGACGAACTTCCCCGCATTCTTCGCCCAGAAAAAGGGCATGATCTCACCTACTTCCTCAGGCTTGTGCTTGGAGAACCAAGGCTGCTGGATGTGTTTGTAGAATAGCTTGAAGAGACCCGTCGGGCTGGTGATAGCCAGAGTATACCAGAAAGTCCCCCTCGACCAGGCATCTTCCATAACTCTGGACAGCCGTGGCATCGTTCTGTCCGTTGGCATTTTCCTCTCCTCGGTCGCCATCACGGCCATTAGCTCCGTACGATGGGAGTCATATTCTTCTGGGTCCATGGAGTCCACGGGTTTATTGGTTAGCCAGTAAGGAGGCTCAACCATCTCAATTGGCCGCGAACATGCCCATTCGAGATCGACCAAGCATGTTATATGCCAATCATCATCAACAAAGATATTGCTCTGATGAAGATCCGTCAAAGAAAAGACAAAAGGACCCCGGCAGTGTTCTCGACGGAAGAATAGTGGTAATGTTGTTCGCATTCCTGCCAGTGCTGACATTTGATAGCCAGCGTCCGGTACGTTCAATACTGCATTAGGCTGGTTTTTGAGGCGGTTGTCGTGGACTCTAAGTAGATCATATAGATATGATTCAACTGTGGAATATGTGAAGTCGCGAGGCATGTCGGTTGGGATTCTCTCGTTTTCCAAGCCTTGGATTTCAACTGATAATGGACGATTGTTTAAAGAAAGATACCCGTCACTGTTTACGACGAATGAACCGATTCGTGGCAATGGTATTCGACTGATACTTAGAAGGATGCGTGAGAGGTCTTGAAAGAAGTTGGTCCGTAATTCTATGTCGTCGTGTTTTTTAAACCAGGTTTTTGAGAGCATAGTTCCTTGACGTTCCTCAATCTTCTCGATCAATATATACCCAGCACCGATCACGCCATCGAGAGAAATGTGTCTTCTGTTTAAGGGGCGAACATATGGTGTGGGCACAGGGTAGCCAAGCCAAGATAACAATTGACGGCGTAGAAGCTGGAACCAGCGGCTTATAGTGGGCAGGTACTCAACCCGAGTGAACTTAATTGACCATGTTAGTACATCTTATAAGCTGCAGAAGGTAGCTGGCACTATACAGTTTCACCACTTGACATAGCAAAGCCGTATAATTGTGGGATAGGCACATCCGGACAATTCTCTTCGAGCCATGCATAAGCACCAGCCTCACACTGGATTTTCTCATCTCCATTCCCAGGTTGAAATTCCTCTCCAACACGGTAAGGAAGAGGAAAGCGCATCAAGACGTCGCTCCCTAGCTGCCGCCTGTCCTTCCAATCACTGATAGTGACTGGGATACAGACATTGAAACTGCCGCAGTACCAATTTTCCATATCTGCCACATGACACACTTTGGTTGATTTCAAACCCAGATGCTGAGCAACAACTCGCTTCATCCATGCCCGTCTGCTCTCGAGATGAGCAAAAAATCGGTCCCGCTTGTCATAGTAGTCCAATTGGTGGAGGATATTGATTTCTTGTGACTTTGCGAATGAATAAGTAATGTCCTCTTTCAGAAGATGGCGGGTTTTTGACATAATGGAAGATAACTTGGCATGGGGAGGAATTGAGAGTGCCCACCCCTAGAGATGGCGGTCTTTATATAAAAAAAAATTAGCTGTAACCATTGTCCAATGAGGCCGAGTTCTGGGGTTGTTGGTCGCATACTAACGACTATTATCACGTGACGGCGCTTCTTATCGGATAGACGATCACCGCCAGCGACGGGATCATCGTTTGTTGTCATCTGGGTCGACAGAGTCTAAACATCAGACTGGAGCTTCAGGGGATGACACCTTATACACGCATATATTTAATCGCCCTGCATCGAGATTACAGTGTGTCTGCAACTCGAGAAACGATTTCCTAGTCAAAGGATGAGCGATCTACTCAACTACATCCTTGCCCATGAGGATGCATTCCGAAAGTACGATACCTTAACGCTGTGATATCGCATGCTATATAAGAGAATGGAAGAGCTAACTGGGTCAATTTGAAAACGTGCAGAAACCGCCTACCCTCACTTTATTCTGACTTCACGCTACAAAAGACAACGAACCCGGACGGCTACGCGGTCAATGTGGGGGCGTGGGAACAAGCATTGATAAAGGCTGCGAGGCAGGGGTATATTTCTCGGGGCACAGGGTCAGGCCAGGTAAAAACAAACCACCTGGTCTTGAAGGCAAATGAATCCCTTCTGCGGGATCTGGAGATACCGGAATTGGGACAGCCGGTTGCGCTTGGTACGGTGGTTGTACGTATTTTCGTCTTCATGGCTGTGCTTCCGACGGTTGGTTTCTATGGATTTGTTCTAACGAGCTATGTATAGGATGAAGCAGTTGAGAAGCGGACTATGGTCCCATTGCAGGTATACAGAACCAGCGGGGCAAGTCTACGGAAAAAGGGATGGATTGATCCAGGGACTTTGAGCCCGTGGAATGTCATGAGCTGGGGTATGAAGCAGTTACGGGGAATTGTTGTTGGTTCAGATGGCTTGGACTCCGCAGCACCGTTGCGAGGACAGGAATTGGTCCTTGTCGAGAATCTGCAGGTGAGTGAGGTGTTTGTTGAACAGTATTGGACGAAGTCTGATCTCAAGACAGGAGGCGGCAAGCCGAGTGGTAAAGCAAGCCACAGCTCAGGCTTCGTCAAAGATGGACCTCGTAAATTCTAGAGAGGGGTTCATGAACGAATATGCGGGAATACTGGATGCAGGCGTCGATTTGTCCGAAACAGATTTTGATGTTCTATTGCTCTATTTATCCCGCGACAGCGGTTCTATTGCCTATGATGGCAAGGTGAGCTATCTATGCTTTATAATACACGAATCGGGAATAGAATGAAGCGCTGATATGCAAGAAAAAAGACGATCAAGTTTAGACCAACACCGGATACACCAACTGAAATTACCCAGCAGGATACAACAATTGCGTCTATTAAGACACTCATGTGGACCATGATCAAACAAGCGGATGCTTTAGAAGTGAAGATTGCCGAGTTAACTGCGACTGCAAAGACGGCGCTGAATAACAAAAATCGGATCTCGGCACTTTCTGCGGTGCGCTCCAAAAAGCTTGCTGAGCACAATTTACAGCGCAGATTCGACACCCTGGCACAGCTGGAGGAAGTCTATTCCAGGATCGAACAGGCTACAGACCAGGTAGAGTATATCCGTGTGATGGAAGCAAGCACAGGTGTCCTCCGAGGGCTTAATACTCAAGTCGGCGACGCAGCCAAGATCGACGAGGTCGTGGATGAGTTGCGAGAGGAGATGTCCAAGGTGGACGAAGTTGGAAATATCATGAGTGAAGCTGGTCCCGAGATTGATGAGACTGAGATCGACGACGAACTTGAAGCCCTTGAGCATAAGGACCAGGAGGCCAAGGACGAAGAAGAGGCGGAAGAAACCCGCAAGAAGCTTACCGAACTGGAAAGCTTGGAACGGACTACCAAAGAGGCTGCGCGACCAGAACGGGATTTGGATTCGGCACTAACGGACAGGCTCTCGCAAATGTCGGTCGAGGATGTTCCCGGTGCTGCCCATTAGCCCCATGCATAGAAGCACTAGCTATCCAGTGATTCAATGCCCATGGACTTAGTCGGCTAGTCTGATGACATTGCACCTGATGCGGCAAGGATCTCGTGCGCATCGAGCATCATGGCAGTCCCATTGGAAGATCTACATAGCCATTTTCTGTTGGTTGACTTTGGTTCCCGATCCCATTCATGTTGAGAGGAGCTATTTGCGAGTCTCCTAATTCCGGCACTTCGCCTACCACACATGGTCCTTCCGCTGGTCGCTCGGAAATGGGTGTCGCGTCACGTCCAGGGTTTGGTGCCATTTCAGGCTCATTCGAATCGACTGGCCCTTGAGAAATTGTGCCACGGACAGCATCATTCTTTTTTCTCGCGTTTGCGATCAATTGCTTGAAGTCATCACCGTGGCTAGTGGACCACGCCGCCTTATCGAAAGACTTGTCCATGATTGTGGAATCGTGAGATGACGGATTTGCATTACCACCTTGTGTTCGTTCCCAAGCATCCAATTCGCGCAACAACTCCCATTTCGTTTTAGGCCACTTCGAGTCACAATTGGCGTTCCACAAGTTCATCCATTCTGTATGACGCCTCTGGAGTAGCTGCCGAGGACCCATGTTGGGAATTCCAAGATCTTTCAGTTTTTTTCGGAGGACGCCTTCTTTCAGTATAGAATAGTTAATGGCAGGAAGCCTTTCGGGCTTTTCATTGACTGTATTTCTGGTTGCAGTGGTTCTAGTTTGTCTGCGTGCAACCGGTGACATGGGCTGTAGGGACCTATAGGACATATCCCAGTTAGGCCAGTCGTAAAGTAGCCCGTAAGAAGGGAAACGTACCCATATGACATTTTCTTTGGGGGAGCTGGATCTTTCCCACAAGATTCATCTTCAAGGTGTGAGAAGACAGCTTCATTTTTCATCCGTCGATTGCATATTGGACATGCGACCAACCCGTCATCTGAAAAATGTTAAAACCAAGTTGCAGGCACACACGTCGCCCATGAACGTACCTGGCGAGAAACCTTCATCTTGACTATCCTCGACCAAGTCCACCGTAGCAGGATGTTTCGCCGTGGTAGGCTGTGACGGATTATCCACCTGTCTGCTCTGAGACCGGGTCACGATACCCTCCGCACCAAACTCCGACGCGTCCTCCCCTTCTATCTGCGATGACCCAATCTTCCGCTTCTTGAACAAAGGCTCATCGGACACCTCGCGACGGTCAAGCGCACCATCCCTAGCCTTCCTCGCCAGCTCCAGCACGCTGGGACGAGCATTCTGAAAGGCCTCCAAAAGTTCCTGAACGACCCAGTTGCGCCGCAACTTTGTCTCCTGATCAGAGCTCCGACACACGGGGCATTTCCCTTCCGTACTTAAGCACCGACGTATACACAATGAGCAGAAGGTATGGCTGCAAGAGGTAATCACGGGGTTGTCGAAAAAGTCCTTGCAGACCTGGCAGCGGAGGGACGATTCGAGCGGCGCGAGAAGCGACAACGGCGTGTCTAGCCAGTCGGTGGAGTCGGGGATGTCAAACGAGGCGTCCATTGAGTTCGTTCACCTCATGTGATCTTATGTTCGACGATGGAATAAGAAATGCTTGGTTGATGCGGGGAAATCCGAGAGGTCTCGTTCCTCGAACCTACTTGTAGTCGCGACTTGGAGATTGAGCGAGAGGTGCCAAGACCAAATGACTAATGCGCGTTAAGTGGCACACGTCGGTGGCCATAGCCCTACGGTCTTCATGGTGATTCTATTACTGTCCTTTTAGCGACTAAATTCAAGATTATGTACATATCTGTCGTTCCATGCATCAATGTCAAGTGTTTTGGTTCATCCTGGACAAAATGTGATGTAAGAGTTGACCGTTAGCGAGTTCAGAGCTCTATCAGAAACCAATTCCTCAAGACATTGATTTCCCTCTTATCCAAGAAGCTACTTGACATCACCAACTGTTCAGACCACATCGTATTGATGTTGTGAATTCTCAGTGTTCAGGGTACCACCCGCACATTCCTAAACAAAAAAAACCCAGATAAATGTCCGTCATCGCCAACTATGATATTGTGGGCTCTAAAATCTCCGTGAGTCAATGTGAGTCTGTGAGAACGCTGTCGTAGTTTATTTGCCTCTAGCAAGGTCTTCTCAAATTCCGCTCGAGTCGTGAGTCCACGGGATGAAGCTGGGCCAAGAAATGGTTGTAGAATTCCTCGGTTGGAAAGAAACCCATGATATGGTGAGGAACTCGTGGAATTCGAATAGCGGTCCCAATCAGTGAGCAAATGAAGTACTCATCTGGTGGAGGCCATTTATACATAACATTTACGCATTGCTTTAGCTCTTCCAGCCACGCTCCTCGGCGTCAGCGTCCAATGTTTCATCGAAATCGACAAGACAAATTCCAGGCAACCTCATCATCAAAGTTGAAAACACCTGCAGTCCACCAAGGTACCCAAAAGATAAAAAGTGTTGCCCACAAGATATAAATTTAATAACAGACACCCCCAGCATCTCTCGCCATTTTTATGGCTGCCGCTTCTTCAATGCTCGCCCGGTCTGTTCATTTCAAAACGAGTCCAGATGACAGCTCCAAAATGTGGAGGTTAGAGAAGATGCCAAACTAGGAGCAATACCATCTTGGAAAACGAATTAGTGCTCTGTGGACGACTTCCCAGGTGGAAAGAGAGTACCTTCCTGGTATATGGGGGTACTGGAGGCGTAGTGCTCGATAGTGGATACTGCATTGGTCGCGGCCAGGTAAAGTCCGGCCGTAGGATGGATGGAATCAGATGCTATCCCATTTTCGAAGGCAAACAGTCTCCATCAGCAAAGGATTTGCAAGAAGAATCTAGAGGAACACTGGAAGTCAAGTAACAAAGAATCAAATCTCGTCCTTGATTAATTCACCGTAAAGGGTAAAATTACTTTGATGCCGGATCAGGAAAAATTAGCTCCGTTCCGAAAGTGGTTATAGACTTCCGACGCGTTGCGCGACAGGAAGCGAACAAGAACACAGCAAACGACCATGGCCGTCGATTCGAAGAAGTATCTAGCAGAAAATGTCCTCAATGAGCGTCGGACTGTATGCATTAACTTATATTTGCCACATTTTGTTTTGTTACCTCGAGCTAAGCAGTATGGCAGGTCACTTATCGGTTACTGAGTCGCGTTCTGAAGGTTCACAGCCATGTCGCCAAACGGTACGTGGCATGTATACCAATTGAGTACTCAATATACTAATTGTACAAAAGAATCTTATACGACTTCCATCACAATGAAAACTCGAAGAAAACGAACAGCGTGAACGCGACCTACGTCATTACAGGCGCGCAGCACCCGCCTGAACCTCCTGCGACAAACGGGAATTCCCACGAATCTGACGGCGATGATATTATGCAAAGCAGTCCCTATATAAGTAGTTCCATGCCGAATCAGGATGCCGACGCCGACACGGTTACAACCTCATCTATCATACTGGTGCGCGAGGAGGACTTGGAAGGTAATATGGCGGGCGATATCTCGGGTACTGTTCTCGTGGCTGACGGCACATATAGATGCAAAATTGACATTCCGGTCAATCTCTTCTATTCACGTATACAGTCTCCAGCCCGCGGCATTGCAGGATCTTAATATCTTGACGGATGTCAGCCGTGAGACACTGGCCACCTACGCTCATGAGGATCCGCTAGAATATGGGAAACAGTGGGGAATGATTCAGAACCAGAACGTCAAGGTATACTGCAACCATTCTATGGGGTTTGCACCATATATGGAACCCAATGCTGATATCCATTATAGCGGAGAACAGGAGCACGACCGCCGCCGCCAGCGGCATCAACTAAAGCACCTTCCAACATAACAGTACCCGCAAAGCGACCTTTACAAAATGATCCTCCTAAACCTGAACCCTCCAAAAACGAGACCGTCGAGCAGAAACAACCGCCGCAGAAGGAAATCAGCCAGCCGCCATCAAAACCTACAGCACAGCCAGCCCCATTGAAGAAAGAAAAGGGCAACCTATTCAGCTCATTCGCGAAGACAAAACCAAAGCAGAAAAAGGAAGAAGCAGCACCTGCGGCCTCGGGTGCAGAGTCGGTCAGTGCAAACAATTGACATCCAATGCAGTACAGATGGCTAACAGCTATATAGGCCGCAGCCAGTGGCGCAGAAGATTGTAAGTAAACCACATAATGATCTTCATAGTGCCCCAACAGCAACTGACATGTGGCAGTGAATCTGGGTGATGCTTCTGAGGAAGAGCCCGAAGAGCTTTTCCCCGACAGCGGAAAACCGGCGTCTACAAGTAACCGTGAATCTAGGAAAGAAAGGGAAGAAAGGCTGAAGAAGATGATGGAGGATGATGACGATGAAGAACAAGGAAATGATGGTAAGGCTGAATAATAACAGCGCTTCGCCAAAGCTCAAACTTACTAACTCGACTCTTCTACAGCGGATGAAGAAATGCCCGACATCGCCGAGCCTGAAGAAGAACTAGAAGAGCCGGCACCTCTTGATGAACCTCTTCCACTGCCTGAGAAGCAGGAACTCAAGGAAGAAGTCACCGTGCAAGGAGGCCGTCGACGAGGTAAACGGCAGGTGATGAAAAAGAAGACCGTTAAGGATGAGGAGGGATACCTTGTGACTCGCGAGGAACCCTCCTGGGAGTCATTCTCCGAGGATGAGCCTGCAGCACCGCCGCCCAAGAAGAAGCCGGCCATGAATGTACCCAAGGTCAAGCCTGGCACAAAGCCTGGGCAAGGCAGTATCATGTCCTTCTTTGGGAAGAAATGATACAATGTCAATATCTTAATACGAAAAGGATAGATGTATATTAACATATGCACAGTCAAACTCAAGTACCTACATCTTGACTTTTCAATGCCACGATACTAGCGTAGACTTTTCTGATGAATGTTCGAAAGAGGAAATGCGGAGAGATTGCGGGGATTTGGGGAAAGTGCCGATTTCGAGATTAACCGCACGAGGTCTTACTCTCTTCTATCCTTTCACTGACTGCAGTGTTTCGGCCTCGCGCACTTCCCTTAATTTTCATCTTTCTCGGGATATTTTCTTTTCTTCAACTTTGGTGTGGAATGCAGTGGAAGGACAATAAGCTGACTTCTCCGGATCGCAACTGCATGCGGAGTACAACACCAATTTCCGACATTTATCTCTTACAAAACTAAATTTATTCCTGATTCCTGTACTCCTGCAAAATGACCATCACATCGATTCTCGTTCTGGCACTGGCCGTCAGCTGGGGAGCTGATGCTACTGCAGGACATCGCGATAACGCTGTAATTTTGCGACGAGATTGTCCGGACTACACCTCATACTCCGCGGCTAAGCAGTAAGTACTCCCTTCGCAAAATATACAATACAGAGTGCCAAGAGACGTGACGGTTAACCCAGTCGCTCGTTGCAGTCCCCCCTACAGTGACGGTTCTCTGAACCTCCCCTTCCAACGACCGGCCCAAGAATGTCGCACTTTCATCTCGCCAGCAGTCGAGCAAGTTATAGAAGACATTACCTCGAACATAGTGGATAATGATCTGGCTCAGCTGTTTCGAAATGCTTTCCCGAACACCCTCGATACAACTGTGAGGTGGCACGCAAACAGCAATAACTCAACGACAGACCCATCACTATCAACAAAGCATAAGAGGGAGGATTCACAGTGGCAAGGTCCCCAAACATTTGTCGTAACTGGAGATATCAACGCGGAATGGCTGCGCGATTCTACGAACCAGTTATCGGGTTATCAAGCCCTGGCTAAGCAAGACCCGAATCTGCAGTCGCTTATTTTGGGTGCCATTAACACGCAGGCTGAGTTTGTTATTCAGTCTCCCTATTGCAATGCTTTCCAACCACCTCCACCTAGTGGATTGAGCCCTGTAACAAGCTCGCAAAAAGACACAGTCCATCCAGAATACGATCCCTCGGTGGTCTTTGAATGCAAGTACGAGCTTGACTCTCTGGCTAGCTTCCTGGCGCTGGGCACAGAGTTTTACGAAAACACAGGATCTACTGAATTCCTGACAAGTCGCTGGTACAAGGCCCTTGACACACTCTTATCGGTTCTGGATGCACAATCACAGCCAACTTTCAACGGGCAGAACCAGCATGTTGCCAACCAATACACGTTCCAGCGTCAGACCAACACAGGCACAGAAACTCTCAACCTGGATGGAGTAGGAAACCCATTGAATGGTGAAACTGGCTTGATTCGAAGCGCCTTCCGGCCTAGTGATGACGCAACTATCTTCGGTTTCTTCATTCCCCCAAACGCGATGATGGCCGTTCAACTGCAGAAGACAGCCACAGCGATCCAGGCAGCAGGAGGACATGCAGATCTAGTCTCGAAGCTCCAGCAACGAGGACAGAAGCTACAACAAGCAGTATGGGAGCATGGTGTCGTGCATCATGCTAAATATGGCCGTGTTTTCGCGTTTGAGGTGGATGGGTACGGGTCCCAGCTTCTAATGGACGATGCCAACATCCCTTCATTGCTCTCGCTGCCTCTGTTGGATTTTGTCGACAAGAATGACACCATTTATACCAATACTCGTAAGATGGTATTAGAGAAGGGCGGTAACCCATACTACTTGGTTGGTTCTGCGTTCAAGGGTATTGGTGGTCCTCACAGTATGTGTTTCTTCCAATCATTTTTTTCCATCTCGGCTAATAACACAATATCTATACAGTTGGCCTCGAAAATGCCTGGCCCATGTCCCTGCTTGTCCAAGCAATGACCTCCGACTCTGACTCGGAAATCAGAGAATGCATCAACCTTGTCCGCAACTCGAGTCTTCTCGGGCTCGTGCACGAGTCTATCAACGTGAATGATATCAACAAATACACCAGATCATGGTTTGCATGGGCAAATTCGGTATTCGCGCAAACGATTCTCAAAATCGCGGCAGAGAAGCCGTATATAATCTTTGGGGATGGGGCCGAGCCTTACATCCTCTGATGGTATACAGTTTGCATACTCTCAACGAAGAAGCGTGCTTTTAACCGATGCAATAGGGCAATTTAGTCTAATTAATCATATGCTAAATTAATACATCGTGGTATCCACATTATAAGACATGCTGTTTACATATAAAAGAAAAAGCTCATATCAAGACCCGTCTCAATCCCTCCGTTCCACTCAACACTCTCCTACCAGTGATAGGGCACCGGCCCCTTCCACTTTCCCATTGACCATGCCGACCATCCTGCCCCTTCGAATTCTCCGCCTCCGCATTCTCATCTTCGGCATCTTCATCATCCCAAGCCGCACCAGAACTCTCCTTATTCATGAAATCAATCTGTCGCTGATGCTCTCCATTAAGCCAATGGAAGACACAAACATAGCAAAACACATATCCCGTCTGGGATGCAGTCGGATTCGCAAGCTCACTCAAGCAAATGGGACAAGTACCAGCATTTTCCGAATCCGCGGTAGGCAGAGGGACAGTGAAAATCGGCAGGTACGAAGAAGCAGAAATAGGTGGTTGACGGGGACGAGGGGATTTGAGGGCTGGCTTGATGTCCCTTCCACCGGCAGCGGCTTTCTCTTTCTCTTCTTCTGCTTTCTTTCTCTGCTCGATTATCTTCTTCTTGTCGAATGGGGTGATCATACCTTCTACCACGGGGGCGGGAAGGTCGATCACGTCTGTTGCCTTGCGGGCGAGTTGGCGCGTGAAGTCGCTGGCGTGCCACCATTCGAGGAACTTCAGAGCAAAGATAGATGCTGGGAGGAAGTAGCGTAGGGATGCGAGGATTTGGGGGTAAAGGTTCTGCGGGCTTAGCAGGCCCAAGAGGCCAGATCCTGGGCGCGCACCGCTTCCTGGCTTGGTTTCCAATGTCTTCGCGATCGCGCGATGGTCCGCCCCTCCCAGTCGTCGAATCCGGGTCCCAATGAGCCAGAGGAACGGCGACGAGTACTTCGTGTTATCGAAGAGGTACGCCAGGTTGAACGCGATAACGGAGAAGTAATACGCTGCGTTAACACTCGGGTACACATTCCTCAAGAACCACTTGTAATAACAAAACAACCGCTGCTTAATAGACGGGTTGTGAGGCAACTCATCGCTGGGGTTATATCGCGGCCCGCCACTCATAACCAGCGACGCCTGCGGCGCGGCATGAATATCGTACCCCTCATCCAATTTCCTCTTCAAATACGGAATTCCGACCATAACGAACAAGTTCTTCCACACATCCGACGTGCGCAGCTTGAGCGTTTCGCGGACGGGCGCGGCAGCACCCATTTGTGCGCGTGGAATCTCGCCATTCTTGGTTAAGAGGACGCGTTCGCGCTTGAGGGAGTAGAAGTTCTCTGTGAAGGAGCCGCCGAATGTGCGGAGGTAGTAGCGTTCGACTATTAGCGAGAGGAGGGCGTAGACTTCGTCGTAAGAGTTAAGGATTCGAAGGAGGTAGCGTGGGTGGCGGTGAGTCGCGACGGCGAGGATGTAGCGGATTGAAGGGGGGAGGAGATCTGATAGTTGTTGTTCGGCAAGTAGCTCTGTATTATTGAGTCTGTTAGCAATGTCTTCTTATTGACCGAGATCCAATCGATTATCACGGGATATTGCTCTTACCGAAAAGGGACGGCTTGAGCTCGTCAAACTCCTGCTGAAGGTTGGGCAGATACTCCATATTGGCGATAGAAACTGCCACTCATCCTCCTCCAGCGTTAAATCTTGAAAAAGTAGGATAGGGGAGATATGGCAGTAGAGATGAAGAGGTGAAGATCCCCGGACTGTGACTGACGTTGGGCTCGGAGCGGAGTTGCAGCCGAGGCTCATCGGAGTCGGTGACGGACGACTACTAGACTAGTAAAGACCATGCAAGGACAAGCATTTATAAGGTATAAAGATACAGTCATGGATATCATTACATAGACAATTGGAGTTTATTATACAAAAAGGGGGTGTCAAAACATTCACGCATCACAAGTCGTTTTAGAAGTGTGGGCTCCCAGGGGAATGACAGCTTCCAGAATCCGAAGCCGCTAGATGTCCGAGGCTATGATGCTCTGAGCAAGCGTAAACGCTGCTCGCATCACTGGGACTGGCTCTGTTGTGTCGCCTCATTCTCTGCCCCAGATGCATTTGCAGCCTCCAATTCACGCTGCTTCTGTCTCCTGGCCCGGTCCAAGTTCCCCTGCCACAAGCCATCAAGATCGACTTCAGTTCTCTTATCTTCCGTGAACATTTGTACCACAACTCTAGTCCCCGCATTGATGGCACCAAACCCTTCAAAGCCTTGGAAATCCTCTTGTTCCACGACAGGGGCCTCCTCAACCACGCCAGCATTTACGCAGATCCAACCGGTAGTGATACCATCATCCTTTTCATCCGTGATTGCTCCAGATTGACTCGCGATGCGGGCCCGACGGGCCTTCCGTCGAAGTTTGATTTTAAGTTCGTTTCGACCTAGCAGTCCATCTGCGTACGGTGAGAGCTTGTAAGTGCTCCGTAGCCAGCGACATAGACGATCCGCGGCGACATTAAGATGTTTCACGCTGCGAGCAGTACCGATGATCATAATGACATTGGCGCCGAGGGCTGGTGGAGTTTCAAGGTGCCGCAGATCAAACAATTTCAAATTGTCCAGACCCAGGTCTTTGAATGTGTGTTCGAGAAGAGTAGGGAGTATGGCTGGTGGGTCCTCTGGCAGTTCTGGCAGGTGGTCTCGCGACAATACTGGTTGCGACTCCGCAATCGGGGTTTCTTCTTGCAAATACCATGGAACATGCCGTGATGGCGCAGGCATCTCATTGTCAATGTGTGTATCCTTATCGCTTGGAGCTGGAGGAGGTGACCCGGGGGGAATTGAAGGAACATCGGATCGAAGACAAGGCACTGAAGAAAAGGCCCTGGTATTCACATGGGTATATCTCGAAGGGGGCAAGCTGTGGCGAGGGATCGATGCACCGCAGAATGACGAGAATGTGCGAACAACGTCGCGGCGACAAGCGTGGCACAATGGCCCTCTCATCAATGCTTGATTCATGTTGACTTCTATGATTCTTCAATTTGTTGGCCGTTGAAATCCAAGGAAAACCTGATAGTATTTGAGGACAAACTATGCAAACAAAGCTGACTCAGAAGTTAGTCAAATACAAACATAACAAACAAAAAGTTTCCCGGCGGGGCAAAGCAACAGTGACAAATCCAGAAAATCTTGAGTCTTTCTTCATCATCTCAACTTTTGCTTCCATCTTGTGTCTGTCTGTCTTTACAGGATACTCGCAGACATGTCGATGGATCTGGATGATGCCCCGGTGCCCATTGCGGGTGGCCAACAGCCCGTTGCTGCGACGTACGTCCACATCTCTTTTTTTTTCTCTTTTACTTTACTAATTTCTTCTGCGATTCTCTAGTATCCTGTGTTGCAACTGCGGTGCCCCTATTGATGGAACTTCTTCAGCTGGTGCGCTTTGCCAGGACTGTGTCAGATTGACCGTGGACATTTCTCAAGGAATCCCGCGCGAGTCTGTTGTTCACATTTGCAAAGACTGTGAACGCTGGCTGCAACCACCCACCAGCTGGGTCAGCGCCGCCCCCGAATCGAAGGAACTACTCGCCCTTTGTTTGCGCAAACTTCGAGGCCTTAACCGAGTCCGAATTATCGATGCAGGATTTATCTGGACGGAACCCCACTCGAGACGTATCAAAGTGAAGATCACCATCCAGCAAGAGGCTTTCCAGGGTACCATCGTGCAGCACTCGTTTGAGGTGGAATATGTAGTCGCTACTCAGCAGTGTCCTGAGTGTGCCAAGTCGTACACTCACAACACATGGCAAGCGTCGGTGCAAGTTCGACAGAAGGTTCCTCACAAGCGGACGTTCCTTTTCCTCGAGCAGCTTATTCTCAAGAACAACGCCCACCAGAATACGGTCAACATCAAGGAAGCTAAGGATGGATTGGATTTTTATTACTCGCAGCGGAACCATGCGGAGAAGATGGTTGAGTTCTTGTCGTCTGTTGCCCCGTGCAAGTCGAAGAAGTCGGAACAACTGATCTCCATGGATGTACACACTTCCAACAAGTCCTACAAGTTCACTTTCTCCGTTGAATTGGTGCCTATTTGCAAGGACGACTTGGTGGCTCTCCCGATCAAATTGGCGAAGCAAATGGGTAACATCTCGCCCTTGACGCTTTGCCACCGTGTGGGCACGGCCGTCAACCTCATGGATCCCTGCACTCTTCAAACAGCAGAAGTCCCCACAGGAACCTACTGGCGCTCGCCATTCAACGCCCTTGCAGACGTGACGGAGTTGGTCGAATTCATTATCATGGATATCGAACCTGTCGGCCGTACAAACGGACGATACCACCTCGCAGAGGCAACCGTTGCGCGCGCCTCGGATCTGGGCTCGAACGATCAAACCTACTTCTGCCGAACCCACCTCGGTGGTATCTTCCACGTCGGGGACAGCGCGCTGGGATACCACTTGACCGGGAGCAACTTCAACGATGCCAACTTTGAAGCCATCGAGAATAGCAGCCGATATAGCTCCATGATCCCCGACGTTGTCCTTGTCAAGAAGCACTACGCCCGCAAGAAGAACAAGAAGACTCGCAACTGGCGTCTCAAGCGTATGGCCCGCGAGTACGAAGAGGAAGCCCTTGCGCAGAGCAACCAGCCCACGAACCGCAAGCAGGAGCAGGAGCGCGAGAAGCTCGAAGCGGACTATGAGATGTTCTTGCAGGATGTTGAGGAAGACCAGGAATTGCGGGGAACCCTTGACCTCTACAAGAACAGGAAAGCTGCTCCTGCTGAAGGTGATGGTATGGATGAGGATGAGAGCGATGACGAGGCGCCTAAGATCAACATGGATGAGCTGCTCGATGACTTTGACGAGTTGAATATGGACGATAAAGAATAAAAGAGAAAAAAAAAAAGAAAAAGGATATAGTCACGAAGCACATGGGGTTCTGGCGTTACGTGGTTTTACTGGGAATATCCAAAAGTTAGAGTACATATCCAGCATTGAATCAGTGGTTACATGCAATACTATATCCATAACAATAAGAACTCTGTACACAAGTAGATGAAAGGCATTAGAAAATCTTCCCCAACACCCTCTTCGTATCCTCCCCCAGCGCAGCAGCACCATCATCCTTCTCGATCCTATCCCTTGGCGTCTTAACCTCATTCTGCTTAAACAGCCTCCGAACATTCCCCTTCTTCCCCCCCTCATCAACATTCCCTCGCTCCTGCACCTTCTCCTCAGGTACATCCACCTCCGGCATCCTCCTCTTCTTTTCCTCACTCTTCCTGGCCATCCCATCTAAAACCCTCCCCTTCTCAACCCCCTCCACAAACACCTTCTCCTCCTTCTTCGCCCTCGCATCCTCAACCCTCCTCTTCGCTTCCCTCTCACTCCTCTCCCGCTGTACCTGCTCCATCAAATCCGCCCACTTAAACCCCCTCAAATACTTCATATTCCACACATCATCATGATACCAGCCACCCTTTTTCCCGCCCACGATGTTCGCATTTAGCGTCTCCGCGCATAGCTTCGCGGTCTTCTTGGATGCGAATTCCACCCATCCGTCGGAGTAGGTTTTGCGCTTGTTGGAGCGGCGCCGCGGCGCGGAGGCGGAGGGTATGGAAGGATTTAGGAAGACTCTTGTTATGGGTGAGAAACCGTATTTCTCTAGGAGCCCCTTTAAAGCAAAGGGACGCAGATAGGGAGGGAGGCTAGAGAAGTAGATGACGCCGGTTTTGTTCTTTTTAGGAGGCTTGCTTTTGTCGAGGGGTTTGGGTTTTAGGGGTTTCTCGGCTTTCGTGATTGTTGTTGTTGCGTCGAGGTATTTGGCATCTCCTTCGCTTTCGCGTTGTTCTCCGTATTCATCGTCGTCGTCCTGGTCCTCATCATCGTCATCGGTTTTGCGCTTGGTCTTCCCCTTGCCCTTCCTCGCTCGCGAAATCTTCTCATCTTCGTCATCCGATACCCCAGGGTCAGATTCTCTTTCCTCATCTTCGTCCCCACTAGCATCCAAAAACCCGCGCTTTGGCTCCGTCCGTCGCCGCTTCATACCCCGGCCTTTCGTCTCCTCCGCAGCTTCAGAGTCGTAACCGGCTTCGCTGCCTTCATCTTCGTCGGAGATGGGGTCGAGAAATTCGTTGCGCTTGCGGGTTGTCATTTTGCCTTTTCTTTTTATGATTTCCGGAGTGATTGGAAGAATATTGAGGTTGTCGAAATTTCTTGAAACTTTTTATCGTTTTTGCTTTCCGCTGCGATTGGCCGTTGATCCGTGCGGTGGCGATCACATGACTGTAATCGCATACAACTATATCTGTAAAATGTGCTATGTTGCTCAAAAATTCAATAATGGGCAAAATGCTGGATAAAGTATATATACTCCATATAATCTAACGGTGGCAAGGATAAAAATGAATTGTACAGGGTGCTCTGCCGATCTGTTCATACAGTCCGTACAGTGTACCGCTCTATACTGTACAATAAACCTATGTATCCCCCGCTGAGTATCCTTGATACTCCATGTATAGAAATAACACGTCCCTGCGCATATCCATCAGGCTATGTAGGTATCATGAAGCCTATCCCTGGCTCCTCTCATGCAAAAAGAAAGAGTCCATAACAACCAAAGACGCCGAAGCTTAGGATCTCAAAGGAATGAAAAAACAAGCGATGAAACAAAATAGATGATCAACCAACCGCTATGTGAAACAGACGGCCAAGTCCCATGCATACAGTCCTCCGTTTAAATTCCCAACCACCACTTAAATCGTTCATAAGCAAAGAAACCCGTGGCAACCATGGGCACAATCTTGATATACCCAATCGTTAGCCCGACAAAGAATCCACGAGATCCGCTCTCCATCCAAATTTTGCGAATCGTCTCGGCAATTCCCAGTCGGCGTCCATCTCCCACAGCACCTCCGACCTGCATCCGTCGTCGAATCACCTCAAGAGGATATGAGGACGTCTGGGATACCAGACCGGCAATGGCACCGGAGAACAGCTCCGCAGCCGCTGTTAATTGCGGCCGTCGGGTGCCCTTCTTGGTGTTGCCTTCAGATCCGGGTATTGTGGTGTAACGAGCGACACCTGGTAGGCGAAGCCAGTCGCCCACCGTGTCGTGTGTGAGGAAAGACATGCCTGCGTATGGCAGCATTCCGAGCATAGTTGGCGAGAATCCACGGTAGAAGTTGGCCAGGCCAGAGCTCGGGACCACCTTGTTCACAGTCGAAGACATCGTCTGTGCTGTCGCCGCCACCGGTGCGGAAGATACTGTCGCATTCTGTTTGCCTGGCGTAGAAGGCGTCGATATTCGTTCGTTATAGATCTGTTTAAAGGTATCGCCCAGGGATGACCGGGATGACTTCTTTGTCTCGAAGGCTAATCGTACCCGAATCAATTCCAACGGGTATGTGAAAAACACAGACGTAATCCCTGCCAAGCTCCCCGAAATAAGCCGGCGGAATGGTGTTTCTTGCTCTTGAGATGTGATCACAATCGCACGAATCTGTTCGTAGGCGAGGAACTTTATAGCGGCATAAGGGAAGATACGAAGCAGTGTCGCAGAATGGCCCTTGTAGAGACCCCGTGATCCTTCAAAACGATAAATATCCTTCATCGCCGCCGAAAGACCAAACCAGCTTCCGGTGTATTTCGCATATTGGGGGTTCGATGCTTGGAACAGGATCTTTACCCGGTCCAAGGGCGCAACCACTGTTTTCGCCTAGCATTGACAGTTAGCTCGTACTCCTATCAAAGCATCAGTCGCACTTACCGCACATCCCGCCAAACCCCCTGCATACCCGCTCCGCAGTACATAATCCAAACTCTGCTTATTCACCTCCTTTGCCTCCGCGCGGGTATCCTGCCTCGATCCTAACGACGCTCCTGATGTCCCTGACGACTCATCATCTATCGTGTTCGCTTGAGCGGTTGCCACCGTGGTCCCCTTATCGCCTGTGAAAGGCCTCCGGTCTGGTTTCGACTGTGTGGCGTGCTCCATCTGAGGAATTGTGGGGTTATGGATGGCGGAGGAATCAGCACGCTCATGGCCCGGAAAGGCGGCGGACATGAGCACAAGTGACGGCGAAATCAGTCGAGATTCGTTCCGTTACGTTCCGTGGGGTATGGTTAGAAAATAGGGTTGATCTTGTTCTTGTCCGGGGAAAGAATAATATGGAGAAATGAGGAGTGAGGAGTTCACGGGCTACCGGAAAAAGGCCATGGGGTAAAGTTCCCGAGGGCAACGATCCTCCCAGGCCACAAGGAGAGAGATAATAATAAGAATAAGCAAAGGCAACAAGCCCCTCCGAAATCAGATATCACTAAGATTAAGCCGAGAGTAGCCGTGGAATTGCTGGAGAGAGCGTTGGAGGGTGGAAAAGTTGACTGAGGCGCATTTCTTTCCGGCATGTGACGTCGTTCTGCAGCTTACGGCTCTGACGAGCCGATACCTGCCGGAACCTCCAGGCCGCCATCCCAATACCGTATTGTGACGCTCCGAGCGGCGAGGCGGTACTCGAAATTAATAATCGGCATGTGCTCATTGATAGAGAAATAGCTCACGTGAGGCGCTTCCAAAAACACTCGTACAGAGTATACAAAGTAACCAAATAGCGAAAATTCATATGCGTATGTACATTCCAACTCTCTCTTTCAGTTACACCATATCTAGCTTCCCAGGTCACCCATACAGCATGCTCGCTCCAGTTCTCTATATAAAACCATATGACCCAAGACTAAGATGCAGACTACTGCATTAGACAAAATAAATCTCCAAACAAAAACAAGAAAAGAAAAGAAGAGAATAAGTATCATGGTCTCGTCTCTCATGCGCGGAAAAGGGTGAAAGCACTTTTGTGGCCGCCCCAAAACGGTTACGCACAACTTTGCTGTTAGCCCTGTCTCAAAAAGGGTCAAACCCAACGCCTTATGCATTCAAGAAGAAAATAACACAGCCCAAAAGTAAAGAGAATCAAGATGTTCAAAAGTTATACCGTGTGCCTTGTCGCGTTAGCGGTTTGCCTTGTCGACTGGTCGCCTTGAGCTCCTTGGGGTCGTCCGTGGCTCGTTTGGCTCGCTTGGTCGGCCGAGCAACATCAGCATGGAGGTGTCCATTTTCCGACAGAGCAGTCGTGTTCTGCCAGGCTAAGCAGCGGTGCTTGCGGTCGCCAACGTAAGTCCTTTTCCGTGTTGATACCCGTTTGATAGCCGTGTCCTCCGATTCAGCACGTTCAGCAGTTTGCCCCAGATACTCGTGACGGTGCTGCATGTACTTGACGATGATATGGCGTTGCGTGATGAGCTCCTTCCGTAGCTTCAGCTCCCGATTACCGCGCGAGTCCAGCCAGTCGATCAATTTATCGACGGATTCTGGATCATCGTAGTAACCCCATTCGCAGGCATTCGAGACGCTGGTGTCCCCTTCTTCGGCCACCTTGCGCTCGGCGGGCGTCATCTGGAATTCCTTCTGGTATTGTTTCTTGATGTCCTCAGGCACGTCGATGAATCCAGCCCGCTCCATCTCGTCAGGGCCTTGGACCCAGAGTCGACCGTTGGCGTATTGAGCTTCGGCCGTAGAACTGTCGGGCATACCGCCATAAGGCATCGCGTTCCGCTCAAACCACCAATACCGGTTGCAGAATCGATCCTTTCCGAGACATCGGGTGCGCGGGCAATCGGCTTCTCTTAGGTCATTGTCGACCACTTCAATCTTCTTTTCAAGTTTTTCTATGGTGACCTTTAGCTCATCAATCTTCTTGAGCACCTTTTGGTATTGCTTGGACCCCTTAGGCTGTTTGGCCAGTTGTTCCTTCCTCTCGCGCTCCACTTCCTGCCTGCGTTTTCGTTCATTGGCTCTGTCGGTGCCTCCACGAAGAGATGGCCCTTTCTTGACAGCATCTTCATCGTCAGTTTCCAGAGCCTCCGAGTCCCCGTCAATGCCTGTCATTTTTGAGTCTTCTTGACCTTCTTCCAATTCCGGTACAGGCGACGGTGACTTTTCCGGTTCTGGTTGGAGAGTCTTACGCTCCTGGTGCAACCGACGGAGCTCTTCCAGTCTGGTATCAAAAGTGTCAGTAAAAAGGATATGAAGTTTAACAAAGAATGTCTTACGCAGCTTTCCGGGCCCGTTGATATTCAATCTTCTCCTTACGGAACTCTGTCATCTGGTTACTGCACTCTTCGAGATAGGTCCTGATAGCTTTGGTCTCCAGACTGAGCATGCAAATGATCTCAAGAGCCCGCACGCGAAGATTGATATCAAGGGTTGCATATTGGCGTTGTGCGGTTTCCTGTGTTGGCTCTGCATCAAGTGGAGCCAGGTGTTTGAGGATATCGTTACAAACTTTTTCCATCCGAGGACGGGATGACAACTGGTGTAAGAGACCGATCATCACCATCTCCCATCCACCGTTACGAAAATCCCGCTTGCGTAGTCGATCGATCCAACCATAGTCCTTCAGCATTTCGGCTGCACGGTGAATTTGGGCTTCTTCGGAACTGGAACAGCTGCGGTCTACTTGCTCCCTCAAATTACCTGCCTCTGCCTTGGCCAAGCTGCTTCGTGTAGTCATACGCGTCACAGCCGGCTCCGGCTCAGGGCTCTCTTCCTCTTCGTTTTCTTCCTCGTCGGACTCGTCGGACTCCTCCGCGGGCAGATCCGGCAAGGAGATCTGGACTGCTCCATTCTGGTCCTTCTCGGAGTTGACCAACTTCTTTAGAACAGCGCAATGCATCTCCACAAAGAGTTGACAATCCACATCCTCTGAAGAAAACCGCATGGCCTGGAGGAAATCATCGAATGTAAACGAGTCCAGCTGAAACACTTCGCAATACACGTTAAGAGTGTTCCAGGTCTCTAGTAATAAGCCCACTGAATCTGACCGGAAACCATCGTGCAAAAGGTCTTCGTCATCCACATCATCGGTCTCGTTAGCGGCCAGGAAATCGAATGCTGGGCGCTGTTTCTTGTTTTCACGGACAGGCGCAATGTCTAGGTCTTCGATTGGATATTTGATCGGTGGCGGAGAAGGTTGCTTAGGGGTTTCATTCTTAATAACAGGGACGGAATTTTGGGCCTTTTTGTCAGATTCTTGGGACTTTGGAGGCCGAGTTGGTGTAGAAGCAGCAGGAGTAGGTGTGGTTGGAGCATTGGTGTTAATGATTGGCGTGTCGACGGTAGAAGTAACACCATTGCCACCGCCATTGTTGACGACAAAGGTTGGGTTTCCATTAAGCGAACGTTGATATTCGAGGAATTGCGCCTCTCTCGATCGAGCCAGTTCTTGTGGGGAGGGTTTGGCCTTTGGTCCTTTGACTGCGGGTTTCAGTTCCGGTAGTTGCTGCGATGCGAAGAAGCCAAAGAATCCGTCCTGGTCTGCTTTCTTCATGGCCTTCTTTTCAGCAACCTTGGCGCCATATTGCAAATGCTTCGGCACCTCCGTTGGGATTCTGTAGTCATCCGCAATGGATTGTTTGACCAACCAGGGGGCACCACTCCAAGATTCCCTCGTAACGTTGTTCTTGATAAAAGCACGTAGCATCTGTTTGGTAAACGTCTTCCGATCACGTGTAATGTGCTCTTGGTCTAGCAGCGCCTCTTCATTACCACTGTCGGAGACCTTGACTAGATACCGGGCATAAGCGGGAGTTTTCACGGTTCCGTCGGGGTTCAGCTGTTCCGCAAAGTTGGCCTTGTCTCTGATAATACCATGAAGTCGTGTGTTGTCCGTAAGTAGGATTAAGACGGGTTCACCGGGATAAAAATCCTGTTTGAATTCCTGGCCTTGTGTTTAGCGCTGCGTCACGTTGAGCATCCACCATCTGTATGGCCACTGCTACTAACCTCATAAATCTCATCCACTGTTCGAAAAAAAAAAAAAAAAAAGAAAAGGTCAGCTGAAAAGATACCACTGAAGAGTATGCAATAGAACCTACCCAGGTTATCCACCCTAGACACCGTCGAAAACTGTATCCGGCGTAAAATAGGTTCCTTCAGCGCTTCCGGGAAAGCACTATTGACCTCGCGCGACTCATCCATCTGAGACGAGTTGTTTTTAGTATGGAGCAATGGCGAAACGGAAAGACCTGGACTCCCGGCACGTACTTCGCTTCTGAGCGCTTCAAAAAATGTCAACCCCGAATGACCAGTAATCTCACAAATAAACCGGCGTTGTTTGTAAAAGTCCATGCGCTGGAGATACGGTTCGTAGTCGGTAAAGACCTCGTTGGTTTCTGGAATTACCCAGACCTATAGCAATCGCAGGTAAGCTGTCTGCGTTTCGTGGGCGACACGGCTCGGATTTCGCCAGTTGTACGTACTTCGGAGCTGTCATCCTCAATGACTGGCCGCGGGAGGTATTGGACGGGTTTTCGCTTGAAGAGCACCTAGTTGGAAAGAAATAGCATAAGCCTCTTGCTCAGAATCTCTTATTTCCTTCATGGTCTGTCCCCGTTGCACCGGTTTAAACTGCCAAAACATTTCATGACCCCATGGAGGTCTCAATGCATACCATGATCTTCTTATGAGCAGTGTGGTACGCGCGATTCGATCATAGATTATTGGTATCAAGTGTGTTGAGCATGGATTGGTCTTGGGAAATCATGCGAGCGGTTAGTACAAAAAAAACCGACGCATATAGTTCGTAGAGTGACGAGGTAGGTAGGAAAGGGAAAAGACAAGAATATAGATAGATCGGAGACCAGAAATTCGAGAACAGGGGGAGAGTGGAAAACGCATTGGTGCCGGAGCCGGTGCATTGTCCATAGCCTCACGGCCCACCGCGCAGCGGAAGTCGTGTGTAGGAGCAGTCCGAGGGAAACTCGCGCAGCCACGCAACGAATTGGGAAAAAAGCAGGTTGATGATGGATATACTTACCGATTAAACGCGTCCAATCGCGCTTTAAAACCAATGCGCGAAGCTATGAGAAAAACGGAGTGTGTGTGCAGGCGTGAATGTGTGCGTGGGTACCCCGTCGTGATAATAGCTTGCAGATTAGATTGAGCTCACGAGAGCGGCGTCAAAAAGACCAAACGGGTTAGTAGATATAAAGTTTAGTAGAAAGAACGATTATATGATTGAAGAAGGTGGTGGTAGAGATGGTGGTGAGTTGACGTGCTGTAAGGAGAGCGAGGGAAAAGAGAAGAAGAGAAGCGGTCGCCCCCCAAAGGGAGAAGAGAGAGAAAAGCGACAGAACAACCCCCGATGAGGATCATTGCGGCAAGTGGGAGGGCCGGCCGGTTTATCATGCGTCTTGATTGGCCGAGACGAGGAGGACAAGACCTCCCGGGCGGACAAAACGGGCAGTATTTTTTTCTGCCCTTTTGGGACTCTGCGCTTTGCCCTTTTTCGCTTTTCCCGTACGGCGGCGTTTTGCACGCGACTACATCTTGTATTTGTACTCGTTATGCTCGTCGAGAGATGTAGACTCTATTTATGTTTCATTTATCTTCATCATCCTGGCTTGTTTCTTCCTATCCGGTAAATTCATCCTGTGAGATGACGGATCTGACAGCTAACACGCTTCTGCAGGAGTCGCCGCGGTTTTAACGCCCAACAACCACGTACAGAAACAAATCATCTTATATGCTCAGGAGCCTCACTTGATCAAATTTGGAAACTAGAAGACTGAATTGAGTCTTGGGGTTTATTACCCTTCGATCGCGTATTCATTCCCGATCTAGTTAGGTATGGTCATTGTATCGAATCACATTGATAAAAGCACCTTCATGATACTCTGGATATCATTCCTCTCAGCAGACTTAGGTATGCCAATCACTTGCATCGCTGCATGGGACTATCATAGTATAAACTATCATTGCATGGGAGTGAATTCTATGTCCATCTAATCCGCCAGGAGCTCTGTCAATTGTCTCGCAATGTACTCACACGGAACTCACCTATTGCCCATCTAGGAGTATTCATCACGACACAAATTGATTGTGGTCGACGGCATCTTTCCACTACACTCCAGTCATCCGCATCCAGAGTCGCTTATGATTGGGCTTATACCTCCACTTATAACTACCGTGCTTATTCACTATATAATCTCCGGTCTCTCCCAATTATCCTTTCCTTTTTTATACTTTACTCAAAGGTATTTACTCGATTGTCACTGCTCGTATTCGCGAAATAAAATCACAGGCGACTATATGTATACATGCGCCATGTATGAAAAGTCCTATTAGGGCACAAGAGCGTTAGCGCCAATCGACTAATTATAGACTATCTATTCTAGAACATTACCGTAGTGGCACTAGTGAAATAGCATCGGTTAGATTCATTTATATAGCAGATAATCACGAGTAGCGCCGTAAGTAGGTACCGATTCAATACCCCGTGTCCGACAGTTTGCAATTAGAGGAATCTCGAGTATTCCGCAAGTCGCGAAAAACCCCAAGTACGAACATTACTGTAAGATGTACCCTCCCTGCCTATAATTGTATCTTCTTAGCTTTACATCTTACCCATTGATCTATCTAGTACAAAGTCACGCATACAGTACTTAAAGTGATGCTATTGCTCGTCTTTTGACGCAACACCGCCTCACCTGACAGCCCTAAATATAGTCGACCATTGAGCGTCTGGCAAAACCAACACCTAAATAAAATAGTACAATAGCAATGAAAATAGTAATTAAATAAGTATCTTGTATAAACAAAACAACTACGCTCGCAATACCTCGTAGCTGTTGAACCATGGAAAATGCGAGTCTAGCCTGTTTGGGTCTGGCGGCTAATAGACTTCCACGGATCGGGTGGGTCCAGGCTCCGAGGCACGTGGGCCGCCAGACAAACGCGTCAAACATCGTCGTGATACATTACATCATTGCCTAAACAATTGGAAAGATATAATATTATATATTTTTAAAGATCTTGAGATCATGCTGCGAAATAAACCACCATAAATCCAACCCAGCTACCGACCACACCCATCGCCGAGTAACTGCTCATGAACATGAGCGGCAGAAATTCGTGCCGTCCCAGTCCAAAGATCAGCTGATGCAGCAACGAGCAGTACATGATCAGTGGGATGGCCACCGTCAAATACAGCAGGGATAAGCGGTCGAAGATAAAGATTCGCTGTTGCTCCGCGACGGGCGCAACCCGGTCAAAGACGAACAGGAACAGCATCAGCCAGAAAATCGTGTAGACGGTTTTGATGGGGAATTCTGCAGTCGTAAAGAGCAATGGAAAAAGCGACACATGTCCTGCGACCGCAAGGGGACGGAAAGCACTAAAGTATCGTCGGTCTCTGAGAGCAATCAAGCTGAATGGGATGATGATCAAGAGGACGGCCTTCTCGTGGACGTGCCACCCAAACAGGAACGAGGCATATCCGCAGAGAGTGACAGCGCCCACAAAAGTATCCCAGGTGGGATTGAACCATAGCTTGATTAACGGAAGCTGCAAATGATCAGCATGCATTACAGGAATAACCCAATAGGATAGTTAGGCAGCGCTTACCACCTGGAAGATAAAAGTCAACGCAAATGTGTGCTCCTTGGTAACCTCTGGAAGGATGGCAAACGAAGTGTCGCCAACCAATCCGCGTGTGGCACTGGTAAGCGCAGCCTCGTTAACCGGAAGGCCCAAGCGTGGTGCGACTAGTCGAGTTAGCCACATCCGTACTCAAAGAAAGCAAGGTGATACAAACGTTGAATCAGAAGACGATCCGTGAACGAGTACATAGCCCAGATATTAGGTGCCCAATAAGCATGGCATAGGCCCCTGGAGAACGGGAAAAGCCTGTCCTTCAGCTGGAGTAACTGATTCCAGTGGGCAAATGGCCCGAAGGCCAAACCAAACACGCCCAACACACCCACCCCAAGTTTGAAAGTATTCCCAAATCGGGGTCGGAGAACCGATTTGGGATCAAGACAGTAGGCCCGCAGCAGGTACACAAACCATGCCAACGCAAGATAGAGATGGATGTGTTTCAGACATAGTAAGATCGCGAATGTGATGCCACTATAGAGAAGGGTGGACTGTTTGCGGGCCTGAACGATCGACAGTATCAGGAGTCCATACAAGAATCCATTGTATTGGAAATGGATGTGGTCGATGATCAGGAGCCCGGGGGACAACAGGATCGAAAGGCTAGCGATGTGGGCAAGGTGCGTGTTCGGTTGAGGAACGGACTTGATGAATCTAGATTGAGACACAACCAATCAGTCCCGGAATTCCGACAAGCAATCAGTAAAGCTGCACGTACCTTCTCAGGGCATAAACCAGGACAAGCTCCGTGAGAATAACCGTCGCCCTTTGAAAATAAACCGTCTCCCAAGAGTCATAGTTGACGTTGCTCACAACCAACATGGCCGGATCTGCATAACGCGCTGCCTGTGAAAGCAGCCACTCGAAGGCCGCGAAGAAGGGAGGGTAGTCCAATGTCCATTCCGATGTTTTCTGGTATCGCCCGACTTAGCATCCCTGATGTTTATGAATATCCCGACTTGTCATACCTCATAATACCACTCCTTAACCGGCAGCGAATGTGTAATGGCGAGCCAATTGCGATGTACTTCAAAATCGGTAGATTTGCTGTATGGGAGAAGAGCGCTGTTAGCAAGCTACCATTCACATCATGAGACGGACAACATACTAAGCGGGGAAGAGGAGGATCTTGAACGCCGTCGCGACGATGGCGCATTGCGCCAGGGAAGGATACAGCTCAGCCATTGAAGCTGATGCACATCAAGCCGCGTCGAGCATTCAGCCCGAGTCGAGGAAATAAAGTGAGGGTGAAAATTGCGACCAATGATTAACACAGCTGGACCTCCATAACTTTGTCGAAGAAAATCGGCGGGTCGATCTGCGGAGGATATCACGTGACAAGCTATAAACAGGTGGCCGTTCGAGGACTCGAGAGAAAGAGGCTAAACTCAATCGCTCAACGTTACAATCGTCAAGCCAGCGCAAATACTTCATGTCTGACGTCGCAGTCCGGCACTCTGTTGCTCTCGCTGACAACCTCCAAGTCCACCACTTTGTTGACATCTCCCCGGCTGCTGTCTCCGTTGCGCGAGAGATCCGCTACTGTGTGATCACCCTGGTGATTGGGTGGACGACAAAGCAGCTGGTATCTGTGTGGCTGGATCGCAAAGCTCCTGATCGTAAAGAGTAATAAACTCTTTTATCTTGGATAGGAGGAGTATAGCTATTAGGCTACTTGCAACGTGTCTCCTGAATTTGGATATCTATTGAAACGGCATCATGAAGCTCCAAGCATTGTCATTCTCGACCCTTGTGGCTGCTGTGGCGGCTCAATCGGTTATTGAGAGCTCCAGTTTTGGACAGAATCCAAGGTAGGCCAATTCCACCCCGATCATACATGCATGAAGATCCTTATCTAATTTCATATAGAATCTCGCCCTACAAAGATTCAATCCCCGGTTGGCAAGTTGGAGGGGACGGCCATGTGCCTCAGATTGTGCGTTTTCTAATTGATCTTAGGCTGGCAGTTGGGTTGCTAACACCATGATAGATGTCTGACAAGATCATCTTGACTCCTCCTTACCCAGGTATTGTGAGAGGATCCGCCTGGACACAGAGCCCGTAAGTTGTCTTCATATTCAAGGTGTCAGTATTTACTAAACAATAATAGTATCGCGCAGCCTGAATGGACTGCAGAATTCCAGTTCAGAGCTACTGGCCCAGAGAGAGGAGGCGGAAATCTCCAACTATGGTACACCAAAGATGGACAGTCCAAAGTTGGCACCTCCAGCATCTACACCGTTGGCCAGTTCGACGGTTTTGCACTGGTTGTTGACACGCATGGAGGAAGGGTATGTCCCTTTGCATCCCAAATATACCCTAATAAGAGGTTGACTCTGTTTAGGGAGGCAGCATCCGCGGATTTCTCAACGACGGCACAACAGATTACAACCGTCACCGGAGTGTAGATAGCCTGGCTTTTGGCCACTGCGACTACCCATACCGTAACCTGGGCCGTCCCTCTGTCGTGCGTCTCAAGCACACGAACTCTATCTTCGAAGTGACCGTGGACGATAAGCTCTGCTTTTCAACGGACAAGGCATGACCACCTAATTACCCCATTGCAGTAATGTCTCCCATCTCTAACAGTATACAGGTCTCTCTCCCCGTCGGAAACAACTTCGGCATGTCAGCCGCAACGCCCGAAAACCCCGACTCCTTCGAAATCTTCAAATTCGTCGTACAAACCATTCAATCCGGCACCAACCCCCCACCACCCCCACCCCACCAGCAGCAGCAACAACCCATCGTCGTCCAGCAACGCGACACCACCAACGCCCCCAATACCCAGGACCAGTCCTCAATCAACCAACAATTTACAGACCTAGGCAACCGCCTCCAGCAAATCAACCACGCAACCAACAACATCATCCGCGACATCGGCAACCAAGACTCCAAGAGCGACTCCCGCAACGCAGACATCCTCCGCAAACTCGACCAAGTCATCGCAGGCCTCGATGCTAGAATGCAGCGTCTGGAGACGAATATGCAGACTATCCAGCGCGATCTCGAGGGTAAAGATTACCGGGACCGCTTCGCGCAGTTGCAGGAGACGCTTAAGTCGTCGCATTTGAGTCTGAGTGAGAATTTGCAGACGCATTTCCTTGATGGTAAGCTTTTCTCTCCATCTAGATAATGGTGTTTATTCTAACGAAAGCAGTTATCACCGCTTCGACGCCTCGTATGGGTTTCTTTATTGTCCTTATTATTTCGTTCCAGGTGTTCCTTGCTGTTTCTTACGTTATTTACAAACGTCGTCGCGCGAACGCGCCTAAGAAGTTCCTCTAGAGATTTAGGTCGTTGGTGTCATTTCAATGTTCTTGGGAATGTCTGTTATGATTTATTGGTTGTGGTAGAAATGATTTCTTGATTTTTGCTTGACTGTTCTTTCATCTGTCTTTTGATTAATCTATTTTGCTTTATCTTGCCTCTGTATATCACAAGATTTGCTAGGATTCTGGGTTGCAATACATACTCGAAAGCCAATCAAGAGAAAACATCGAATTGACAAGACAAGCCTTTGTATCTGCGTAGAAAGATTATAAAAACAATAGTAACAACGATACCACCTCTTCCAGTTTATTCCGTCAATAGAACGAAGTTGTAGAAGGCCACGAATTGAAAAGACAAGAGTAGCGTAATTGTGGCAAGAGAAGAATAACGATTTGTCGTAAAATCTCAATCTTTCCACTTCCACCCCCACCGAATGCAAGCGCAATACAATAAGGCAACCTATTCAGAGACCAACCCAATCGGTCCAGCCCGAGTAGCACGGCCAAATGAAACGGAAACAGGCATGCGAAAGACCGCTGAAATGGGGCAAGTCTCCATAACGCCAGAGAAAGCAGAAATACAGAAAAAGAACAGGAAAGAGTTGGAATTCTATAGGACGCTCCGAAGGTCCAAAGGGAAGATCACCAAAATCAGGGAGAACACCAAACTCCATGGCTCCGTAACGATGCACCTCGAAACATCAAAGGAGAAAACGAACAAAGGACAAATTACAGGATAATGTAATCAAGGCATACTCAAAGAAAGAGAAAGAAACGGGAAAGCTTCACAGCTCCTGGCGGAAATCCCGCAGGAATTTAAGTCGATCTTCGATCGATTTTTGTAAAGACTGCAGCGAGTCAAGTTCTGTTTGGACCGATTCGACCGACCCGGCATTTCCATGAGTAAGGGCAAGCAAGCTCATGGCGGCATCTCGGTCATCGGTGGTTCGAGGAGCCACGGTGTCCTCCACGGGCGCGGGAGGCCGCGGCTGGCGTTGGGTCTTGTAATAGGAGCGAGCGTTGGCGGTCAGATTGTCGAGCCGCTCCTTCGCGTAAGCAAAGTATCTCTCGGCGGCAGCCTTTTTGGCTTCCGCTTCAAACCGGTCACTGGATATATTAGCGATTTACACGATGAGAAAGAAGGGATAAACAAGGCAACATACCGTTTTACCTTCTCAATGAAGCTTAGCTTAACGCCGTTCTCCGAAACGCGATACTTCTCCCCTTGGTGTGTGAGCTCCCTCATGTGCGCTTCCTCGTCCTCTTCATCTGGAAGGATTTCGATATCGACCAGTCGAGGGCGCTTAATGCTGCGAATGCGCCGGCGATGTTCGTAGCCCTCTTCGTCGTAAACCAAGTAGGCCAGGTCATGGTAGACATGGTTGGGACACATCCAATACCTATGGCCCTGTTCAGGATGTTCCCTTCCTGCCGATGTTTGGACAGGCGGGTTCGATGTGATCGGGTCGGTGCAGTCCAAGTGAAACGAGCAGGGACAGTAATCACACTGAATAATAGGCCTGTCATGAAGACTTGTTTTTCCACAAACCATACAGAAGATAGGGGTTTCCCTTGATGAGTTGGGAAGTCTTTCGTAGAGCCTTCGGAGGTTCGGATCACTGTAGTTTGCGAGTCTGCTTCCCCGAACATTACGAGGAGCAATTCGAGGGAATGGTGGCCCAGCTGGTTCATATCGTCCACCTTGCTTTTCATTCGATGTGACACCAGCAAAGTAGTCCTTAATCTCAAAGGGCAGCTTGAAATCTTGTTGTTCGACACTATAATCCAAAGTACCAAGGAGTGCACGCATCGGCCTCGCAATTGAGCATTTCGGGCAGTACCATTCGCCTTCGGGCGGATTTGCAGGATCCAGGGGTGGTTCAAGACAGGAGAAATGGAACGATTTCACACAACCGTCACAGCATAGCAACTGCCCACTTCGATTGCAGTTATGGCAAAAGTCGTTGTTCTCCGAGTATTCATCGTCGCTGGAACAGGTTAGATATATTTTTCTTCAAAAGGCCGAGGAAATAAAAAAAAGAAAAAGGGGAGGGGGGAGGTGGAAACATACGAAGTAGCTATGCGTTGGTTATCGGGGGCCTCGCTAGTCTCGCGAGAATCTGATTGCCCCCTGTCATTCATACCATAGCCCCGAGACAATCCAGGCGACGCAAAGTTGGATAGAGACAGCGAGCTGCGGACTTTGCTTTCTGGAATATCAAGCTCCGGAAGTTTCGGCTGCAAACGGTCCCGCTTTTCGTTAACGGCTTCTTCTGAGAAATCGGGATTGACTTCCATGGCGCGCTTTCGTTGAGTAGACGCTTCTGCGTTGCTTGGAAACGCTGAGCGGCGAACCGGGGGAATCGGGTTCTTTGGCTTGGGTTTGAGCGCTGTGATCTTGGTTTGCTTGCCTTTTGTGCGAGAACGGGTGTTGCTTGTCGCAGATGTCATTACTGGCGCAAACGTCTCAGCATCAAGTGACTTTGCGGATGATAGCGAAGATACACTACTGGCAGATCGCGTCCGAGTCATGGCAGGGGGTTGGGCATCAGAGCCATCGGTGTCCTCCCCGTGTTGAGATTCGTCCCATGCGGCGCGTATAACCGTTTTGAACGCGGATGTTTCGCGGCGGGTAGGATTGTCTCGACATATGCCATCCAGGATGGATAACATGGATGAATCATTAGAGGTGTTTTCCCATACATTTAAAAGGGTGCGAATGACTGCCTTGTTGCCCGTCTGGACACCTTGGCGGACAGCATCCTTAACCGCGTCCTTGATTCGGTCAACGTCAAACTCATCGGAAGACGGAACTGGAAGTGCTGAAAAAATGGCGAGATGATCTTTCTTTTGAGCTTTTTCTTTTGGCTGAGCGGGCGCGGGAACCGGGATCGGTTCCTCGACAGGGACATCGGGGGATTTTGATTTTTTGTCGCCTGCATCGCCAATTTGCTGAGCATTCTGCCCAGCGTTCTGCTCCTCCTTGTGAATGCCATTTTGCATTATTTGTGACGCTTCTTTGAGTGGTAATCTAGGGGTAACCGGCTTGGACGGTTCTAAGCCCACTTTCCGCAAATCCGCGGCTGTTGGCATTGACCCTAGGGGTCGCATGGTTGACAATACGGGATTCGTATCGCTGGACATGGCGGACCACGGCGAGTCCATATAGCTTGGGACCGCAGGTCTCACGGGCGGTTCAGTCCATCCTGTTTGTGGCGCGCTAGAGTTACTCTCAATCTCGGCTGTGAATTGTTCGGGATGCGACTGCGAGCCCTGCGGCGGGTCGGATGCTACTCGTGTGTTATGGCCTGTCCGTCTTAACTTTCGAGGTCTTGATGATTCTGCTGCCGAGGAAGGACGAGCAGTAGTCGGCGCAGGCGACTCGACGGGCGTCGATGGACGTGACGAGGAACGGAGTTTCCGAGCCATCGCTGCCAGAAAAAGGGCTCGAATTAGAGCGGCACCTAAGAGACACCAGATTAGCACAGCGCCGAATACACAATTACTATAAGCCCGAAAAGTGGCAGGAATACTTACTAGAAAGAAGAAACCACGCGCAAACAGCGAGCGTGCTCGTCGTTGCAGGGTGGAATGGTGGCCAGCCCGCGCGTTGTGATGCGGGTTTGGAAAAAGAGAAGCTTGCGGAGTTTCGGCGACGGGAGGTTTTCGAGGAGCCCAAGTCACACTTCCCAGGGGGCAAATGACAACAACCGCCAAATCTGCACCGCAGAATTCAATAGTTAGACTGGGATTCTTCCTGTATATTCTTTCTTTCGATCATACAGAATGCGATATTTCGTTATTCAATAGAGGCAACACTCACCTGATGGTCTTCCTGACACAGCTTACTGGAGGGTTCCGGCAAGGAGAACAGCCTCACGGAATCAAAGGGAATATAGGTTCCGGTGAGGCAAAGGATGACTGTTAGAAGTCGTGTGACGGTTTCTGTAGTGATTCAAATGTGAATCAATGAAGTTGAGCTGCGTATGTCAGTAAGAAGGGTTGATCTTGATGTTGTAAGACGGAATGCCAGGAATGAGAATGGCAGGACCAATACATAGTAGGCAAGCAAGTAGATGCATCAAAAAGCAATATACGCGATAGTGAAAAGAACGGTCTGTATAATGTGCCAGCTGCCCCAGGAAGGTTCAAGGAAAAGAAGGGGATAACCAACGTGGACTCGGGACAGGTGGCTATCATCGTACCACAGATGCCGAATGCATTACTTACCAGGAAGATAACTAAGGTGTATTCGATTTAAGTCTGCAATGGGTTGCAGCTGTGAGTAAGACTAACTTGCAGCTTTTCTCGCTCGAGATGCGCTTCTCGTGGCGTGTTGAGCAGGATTCCGGTAGGATGCGTGGGATCTGGATAGAACAGGAAATGTGCAGAGAAATAGGACACTCGAGTCCAGTTTCCTGTGATGTGATGGAGGTAGCACAACTGAACTGAAGCAAGAAGAGATGTGATGGTTTTCAAGGGGTGTTGATGGTGAGATGAGGAAGGAAGAGACAGAAATCGAAGCAGGAAATGGAAATGTAGAATTCAAAAAGGCGAATATTCTCTGCCAGAGAGTAGAGATTACTCTAGTTCTTTTTTCTTCTTTCTTTTCCCTCTTCAGTCAGTCACTGTGGTCTTGTGAATACCAGTGTGCGTGGTGCCCTGTCCAGCCAGGCCCAAGATGAATATTCAAGAGAAGAAAAGGAGGGATGAAACTTTCACTTGAAGAGAGTGAGAGTCACCTTTTCGGAGTGATGAGTTACAAGGGAATAAATGAAGAGTGCAAAATGTTGCAGGCAGTGTGGAAATGCAGAAGGCGCAAAGGGAGAAGACGAAAATCGCGAATATACGCGAGATAAGTCCGAATACGAAAACGAAGAAGCGTCTATGCGAAAGACAGCAACTCCAAATGACAGTGAGAAGCGAAAATAGAAACTCTGGGAATGGCTTCGTTGAGGAGTGCTGGAGGTGCGAAGAGAGTGGGAGGGAAAAAAGATGGGAAGGAATACACGGGGAAGTGGAAGATGCACTTCAGCCACCACGCCCAGCGGAGGTGAATACAAACCACCACAGCGGGACAAAACGGAAATGGTTGAGGACGAGAACAGAAAAAGATAGACAACGCTGTGAGAATTTCTTCTCAGGCTTATACACATATATGATCGCTACAGCTGTCAGGTGACATGGCATCCATGGCCATGGCCGATGCGGCTATTGTGAGACCGGGCAATGAAGGATACGACTCATGTCCCTAGTCACTGCGGAATGGAGATGAATTGTATATCCAGGTCGAATAGAGACTTCTCAGGAGTTAAAACAGAAGACAACTTCACATTGAACTGTCTCGATGATGATGCATCAGCAACTCATCGACCTGTCTGGACAGAACAATAACAGAAAACCAAGAATCCATGCAGAGGCACCAATAGTATTTCCTGTGTTGATCGCCTATTCTCTCTTCTGTATTGTACATTTGTGAATGATCTGGCTGGTTGCGGCGGCAGTTCTGTCGCTGGGGCGTGCTGGCTGGTGTGGAAGATTGAGGACGTCATGATAGCTCAGGAATCATGCATAACGAACATCTCTCAACATCCAGATTGCTGTACTTCATCAAGATTTGAGGCCATGTCTGGAGGCCTTTGAAGGGCCGGCTTCAATTGAACCAGAGATCATTGAGGTCCTATGCACTACTCCATTAGCTTTCTACTATACAGTGACATCGTTTATACCGTTGAGGCATAGCAAAGAATTGCAAAATGATCTTTTTTTGATGAGTTTTTGGCTCGTAGCACTGTTTTGCCTGTGACTAATTACGGCACATAAAGTTCCAACAAATGCTCCATGACACAAGGAAATAACACAAATAAATAAAAAAGAAAAGTAATAAACCTCACATTGCTCCCTTGTACCGATCAATATCTACTCGATTTCCTGAATGCCCGGTAGCAACTGCTTCAGGTCATTCCTCGCAAACCGCTTTTATGGTACCGGAGCATTGACAAGGTCTGCCGTTGTTGCCTTCCTTCCTTTCTCTTCCCATTTTGGTGATAAAAAAGGAGTCAAAAATAAACGGCCGTCGTCTTTGTCACATGGGTTTAAATGGCAGACGTGTGCATGTATATGTGGGCGAGTGGGTATGTGGAAGGCAAATTATTCCCAGTGGGAAGAAATTTACTCTTCCTGGGCACCGTCGGTCTTCTTGGCGGCCTTCTTCTTCTTGTTCTTGTTAGTCTTGTTGCCGGTAGAGCGGGCCAAGGGGCGCTCCAGGATCTTGAGAATCTCCTCATCCTCGATCTTCTTGTCGGTCTGGTACTTGGAGAGGTCGGGAGCGTTGGGTGCGGCCAGGCGGGTGATACCGTTCTTGGTGATGGCTGCAATGTGTTAGTTCCAAGTCGTACCCAAACGGGATGCTTAAATAGGGCAATCATACCAAGAGTGGTCAACAGACGGGAGACCGGAGCGTTTTCGGAGTCACCGGCAGGCTCGTACTGTCTCAACACACCATTGCGGACACACTCGACCACACCAACCTTGGCGGCCTTCTCGTCCTCGAGCTGGCGCAAACTGAAGGGGAATTGACCGAACTTCTTGACAACCTCCGACAGGGTCTGGCGGGAGCTGGGACGCTTGAGGATGTAGGTGGTGGTAGTACGGCGATGCAGGGTAGCGCGAAGGGGCAAGTCCTTGACCTTTCCGGAGCCCAGAGAAAGACCGACCTCGACACCCCAGACTTCGCCGACGGCAGGGACGCCATCGCCACGGACGCCGTTGGCGGGGGAGAGGATGATCTTCTTCTCACCCTCGATCTCGTTGCGGTCGAAGATCCAGCTGGTGGTGTTCTCAACCACGTTGCACTCGTAGGCCTTGGCGACCTTCTCGAGCAGGCTGGAGATGTGGGCTTGCGTAGGGGCCTTCTCGGCGGCAGCCTTCTTCTTCTCCTCTTCGGTACCGCTGGCGAGGAGACCGGGGGGGACCATAAGGCGCAGCAACAGTTCGTTGGCGTAGTAGGTAGCGTGGACCAGGTCGGCCTCACGGCCGGTGACGACGTCGCCAGCACCAACGATGATCATGTCGCAAACAATGGTACCGAAACCATCGATCTGAGCACCGAGCTGGATCTTGACGACCTCGTTTGCCTTGAGGGTCACCTCGGCTTCCTCCTTCTCGGACACCAAGGGGGTGTAGGGAGTGACGTAGGAGCTAGGAGAAACGGTAGTCGGGTGACCGATACCTGTATATCCACGGACGACCGGTTAACAGCTGTGGCCAGACTCGACGACCTGACAATTGGGAAACGCACCCTTGCTAATCTTCTTGCCCTTGTAGACCTTGGAGATCTCCTCCTCGAGCAGCTGGTCACCCTTCTGGCAGAGCTCCACGATCTTCTCGCCCTCCTTACACCATCCTAAGCAACCGGGTTAGGCATTTTTTGATCTCCGATTGGGTGTTCCGGAAACAAGACGACGAACCTGCGACGGCCTCGAGGACTTTCTGAGAGATAGCAGCAGCGGTCTTGTACTTGGTCAAGGTATCGGGGTTGTTGAGGGAGTAGTCTGTAGAGCGCGCATCGATCCACGCGACTGGTTAGCTAGCTTGTTCCAACGGACGAATGGGTAATATCATCAGAGCAAGAGCTCTTGTGACAGATGAAAATGCTTGTATTGTAGGTCTTTCCCTTGCTCTTTTCTTATTTCATTTTTTGCCAATTTTTCATGATTCCACCGATTGAAGACGATTGAAGACGATTGAAGGTCCAGAGCTGCCAATAAGCAGTGACTTCACTTACCAACCTCGGGGGCCTGAGTGGCCTGGGTGTTCTCAGCCATTGTGAAGTAGAAAGGAGATCCTCGCGTCGATGCGAGTGACCGTTAAATATCAAATAAGTAGATAATAAGTAAATCAGGGTTCCAAAGAGGAAGTAAGAGAGAGGAAGAGTCGAGGCACGTTCGGCGGTGGTGGTTTTAGCGGGGTTTTTCCCTATGGAATTTATTTTTGATTTTTCGGTGGGTGAGAGACCGCTAGGGCTTAACGTCATCGCCGTCATCCACCTTGAGCTCTTTGTTTACTACTTCTCTAGTGCACACTTTCTCCTCTTTGCTTTGCTCTAATGATGTTAATTAACTGACATGACCTGCAGAAGCTCTGACAGTTTCCTGTCCGCGGGAAAACATGGCCCAATCACAGTGGTTCAGCCTGGTGTGGCCGTTGTCGCTTTCTGGCTCGGCTGAGCTGGGATGAATTCTTCCCCTCAGTTACGTATCACCTCGGTTCTGTTCGTCTCGAGAAATCACCGACATCATCATCTTCTTCCTGTCTCCGTTACATCGCAATGCAGATCCTCACGCAACTGCCGCTCCGCATCCTGACGCACAATATCCGATACGCGACAACCTCGCTTTTCGAAGGAGAGCGGCCGTGGGCGGAGCGCAAACAGCCCCTACTCAATGAAATTCTCTACAATACTCGAAATTTAGACGCATTCATATGTCTGCAGGAAGTGCTACATTCACAACTGATCGATATCCTCTCCGAGTTGAATCAGGATTCTCAGCAACAGAAACCGTGGGCATACATTGGTGTGGGAAGGGATAACGGAGAAAAAGCCGGTGAATATTCACCCATATTCTATCGTCCTGCAGTCTGGCAGCCCCAACACTGGGAAACTGTCTGGCTTTCAGAGACACCGACCATTCCCTCCAAAGGCTGGGATGCCTCGTCGATTCGTATTGTCACGGTCGGTATTTTCACCCACCGCGTCAGTCAGCGGACAATCCTCTCAATGAACACCCATCTGGATGACCAGGGGTCACGTTCGCGCTTTCAGGCAGCACATATAATCCTCCAGAAAATTCGCGAGTACAAGGAAGGCGAATGGGGAAACATCATCTCGGGCATCTTCCTGACAGGAGACCTGAACAGTGAGGAGTATCAAGAGGCTTATCAGGTACTAACCGCAGCCGATTCTCCTGTAGTTGACATAGCCAAACTGGTGGATGTTAAAGAACATTATGGCGACTGGATCACTTGGACCGGTTTTGGTCATGAACCGGAACCGCCTTCACGTTTAGACTATATATTTTTGGACGGTGGTCACTCGCCATGGAAGGTCCAAGGGTATGCCGTGCTACCCAATCGATTTGAGGATGGAATATATAATTCGGACCATCGTGCTGTCGTTGCGGATGTTGTCTTGAGTTAGCATTTTCGCACTTTGAAATGCGCGAATTCCGAGATGCTTAGGATGGTATACCTGTTTGCTCATGCATGATGGCCACTTCCTGAAACCAGTGACGATTCTACGCGGACGCGATCCGGTTAAATAGGACAAACAAGAATAGGTAATTGGATATGCCGACCATAATATTATAAGACACATTCCAGATTCAATATATACAATCCAGTCCCGGTACATAAACCGTCCGGCAAACACTTTCACCAAATCTCAACCTGAAAAGCCCTCGTCGGCTCGGAGATCGATCCTTACTAAAACCGTCTTAAATGTTGTTGAAGAGAGGGCCAACGACAGGAACGTTGTTCAAAAGTGGCCCCAGTACAGGGATACCAGCAGGCGCAACCGCTGAACTGGAAATCTGAGGAGTGGCACTGCTGGCTGCGGCGGCGATGGATTGAGAGGACGGGGTCGGGAAAGACGGGGTCGCCTGAGGGAGGGCAACGGCGACGGCTGCGAGGATGGGGAGGGAGACAATGGAGAACTTCATTTTGCTTGCGTGCTTTTCGAGGTTTCACGATTAGAGTTTTCCGAAGTAGAAAAAGACAGTCAGACCTACCTGGAGGCGTATGGAATACGGAGTAGTTAATGGGGAATAGTGAGCGTCCTTGGTGAATGAAGGGTAGTCTGTCACAGTATTTAAGTCTTGAATCTTTCTGCCTGTGATATTCATGCCCCTGAGGACAATTGTATGATTTTCAATCACTGTTTAACAGCTGAAGATTGTAGCAGATCACTGAACATGCTGTGATCTTTGTTTTGTAGATCACTATCTTGCACAAAGTTTAGTGGTGTGCACTTCGTGTACTTTTTTCTCAGTTGCAGGATCCTGCCCTACTTGGGACTTTCTTTCTTCAGAGTACAGTGTACTCTGAAGACTTCTTTCTCTTGTGGTTGGATATATTTTGCAATATTACTCAGTACAAAGTCCAATCCACCAGCCAGACCTAATGATTTAATTACATAGTGGTGATCATCACGATACGGGTCATGTCATCACTCAGGGCAATTTGCATATAATCACCACTGGTTGTGTGATTCAGCCGTTGTTCCAGGAGGAATGTGCTCGGAAATTTCTGGCCTCACTGGAATAGAAGGATTGCTAGCCATGGTACTTTATGGGGGGATGGCTCACTGTATTTGTGTCGATCTGATCCATCAAGTCAACAAGCCTACTGAGTATACGATAGTTGGATGCTTCCGTAGTAGACACTTCCACCAGAGCCCAGCTTCAAGAGCGAAGTACTTGTAAGACCAGGCAATCTGCTACTCCTGAGATTTATTATTCAAAGCTTCGATAAGAGCGCGATCAAGGACCAAGAGGCAGAATAGACCCAAGTCCAGGCAGCAGCAGTTACTCCTGAGATTCATAGCGATTTGCACAATTATGGTTCTGGGATGAGCTCGCCTGGCCAAAGTGTCTTCGGGAAGCCGATCATGGAGACGATCAATAGGGACTAATGCAGTACTCTGGGCACTATGTACTATGTATGCATAATTTCACACTGGCAAGATTCTATTTTGCAATCGGAAATTTGGAATGGACGTCCGCATTTCTAATCGGTACTAGAACCACAGAACTCAATCTTCTCGTCTAGAGTATTTCCATCGTTGGGTATTGGAGGCTGAATTTATGTAATGTACAATGACCCGCGCCTCCCTCAGAACAGGGCTCAATCAAGCAGGCAGCGTAGGCTTGGATGAAAGGCACTAGCTCTAGCTATGAGCAGGTTCGTTGAATTTGATCCCCTTAAGAAGGGTGGGAACAAACGACAGAACACCATGAACCCCTTTATCCTCGCCTCCTTCTCTTTTAGCCATGGGAGCGGCTTCTTCGGCGGTATTTCTGTTCGAGCTGTCGCTGGCGAGGTTGACGGAATTGCTGTCGTGGTTTGCTTCAAGAGGAGCGGCAATGGCAGCAGTCGCGATTGTTAGGAGGAAGGTGATGCTGGAGAACTTCATACTGCTTATGTGGGTGTGTATTTTCTATGTGGATTGTTAACGAATATGTTCTGCAATTGTATGTGGTCTTAGGATGACGATGGACCTACCTGGAGACGGTCGTAAACGTGAAATCGTGTGAGGATGAAAATCAGAAGAGAAAAGTACCTAACAGGGTCCATTGCGGTATTTAGATCAAATTTATAAAGACATAACTCCTTACATATCACCCGTGCTCTGAATTGTTTACCTATCCCTTTGGAATGCTCGTACATAGTATCACTACGGCTTGTAGGAATCGGGCAACTAGGATAGAAAGCGACCGCGTTCAAGCTAGTTCAACACTTCTATTTGTTTAATGATAAATTGTCTGAGCTTTCAAGGGCCATCGTTAACGTCTATATCCAAGTCAAGACTATTTCCTCGAATTAGAAGGGTTGATACTTTCCGAGACAACAGGGAATGTAGGGTGGAAATCAGCCCGAAAGGGCATAAAATTAGCGGTTATGATAGGCTTTTTGGACTTGTTTTTTTTTTATAATGCCCGACACTAGGTTAATGTCATTTCATTGAAATCTATCAGGAACACGGTCTGGGAAGGCCACCTTCAACTTATTCCATAAATCTCCCACCTTTCGATCTAAACAAAACGCGTGGGCGAAAACGGAGCTAAAGCCCAAAGCACGACGGAGGCATCGACTTTACTCATCTTCAAATGGAGGGAGTCCAACAATTTCCGTAAGGAGGGGGCCGACAATAGGAAGAGACCCCAGAACAAGTCCCTGTCTGTTGGTGATCAAGGTCTTGGGGTTCGAGTCGATGTTGGCAGTAGGGTCGGCGGCTGTCTTGGAATCGAAGGGGGTAGCGATAGTGACAGCCGCGAAGAGGATCGGAAGGGGGGCAACGCTTGAAAGACGCATTCTGTTTGGAGACAAGTTGATCTGTTGATTCTAACTTTTAGTGCGAGTATATACGAATACTACCAGTTTCAGAGCAGGAGAGAATTGACCTACCTGGTGAAGTTGCTGTATCTATAGAATATTGAGCTTAAGAAGGGAGATATTCCATTGCTTTATTGACGTCAAATGTCTTCATTGTTAATGTCAGATCCCTGATGAAAGTCAGTATTGTGTCATCCAGTGCTGTATATCCGAACCATCCATTGTCTGTATTTTCCACATCAATCAGAGTCCCCAGAGTTTCCAAAGTCCCGAAGTAGTCGGACATGATCCATGGTTCAGCCCACGTGGGGGTTTATTACCGTAGTACCAAAAGCTATTTTCTAGAGCATGATATGTTGCTGGTAGAAAACAGTAGTTTCCACTTATTTCCATGCAGCAGGCGCCAATCTTGAATAATAAACATGTAATTGCGGTCACTTAGCATGCCAGGATCCCATTCCAAAATTTATTAGTACTTCATTGCTTTTATGGGATATAAACCGTTTGTGGATAATGTACATATTCATGAAGATGCTAGTGTAGGTTGACTCTGAGTACTTTGTATTTTTGAAATAGTGACCTAAGAGTGAGAGGATAGAGGGTCTTGGTCATAGATGGAACTATAGAATTCCCATACGGAGTGCTGATGGTGAACTTCAACTTGGGATCTTATGCAATAGCAAATGGAGAGAAGAGCAGACTGCACTTATCTTGACGGTGCAGCGATTGTAGGAGAGGACATAGCTATGGGGTAATTGCTGTACTTAGCCGAGTTAACTCCACAATACATGATGTAGATATGCAGCCCGGAGTCTATATGACAACGATATTGCTATCAGAAAAATGGCGCCTTTATTCCCCACGGAATCAGATGAGTAGTGGTCAATAAATTGGGAATTATGAGAAAGTGACACATATTGAACGGGAGTTATCTCCAGTAGGTTGTGTCGCAAAGCCCAATGGACATAGTCCTGCAGATAACACATACATATTGTAAAACGAGACACAACAGTACCACTAATAGTTATTATATCATAGCGTGAAGACGAAACAGATTGGTATACAGCACAACATGGGTTAAGCATTTCCACAGGAAAAATCCACTTCAGGCCCATCTCCATTTGTACATCAAACCTCAAAAGGCCTCTCCTTCTCCTCCTATTTTCCCTGCTCCTCCTACCTTTCCTCCTCCTCCTATTTTTCCTCCTATTTTTCCTTCTCCTTCTCCATCCCCTCCTCTTCCTAGTTGGCCTTCTCCTTCTGCTTCTCCTTGTCCTTCCGCCTCTCCTTCGCCTTCGATTTGTCTCTTGGCAACACCAAGGACATTGTTTTCGATTGGGTCAGAAAGATCATCAAGGACTGATTTCTTTTCAACATTCACAGAATTGCTGAGATCTGGGCCAGTTGATCCCTCACGGCTGAGGGAAACGCCGCTGGCATCAGCATTGACTGGGGCGGCAATGGAGACAGCCGCAAGGAAAAGTGAAAGGGAGACGGTGCTGAGCTTCATTTTGTCTGTAACCTTATTTTCAATTTAAGCGTCAGTGTAAGTCATAAGGATAGGATAGGATAGAACAGACTTACCTGAGCGTTGATAGATGTGGTTATGGAATAATGTGCTTCAGGAGATGAACGAGGGAAGGGAATTGGAGGAGAGAAGAGGGAGACTTAGTTCTGTATTTATATTGGATCTTTGCCGACTGAGCTGTCTGTTCTCCGTAATCTCGAGCTGAGAACCCACACCCCTGGTGAAAAGATCGACCATCTGGTGCTGTGGCTGGCTGTTGGATATGTGATCTCCCCCCACAATCATTCCATGTTGTAGATCCAGAGTTCGATAGTCGAATCCTTCTCGCCGTCCAAAAAGGAATATATGCTTGGAACAGAATACTTGTACGGCTGCTAAGGGAAGTCTCCTGGTCATTCTATACTCCATACAAAGTAGATGAGGCAAAATCAAGTCACATTCTGAACTTACTGCGAAGAACCCTTTTCTTTCGGAAATCCGATGCTTTCTCTTGTGTTTATGATGCCGCATGGTAAATGTCAATTGTTCGGCCCGCTTTGTGGGTCTAAGGGGGCTCTTCACCCTATAAGGTCTGAACTAGTGGTGATGGAATTTATAGTTTCCTCTGACCGCTGTTGGATTGAAATATCGGGACTACCAAGTCAATGGTACGGTTCACGCTGGCTCACCATTACTTGAGAGATTTACATGTACATTGATTATGCTCGGCGTTCGGAGAAGTTAATTGCGTGATTTTAGATTGTTGCACCGGAAGTTGAAGTCGGGTCCTGCAGGGCTGAACTGAAAAGTAGATCTCCGGCCTCGGCTGAATTCTAGGCTAAAGACTTTCCGAACTACTGAACATATCGTCATGTCAGGATCGAACCTTCTAACGCTCTTTTAATGACTACTTACTACTCAGTAGCAAAATTGTAAATCCTACTTAACGAACTACAAGGCAATTCATGTTGAGAAAGAAATCACATCATAGTGAGCAGACAGCCGTCTTCTCTATTCTTCAACTGCCACAATATTATTATACGCATAATAGTATTATATACAGCATATTCGCGTGTAAGTTCCAGATAAAGGCACCTTAACAAAGCTGGCAAATCCTCCTCTTGGCCTTGGTTATCAAGTCATAGTCCTGTCTCTTGCCCTTTATCATCCTCAGACCAGTGGCAATGTCATAAGAACAGGCCCGAGGAGCTTTTCAAGAACCTGTCTCTTAATTACCACCAGCATCCGGTAATCCTCCCAGAAGACCACCATCATCGCCCTGTCTCTTGGTCACGGGACCAATACCTTCACTGCCAATAATCCACCCAGAAGATCACCATCATCGCTCTGTCTCTTGGTCACAGGACCAATACCTCCAATACCCAATTTTCCAAGACCCTTTCCCTTGGTCTCAGAAGCCAAGTCTTCAACAATGGCATCATCACGTCGACTCAAAGTTTTCACATGGTTCTCGCTGGCGGGCGGCAAATCAAGGGCTTATCTTTTGGCGTTGACAACTATGGAAGTGCTACTGAAATCGGTCGTCAAAGGGGCAGCAGTGGCGACAGCGGTGAGTAGTTGAAGAATGGTGATGCTTGAGACCTTCATATTGTTCAAGTGCAGGACTTTCTTTCACAGGACAGTTAATGTAAGCTTTTTGAGGACAGAGAAGGACAGGATTACCTGGTAATGACTGCTCTGGATACATGACGGTGTCCTTTGGGAGGTTAGTGATGGGAAGAAGTTGAAGGAGAAGAGAGACGAGGGAGATCCATTGCTGTATCTCTGTCGAATTTTGACTTGAGCTGAAAAGTCACTTGCCCTGAAGCTGGCTGATTTCTCAAGCTATACGCGCTCTAAAGTTCAATAATTATCGCGATCTACCATAGAGTACACCGTGAATACTCTGTATGGATAAGGTGTATGCACTAACTAGTTGCATTTCGCAACGTGCACCAACCTGTCTATCTGTAGGGCTCAGCTGCAAAGGCAAACATTTGTTTGTTTGGCCGAATCTGAAGCTGAAAACTTTCCTGGTCGGGCCTTGGATGCGCGAATTGTTCATATTGTTCTGTCCAGACCATATCCCTGGATCATTGGAACCATGTACGGAGTACAGGCTATCGGATATTGAGGAAGCAATGATATCACCAAAATCACAGTAATTATAACAGATGACACGCCGGTGTCATTGCAAGTTATTTGGGATTCAACACAGTACACGTGAAGTTAGAGACCAAAGTCTTAAATAAACAAACCAGTACATTTTGAGCCGAAGATCCTTGGCAAGAGTAAGGATTCTGTGATCTGGCGCTGTGATGTGTTTATGCATAATATATCGTAGGGTTCGCGGACATATCCGTGCACCATGCTCGAGGAGTTCTTGGTCCCTAGAGTCCGAGTGATACTTTATAGATAGTATTGATAAATCGCTAGTCTCATGCTATAGACGCTAAATTACCATAATTTGAAGTGATCTGCTATATTAGCTAGTAGTCAAATCCATTGATTTGGTGGTATCAAAAGGGAAATATTGCATCTGAAAGGATTTCGATGATCTTCAGCTGAATAGTACCCTTGTAGTCGGTGACAGCATGTAAAGTGGTGTCGGAATCACAGCTTAGTCAGAGTCGAAAGTACGTATCGAGCGTATATGGTTGAGGTCTCTGATTCTTGCAAAAGGGAGCTGTCTAGGATCCTATATAAGACCTTGACTGCCTTATAGAGTATACTAAGCGGTTGTACGGTTTCAAAAGCAGTAATAGCAGAGTAAATACGCTGCTTGCGCCATATGATATCAGCGAGGCATCAATCAGGCATCAGTTGGTATTTGTTCGGTAAGGAACCTCTATATTCCGATAAGTGGACATGGGTCACATGACTGTATATTTCCCAATATGGACTAGTATTGTCACGTGCCGTGTCGTACCTTGTCATCCCTAAATAGCAAAGCGCAATCACATGATCCCGTAACCAAGCGTAAAATACGGTAATACCTATACAGCCTCAGGCTCACCACCATCCCTAGCGACTTTGCGGTCTCGCGATGGCTTCAAGAAGTGCCCAAAAGGGTTATATTCCGATCAGATTGCTTGAATTTCATGCTATTGGCTCGCCTTGAACTCCTCTGTCCTCTGTTCTCTCCTTGCTCTCTTCAGACGGAAACGGTCACCACCAGCTGTAACGGCCTTTTTTCTGCCGGCGCGTTTTCTCCCTCCCTCACACACACTCTCCTCTCTTGTCACGTCCCGTATCACCGCGCAAACAGCATCTTCACAACCAACGAGATAATCAAGAGAAGGAAACACAACAGAACAATCCGAAAAGGGAAGAGGGAAAGAAAGAAGGAAACACAGAAACGCCGGAGACGCGCTAGTCGAATGTTCCCCCGGTGTGCCATCCGCTGCTTCGCCGCCTGCTTCCGTTTCGGTCCGACTGTCTCTATTATATTATTATAGAAAAAGGAATCAGATTGGATTTTGGTATGTTTTGTTCTTTCCCTATTCTTTACGATATCCCTTTCCCCTGGTTGCTCTCTTCAATTCCCTTCGCACCGCTTTCCCCTCGCGACCATTACCCTTTTCTCGGATGATGAATCCTTCGGAACAACTTTGCGACAGGCTGGCCTTCGCTGGTCCGCCATCGCATCAATTCCGCATTGAAAACGTGTCGTGGTTGTCGCGATGATTCGAAATGGTTTCGTTCACTTGCTGATCATGGTCCGGTTTAGCTTGTAGTGCTGCGACTGGTCTGCAGCACTAAAGGATGTCGTAGCCGTCCCATCACGGTCATCCCTAATCCACCTTTGTCCCTCGAATTGAACTGAACACTCGTGGGGGTGACGCACTTGAGAAACCTTCCAACCGAACAAGAAAATACAAACGACCACCGGACCATGCCATTCCCTGACATGGCACAGTCATTTCACGACCTCCCAGCGGAGAACGACGTAGATGCAGACATGGAGCAATACGAAGAAACTGCCCCTGACCCTCCGATAGAACAGGGAATGAACGGGCCGGAGACAATCGCAGAAGGGAAACAAAACGCCAAAGCCGTTCTCGCGGCTTCAGGTGTGCCTGTTTCGGAATCAAGTCACGACGCGTCCACACCGAACTCCCAGTCGAATGGTGCCAACGGCTCAGCAAAGAAACGTTCCCGTGATAGTTCCGCTCTACCTGTGCGCGTTCGAGAGACCCCGCTAGATAAGGTCCAGCTCGAAAACTATGTCAATCGGGAGTTCGAGCATTCGGCGGCGGCGGCTTGGCATAACCCGACTCGGGAATTGCTCCAGCAAAAACGTGCAGAAAGAGATTATTATCTTGCCGTCCGACGCGAGACTCAGATGAACCCGGGGGCTGTATATGGTGTTGGCTATGAAGGATTTGGTAATGTTCGCACGGATTCGCGACATCCGCAATTATTATACCCAGGCAACCGTCGCCGACCAGGGAATAGAAAGACGAGAGAACTGCGCATCCCGCGCAAAGACATGAAGATTCAAAATGAGCAAACCGAAGACCTGGTACCGATTCGCCTTGATATCGAGTGGGAAAAGCTTCGAATCCGTGACACATTTACCTGGAACCTTCACGACCGCGTCGTCTCGCCTGATTTATTTGCGGAGAAGATGGTGGAGGATCTGGGTGTGCCAATGGAAACCTGTCTGCCTTTGGTGCGGATGGTTTCGCAGAGCATCCAGGAGCAACTCACCGATTACTACCCTCAATTATACATCCAGGAAGACCCTATCGACCCGCACCTACCGTATAGTGCCTACAAGAATGACGAAATGCGCATCTTAATCAAGCTCAATATCACCATTGGCCAGCATACTCTCATCGATCAGTTCGAATGGGACATGAATGACCCACTCAACTCTCCCGAGGAGTTCGCAGCACACATGACCAAAGACCTATCTCTATCTGGCGAATTCGCGACGGCGATTGCCCACTCCATCCGCGAACAGTCACAACTCTTCACCAAGTCCTTGTATATTGTCTCTCATCCGTTCGACGGCCGTCCCATTGAAGATCCCGATCTCAAATCCTCATTCCTCCCTACTCCCGTCCACTCTCCATTCCGTCCTTTCCAGGCCGCCAAGGAATTCACACCGTACTTGTACGAGCTCAATGAAGCAGAATTGGAGCGCACAGAAGTGTCGATATCTCGCGAGCAACGCCGACAGAAGCGGTCGGTCAACCGTCGTGGTGGTCCAGCTTTACCGGATCTGAAGGATCGTCAACGGACTATTCGAACTCTGGTTGTATCATCCGTCATTCCCAATAGCGCACCATCCCTCGAAGACAGCAATCTCTTCAAACGGTCAGGCTCAGCCCGCCATCGGCGCGCCATAGGCCAGCGGGACCTTGGCGATGAGTCTGAAGAATCGGATAGTGATGACTCGTCGATTGGGTCTCCCGCGATTGGCCCTAATCTGGCACAAGGTACTGCGCGCACAAGAGGCATGAGAGGTGCCGCAACTGCAGCTCACGCTGCTCTGCGCGCCAACCTAAACCCCTCCGCTACACCAGAGCCTCATTACGAGCCTAGGGCTTCGGCACGGAGACAAAATTACAGGGAGGAAAGTGTCGAGGAGCAAGATTCACTCATTTTGAAACTTCGGATCCAACCAGCGAAGTTCCGGCAATTCCTCACCCGCGGACCTCAGTCTCTGCCATCAAATGTACCCACATCGACACCGGGTCACCTACGTTCGCAACACGGCACGCCTCAGGTCCAGACTCCTACATCCAGTTCCACAACCCTCCCATCTCAACAGCCGCCGCGTAGTGCCTCGGGATCGCAAACACCAGCTCCTCCACAACAACTCGGAGCAATTGACGCGATTCACCCTCCTCAACCAGGCGTTCCTGGGGTGAGTATCCACCGCCAAGGATATCTAAATCATATCCCATACTAACATCTAATCCAGCCTCCACCACCTTCCTGGCTCGCCACAGGTCTCGCACAGCTCCAACGCTCGTACCCTAATGATTCTTTCGAGGGCGTAATGCGCTACACCGCCGTCGACACCGAAACCATGCACCCTGTTGCCAACTCTGCAAACACACCCTCTCACAGATTGAAATACCAATATCTTCCCCGTATCCGATGTCACGACTGCCCGGGTAAACTCTACACACCGGGACCGGGAATGACAGTTGAAAACTTCGAAGTGCACCTACGGAACCGGCAACATAAGGAACGCGTGGAAGAAAGACTTGCAAAGGGTGGTGCACCTGTACCTCCTGCTGCATCATAGTCTACTCATGAGAGAAGTTTTTCTTATACTGCATTGTGTTTTTTTTGTCGCCGCCATCTACCATTATTACAACTTTTTGCTTTTGCCTGTTACTGGTTGGCTTGGTGTATAGGATTCCTTCCAAGCGGGATGGTCTTGCGATTTCTTGTTTACTTGTTTATGTTCATTAAACATTTTAGTGACATTGAGGTTCTTCTCTGTTTGGAGAGGCGTAAATATATCCTTTGGATCTTTGACAGGAAATTCCGAACATGGGCATCTAAACGAATAGACTTGGCAGGACTAGTAATCTTAAACACCAATCATCGTTCAGCAGTGATATACCGGACGAATATATAGAACGACCGAGTACAATATTATACGGCATCTGGTTTCAAACTTGAAAGGTGTACAAGAGATGCTCGTCCACTCTAGGCTATCCCAGCGTCAAGCCAGGCCTGCGTCGTCGCCTATACACAACCATGCAACCACTAACCCTCACCCCTCTTCACTACCTAGCCCTTCCTGAAGCCGAAAATGACCTAACCATTCGCCAAAAATACCGCCTGTGCCTCACAAGAACAGATAAACACGATTAGATCTCCGCCATAGAATTAACCACAGCCATATGCATAGTCCAACAAGATCTCCACAAACCCCCATCCATAGGCAGACTGAAAATCCTCGTGCTTTACGGTAGTCTATTATGCAGGTCGTATTCAAAGCTGGTGGCTTTTGAAGCAGTACAGATTCTCTTCTGGTTGGGTTGTGATGTGCGGGTGTTGAATCCGGAGGGATTGCCAGTTAAGAATGAGGTGGATGTTAAACATGACAAGATGCTGGAGTTGAGGTGGTTGAGTACTTAGGGTGATGGGCATGTTTGGATTTCGTCGGAGCAGCATAGGAATTTGGTCAGCCCTTCCACCACACCCTCCAGATCTACCTGGCGATACTGTAGCTAACAGGAGAGCACAGACCGCAATATTCAAGAACCAACTCGACTGGATCCCGCTAAGCACGGGTAGCATCCGCCCAACACAATGCCGCACGCTCCCCATCGCACAAGTACGCGGCGACTCGCAGTCCTTCGACGCCCTGAACTCACTACGCCTTCTCGGCTGGTGGATGCGCATGTTCACGATCGCGAATCAGTTGTCGATTCCGAAGGCATACACACATTTCCGACAGAGGGACAGGCCGTGGATCAGAGGATGCTGGCTAGTGGGATTCGGGATCGGTTGGTGGATTGTATGGAGGAGTTTGTGAAGGTTACGTACGGTTTTGATGAGGCCGCATTTGGGGCTTTGGGGGAGGGGGGTCGGTTTAGTGAAAGGGAGGAGAGAAGGATAAAATCACAGACAGTGCTGGAGAGGGTGTATCTTTATAGACCAGAGCAGAATGACAAAATATCATTATGCATGAGGATTCCAACATGTATCCTGATTGTTTCTCTTTAGTCCACCTCCCTCTCCCCTACAAGTTCAAGCCCACTCAAAAAAACCGCAATTCATCAATAAGCTTCTCAACCTTCCCCCGAATCTCATCCCTCACACCCCTCACACCCCCTCACAATCTCAATCCCCTGGCCGGCAGGATCCCCAACCCGCCAGTCAACATATCGCTTCCCCGGAAAATAGGGGCAAGCATCCCCACAGCCCATCGTGACAACAACGTCACATTCCTCAACGGTTTCGCGCGCAAGGGCCTTTGGTTTCTGACCCGAGAGGTTGATTCTCTCTTCCAGCATGGCTTCCTCGACGATCGGGTTTATGGTGGGCGCTGGGGCGGAGCCGGCGGAGTGGACTTGGATGGCGTTGCTGGTGAAGTGGGTGAGGTAGGCTGCGGCTATTTGGGAGCGGCCGGCATTGTGGATGCAGAGAAAGAGGACGGTGGGTTTAGAGGGCACGGTGGTTGTTTAATTTGGGTGGGTGGTTTTGCGGGTTGTTGGAAGTTGGGAGCTGTTATATGTGCTCTTTTTCCTTTCTATATACAGGCTGGGGTATAATGAATATCACTCCTGTAATACTATTGGCTGGAGGGAATGAGTGCGGCACAAGAGACTTATGTATAACATCGTAAATCAAGACTAGACTGCAACAGATTCAATATGTAACTGGCGGAAAAAATAAAGAAAAAGAAAGGGTATAGATCTCAATTTGACAGCAACAGCAACGAAATCACAACAAAAACAAGAACAATCGAAATTTGACAAGCAGAAGCAACAGAAATCGCCGAGCAAACAAACAAACAAACAACAAAGCCCATCATACATACAATTGTTGTGCCCTGTACGAAGTATAAAATAGAAACATGTCACTCTGGACACATAACATAACCCCAGTCATGACTGGAACACATTTCACCTTCGAGAAGATCTCCTCGTTGGTAGACTTGTCGCACCACCTTTTTTGCTTGCTGTAGGTTTCCCTCGCGCCTTTGAAGACTTCGCTGGAGCAGGAGCAGGTTCAGGTTCAGGTGATGCTTCGGCGGCATCGGCGTCTTCAACTTGCTCGTCACCGTCGTTGTCATCACCATTTTCAGATGCCTTTTCTTCTTCCTCCTGATTTTGTTCTTCAGCACTACCGCCCTCTTGTTCGTTCTCGTCCTCATCACCTTCGCCTCCATCTTCTTGTCCCTCCCAATCATCCATCTCCTGATCATCTTCATCGCTATCCCGATCAGCATAGCTAACCCCCTTAGCGACAGTTCCCCGACTACTCCGTCTTCGAGCAGACGACTCCTTCTTCTCGGTTTTCCCACCTTCATCAGAAGACCACCCATCTTCGTCTCTCTTCTTCCTCTTAGACGTCTTGGAAGGTGTAGTTCCAGACGTCCTCCGCGCAGCTCGCGCCGTCTTTTGGGTATCCGACTTCCTTCTCTTAGTCGCGCTAGAATCCCCATTCGCATCGTTATTCTGGGGCTTCCGCTTCTTAGCCTGGCCCTGGGATCCACCACCCCGTGGCTTCATGAAATTTTTCACGAATCGATCGAGCACGTCGTCGAGGTCGTCGGGGAGGAAGTTCTTTTCGGCTACTTCCTGTGCTTCGCGGTGGTTGCTCATTGGTGCGAAGAGAGAGCTTGAGACTCCCATCTTGCCTGGGTAGGTTTGGAGGATGTTGGTGCCGCCGCTTGCTCCGCCAAATTTGTGCTGCTGGGAGTAGATGTCGGCGAAGCGGCGGATGGTTGCTTGGGCTAGGTCGGAGAGGGTGTGGAGATTGCTGGTGATTTCGTCGGTTTTGGTGATGCCATCACGGGTTTGCTTGACGCGCTGGGCGACGTGGAAAATCAGCGATAGGTTCCGCTCGTTTCCGACGGCAGAGAGGTAGAAGAGGATGTAGCGAGCGAAATCGGTAAGATCAGCCACTTTAGTCGACTCATCAAGTTCCGCAGGAGGGTAGTCAGGGTGGTAGGCAAGAAGAGACAAGAGGCGGGAGAATATGGATTCCATGACCATTTGCTGCTCATTCCTCTTTCCACTGGCCTGGACCTGCTGCGAGAAGTACGCCGCGCGGGACCGCAGCCAGGTGAGGGTGCTGTCTTTGAGGTTCGCATCCGGCTCGAATGCAAGCAGACACGGAACGATGTACCAACGATGGCTTAAGTACGAGTTCTGGACAAGCTTCTTCTTAAGCTGCTCGATGAACCCAATTCTCACAAACGGAATCCGGTCCTGAGCTACTAATGAAATTGAGTTGAAGTCTTGAGGGGCAAGCATATGATCGCAAAGACTGTGAGATGCACAGAGCTTCAGCAGTGACTTGGCAGCCGCAAGGCGCAACCGTGGCTTCTGTGTGGCTGGTGTGTCCTTCTTTTTGGACAGCTCACCCTCATTAGCGACGAGTTTGTTCAAGGTGGTATAAACAGGCTCTGCCTGTGCGCGGAAAGAATCCTCGTCGTCGGTGCTTCTCTTAGCCCGAAGACGGTTGACAATAATCTTCAGCGCCCACTCCTTAGCAGCAGTTTCCTGATCAGCAGAATCGGTCCACTTGTAACCAGAATCCGACTCCGGAGACCGATTTGAGAGAAGAATCTGGTCAATAGCGATCGAGACAATAGTGTCTTTCTCCTCATCCGCTTCCCGTGGAGCAAGGTGGTTCAACTTGGACAAAGTAGCCAATTTGGTGAGGAACCGATCAGAACCATAAGTCCAGTCCGAGACACACCTCTGCAGCAAATCCTTTGCATACATTTCCTTTTTCTCGGCGGTTGCCATAAGAATGGTCACGGCATGCTTGGCAGCACGAGGCGACGAGCTGTAGAGTGCATAGTTGGTCAGAGCCTGCAAGAACTTGCGATCTTTAGGAAGCTTATCGGGAAGCTTCTTCGCAAAGCCAGAGCAAGCTTTCAGGATCTCCTCCGTGCCAGCATCATTGCTTGACTTCTCCGTAGGCGCTTGAGACTCTAAATCCTTACACATCTCCTGGACTTGTGCTTCGAGCACTGCAGGATTGCGCGACGAAATCTCTCTCAGCATTTCCTGTGCCGGGTTTGCCAGTCCATTCTCATCCGTCCGCGAAAGGCTCATGATCGCGGGGATGTGGCTCCTGTTGAAGATGAGAGAGCTGCTGCGGTACAAGAGCGGCGTTACAGTCTCGAGAAGAGCAGCATTGTTTGAGTTCTGAACTCTCCTTACCAACTCCTTGATCGCCTTGATGACGGTGCGATAGTCAGTGTGTGCGGCCATAGAAAAGCGAAATAGCTGATAGTTTCTTCGGTCGTGCACCTTCGCGAATTTCCACAAGTCTGCCGACGCCCGGGACGAGTCGGGGAAGGCCTTCGCCAGGGCATCGACCATCCGGCCCAGCTGAGCCTTAACCTTAGCCTCGTCTTTTTCAATGACACCACCATTATAGCCCTCACAGGCTTGCAGGTACATTGTCATGAGTGTCCTCATAGACATCTGTCTAGCCTGCATGGCGAAGAACACCTTCTTCGCCTTATCGTTCAACCCTGCAAGCAAGGTGAGAATGCGACGAGCCCGAATCTTATCGGTATCAGTTTCGCTGTCGCCCTCTGAAGCCTGTGACTGTGATTCTTTTTGCTTTTGCGACTGGGTCGAAGTAGTCCGGGAAAGCTTGGACTTGATAGGAGGATAGTGAAGCGGGATGAGAATCTCAAAAAGCACCTTATCAATCGTAATATGGATATCCGGGTCATTGGTGTAATAAGCATCGAAGATCTTCGACGGCCCATCCTTGAGTAAAGTGACAACCTGCTCATTGTTCTGCTCTATCTCGCCTGCCGCGACAGCCCACATTCGAGCTATTGCCTTCATCGCATGCTCCCGCACCTGTGGTTTCCGGTCCTTGACTCGTTCTGCGAGAATCGACAGGATCGAGTTATCGGATGAAAAGCCTCCGTCGAGTCCCAGCTTGTAGACCACATGAGAAAGTCCAAAGATACCAACAGCGTCCACAGCTGCCACACGGACCTTTTCGTCAGCGTCACGAAGCATCGTTGCCAGATTCTTGATCAATGCCTGTTCCTCGCTCTCACTTAAACCCGAACCACCGGCGGATGTTAACAAAATCCGACCCACAACGGTTGCCCAAGCTGCCCGGACCGAAGCATTCTTGTCCAGGCGCCGGCTCAAAAAGCTCTCGTATGAGGAAGAGTGGGTCTGGGAAAATGGCTTAGGAGAAAATGGTGTGAGAAGAACGCTGGTCTGAGGTGTCAACTGTGCATACTCCGCCAAGGTCACTGGGGGATATGCGGCTGGGTCCATTGGAGGCGGAGGGGGAGGCCCAGCAACACCGATGCCCGCTGTAAGGTCACCAATAGTCTGCGTGGCTAACAGACGCAGCGATACCGACTCTGCTGAAAGCTCTGCCTCCAACTGCGGGACCACATTTTGCAGTACCTCCGGACACGCTCTCCAGAGCTCGCGGATCAGACGGTGTGCTTTGCTCAACTCCTTGATATCCTCCCCTTCTTCGTCGGAATCGTCGAGGTTCGGTTTCCGATTTGACTTCGAGCCGTTCGCGCCAGCGCCAGCTGAAGCATCGATAATAACATTGTTGAAATACTGACTGATATGACTCGTCATGCGATCCGGACAAGCCTGACAGATGGCCTTGGACATGTTATAGGCAGGTGGGTACTCCTTCAACAGCAGCGTACCCTGCTTAGCATCAATTGGCGTATCCGGCTTCTTTCCTTTCCTGCTGGGGGCCTCAAGCGCACGCGGATCCACGCGCAGGTACTGAGCCACGATGATATCCACCACCTCAGGCGCTAGGACAGGCGACTCATCAATAACCGTCACGAGGAGCCGCGTCATATCAAATTCCACATTTTTTGCGATCTCTTCTCCCGTAGACGCCTTGGACGAACCCGAGACAATATCAAAGCAGGTGGCGAAAAGCGGAACAATCAACGAATCCGGATGGTCGAGATCCGTCATAAGCACCACACTCTTCACTTCCGCAAGAGAATTTAAAACGTAGATATGCTGAGCATTGTAAGGATGCGATGGATCTGCCAGGGCCGGGATAATCGACGACACAATACACGTAAAAAGATCCTACACCACCAAAGTCAGTATCTCACCTGGAGAACAAAATCCGCCCAACTCAATCCAATTTCGATCTACGAGAATCCCATACCTTAAGTTGATTCCCCGTAAACGGCGCATCCGGCGCGCAAAGCCTCAAAACATCCACAGTACAACACCCCGCCCACGCGCGCACTCCCTTGTCCTTATGCCCCAACAGCTGTGGCGTCGCCAACTCTTGAGCAACCTTGGTCAACGACCCTGTCTCAACCTCCTCCTGCTCCATCTTCCTCAGCTCCCCCGCGAGTGTCTGCAGCCGCTGCAGAAGATCCGCAATGGGGATCGCGGCTCGGCCCACGCGCCAGGTAATCGGTTCATTGAATTTTAATTTGCGAAGACCGCCGCCAGTGGATGTTCTTGGTTCTGGTTTTTCGGAGGTTTCTTCGGCTTCGGGCTGTTCCACGGATTGCTCTTCCGTCGTCGTTGCCGTCGTTGTCGCGGCCGAGGGACCTTGACGGGTGCGCGCAGGCATCGTGGATTGGACGGGTGAACGAAGCGCGGGGAATGTAGCGGGATTGAGGGCTAG